GCGCGGGACCACGGGCTGCGGGACCGGCCGGCGCGCGGCGGGCGGGGTAGGCGCCGGGCCGGGGCCGGGGATCTCGCGCCGGACGACCCAGGCCGTGTCGGGCCGGAGCTTGAAGTAGTAGCCCCGGACGGGCTCGGGGCCCTCGCGCACGAAGCCCCGCGCCAGGTACCACGCGAGGCCGTCCTCGTTCTCGGTCCAGACGTGCGCGAAGGCCGTGCGGACGTCGAGCCGCGAGGCCGAGGAGGCGGTGTGGGCGGCGGCGGCGGCGAGGATGTCGTCGAGGGCGGCGGCGGCGAGGCCGAGGCCCCGGTAGGGGGAGAGCAGGGCCAGGGACTGGATGTAGATGGCCTGCTGCGCCTCGCCTGGGGACGCTGCGGAGGAGAAGGGCGAGGGCTCGAGGCGGCAGACGATGCCGCCTATGACCTGGTCGCTGGCCCTTTGCTCGCTGCCGCCTTGTTGTTGTTGACTTTGTTGGTCGCTGCCGTCGTCGTCGTCGTCGTCGCGCCAGAGGATCACGCGGGAGAAGAGGCCCGAGACGGCCGGGTCGAGGGCCTTGTGGTAGAACGAGTCCGGGTAGTTGACGGGCAGGAGGAGGGAGTTTATGCGGCGCAGGGCGGGGATGTGGTGCTCGGCGACGGGGACGATGGTGGCCTGCGGGTGCGGAGAGGCGGCGGCGGCGGGCTGCGTGGTTGTCGTCGGTAGTGGTGACGAGGCGGAGGCGGTCATGGGCGGCTCGGAGCCGTACTGTGTTGCTTGCGCTGCTGCCGCCGCCGCCGCCGCTACTTGCGCGGCCTTGACCGCGGCGGGCGGCTGGGGTGCCGGGCGAGGGGCGTAGTTGGGCTGTTGGCGGGGTTGGAAGAAGGACATGATGGAGGACTGTGCTCGCGACATGGCTGTATGGGACGAAAAGGAACAGGAAACGCGTGAGAAGAGAAAAAGGGGGAGGGGGAGGGGGAGGGGGGGTTAAGAATGAGGAGAGACGGTCTCGGTGTATCAATGGCTTGACATTGTCCTTCGTTCGAAATCTAGTAGTGTTCTTTGGCTTCTGAAGAAGAGAAAATGGGCAGGGAAGACGCGTTCCTGGCTCCTAGAAGACCCTGACGAGAGGAGGGATGGAGGGGAGAAGGTGCTTGTAGTCTACGTGGATCTCGAAACGGAGATCAATCGATGTCACCTTGTGGGTAGCGCGTTCCGGGACCGGGCACACGCGCTAACGCCTTTAATCGAGTGGCAGCAAGCACTTTAAGGCCTTGCTTGCGTGGGCTGGGCCTCCAGCTGTCTTCTTCCGCTTTGGGGCACTCAGGGGTTCCATCAGGAGGCTGAAAAGCGTCACTGCAGGCGGCCAGGGCGCCTGCGGAGGCTAAAATTGGGGGGCACTAGCGGCAAGGGAACAAGCTCTCGTCGCAGGGGGGTCCACGGGTGTTCCAGGCATTCCAGATGGTCGACTTACACATGCGTGATGATGTGACGAGCAAAGCATGGCCGAGGACGCCCCGGATGACATAAAGTCGAGAATGATTGATCCTGGTACCAGCCTAGAGCCCTGCCACTTGATCTCCTCCGTCTGCCGTAGTTGTATGCCTGGACTCTCAATTGCAAGTCTTTGGTACCCAGAATGCGGGTTGAAAGGTTGGGCCGCAAAGTGCTGGTCCCCGGGACCGACCAACCACTAAAAATGCCCCCTGGGTTAGGTACTGTAACCTGCTCAACGCTGCAACCTGCTCACAACACTGTAATCTACGGCCAGTCTTATCGCATCAACTGACAAAGTGATAAAACAAGTGACCATCCGCCATCTGTACCACCACCGTCTCTCAAGACAGGAGCCGCAACATTTTTTTGATCTGTCAATCTTCTGGCTTGCCCATCACTTGGCATTTTGATTGTTGCCAAGTTCATTGCGGACACTCGACGTAGCCTTCGGGAAAGGGTGGTTGCACTTCTCGTCTCACCCGGATCCCTTCCCTCTTCCCGAACTGCGTCTCTTACAGCAGGTGCTAATCCGGCCACTGTGGGCTTTTTTTTGCGGCTGGAGCTAGGCGGATCTTTTTCTTACTGCCTGCCACCACCACCGCACCAACACCACCACCCTTGCTTGACCAAGGCCATCCGCACACGACACATCTCCTCTCATCGGGCCATCGCGAGAATCGCCCAGGACTGTGCCGGTAGACTGGGCGCATTTCCCGGCAGGTTTCTGACCATGGCGCAGAATACTGGGAGAGCGGGTGTCATTGTCGCCCCCGACGATGCTAACAGCATGGATAAGCTTGTGAGTTCTGCCGCCCGTCTGAGCGACCGGAGCGCCGCCGTCCGTCCGTGACGATGGTTCTCCCAAAAAGATGCAAACTTCCCCAGACTTACACATCGGCGCCATTGCGCCGATCCCCTTATTCTAGGCTCATTCAGTACTCGACGATCTCCTCTACAATGTCGTCCAAGATCTACTGATCAAGACGCACCGCGATGAGAAAACCGCCCGTGCAGCCACGGCTGCGATCCGTGTCGAGAAGCTGGCCTCCGACACCTCAGAGACGGCCGACGCTAAGCCGGACGTGCGCATAGAGACGGATGCCGCCATCTACGAGGATGGCAAGGTTGTGCTCAAGGGCAATCCCCTGAAGACGACAAAAGAGATACTCTGCCCCAGATGCCATCTGCCGCGGCTACTCTACCCGACCGACGGCAAGGGCGCGAGGAAGCCCGACCCCAGCGTCATCTATTGCAAGAAGCACCCCTACATTGACAAGCCCGGCTACGACATCTACGGACAGACCTGGGTCGCTCCTGGCCCCGGCAGGGGAAAGAAGAAGAAGGACATGGATAAGAAGCTGGATCCCGCCACCGACTCGCCCGGCACCCCAACTCCCGACCAGAAACCGGCCAACGTGCTGTCTTTCCCCTCGGCCACGTGCAGCAAGTGCAAGAGGTGCATCCTGGTCACCAGGTTGAACAATCACATGGGTTCTTGCATTGGCAACAGCGGAAGAAATGCTAGTAGGGCAGCGGCCCAGAAGATCAGCAACGGCAGCAACGGCAACAGCCAGGACGCCACACCCCCATCGAGCCAGAAGGGCACCCCGTTACCCGGCTCGAGGGCGTCGAGCCCCAGGAAGAGGGACGGAGACGAGTTTGACGAGGACGGCGGCGAGGAGTCGGACCCGTCTAATCCCAAGAAGAAGAAGCTCAAGCCGACGACCGCCGTCACTAAGAAGGTCGTCCTCAAGCCTAAGGGCCCCAAGAAGGACAAGGTCAAGGCGAGCTCACTGCTCAGTGTCGAGCAAAAGGTCGACGACGATGACAAGGACTCCACGGTCGAAGTGGCCCCAAAGAAGAACCCCAAGATACCCTCCCCAGCCAAGAAGCTCAAGCTCGGCTCCAAACCGCCCTTGTCGTCGCCCATGTCCAAGAATGGGCGTGACGGTGACGCCGAGTCAGAGTCCTCCGGCACCTTGTCCTCCCCGCCTCATCACTAGGGGGATCGCTAGGAGGATACGGAGAATCCCTAGGAGGGTTGATGGCATGGTGCCGCCTCGAGTGTCTTGCTTAATTAGAGGCAACTCGAGGAAAGCTTTGAGAGCAGACTACCGTGCTCCAAGCCCGTTACCTCTGCACGTCTCCGATCCTGGAGGCTGAGCGAAGGCTTTACAGTCGCAGCGGCCTTGCAAGAATCCCAGCGTGCTACAGCTGGGTTGCAGAGCATTGATTGGGCTCACAGCACATTTCCATTCGATACGCATGTATTTATCTCCGACTGTATTCTGCATACTCTGGGGTTCGGAGTACTCGATGATGGGCATTTCTAGGGTGGCGCGTGTACCTCTATTTGGTGTTTCCTTGTTTCCAGCACTTGTACCAAAAAGAAAATAGCATTCAGGCCAGAGAAGGGGGGCGGGGGGGCAGGTATTCTCTGTGAGGACTACAGGGACTGGACGATCACAATTTGTATAGATGGAAGTTCAGCGATTGTCAGAAACGACCAAAATACTTTGTATGGCCTAATGAAGTATGACTTGTTCTACCTATGCCTCGATGTGACCGATGCCGCAGAAGTACCTTTTCTGTGTTCCGTAACCTCCAACGCCTCGCAATGCATGCACGACCTCGTAAGGAAAGGGTATCAAACCAGCCGTGGTGGCACGCCACCAAGACGAGTCTCGACGACACCAAGTCGAGTGTCGACAAGACCAAGACGCCAAGTTAAGTGTTAACAACACTAAGTCGAGTGTCAATGTAACTAAGACACTAAGTCAAGTGTTGATGTGACCAAGTCGAGTGTTGATGTGACCAAGTCGAGTGTTGATGTGACCAAGTCGAGTGTTGATGTGACCAAGTCGAGTGTTGATGTGACCAAGTCGAGTGTTGACGTGACCAAGTCGAGTGCTGACGGCACCAAGTCGAGTGCTGACGGCACCAAGATGAGTGTCGACAGCACTAAGATGAGTGTCGACAGCACTAAGATGAGTGTTGACAGCACTAAGACGAGTGTTGACAGCGTCGACGGCATCAAGATGAGTGTTGACAGCACCAAGATGAGTGTTGACAGCATCAAGATGAGTGTCGACAGCACCAAGTTGAGTGTCGGCGGCACCAAGTTGAGTGTTGGCACCAAGTCGAGTGCCAATATGGTTGAGCCGATCGTTGAGACGAGCAAATCCATCGTCCATGTTGGTGTTCAGCTGGTCAACAACACCTTCCATCTTGTCCATCCTAGTTCCCATCTTGTCCATCCTAGTTCCCATCTTGTCCATCCTAGTTCCCATCTCGGTGTTCAGCTGGTTAATAACACCTTCCATGTTCTCCATCCTAGTTCCCATCTGGACAATGGCATTGTCCATCTTGGTGTTCAGCTGGTAAATAGCACCTTCCATCCGAGTTCCCATCTGGACAAGATCATTGTGCATCTCCTGCATCTGCTGCAAAACCGGATCGACAGGGACAGCAGGGTACTGGTCAGGTCCAGCAGGTGGATCGAAATTGGGGGCTTGGCCGTTTTCAGCCATCGCGGATAGTTGGGTGATCCCACTCAACAACTGTTTTTCTCAGATTGGTCAACCCAGCGCCTACTTAGCAGGGACAACAATTCTTTTGACTAACCTCTGAACTGGGCTGGAATGAGCTGAAGTCTTGGGATACTTGTGATGAGCCGTGATGAGTCGTGATGAGTCGTGATGAGTTGTAAGGAGTTGTAAGGAGTTGTAAGGAGTTGTAAGGATTTTGGTGATCGTGACGGTCATGATGGTTGTGAAGTAGTAGAATGTTGAAGGGACTGAATGAGGGAGGAAGAAAAGCGGAAGAGGAGGAGGCACAGACAACTGCAGAAAATGAAATAAAGCGTGGACGCTGGAAATGAAGTGAATCAGAATACTGGAAGAGAAGTGAATCAGAACGCTGGAAGATAAGTGAATCAGAGGCAAGCTATGATTCAAGGAAGTACTGATTGTGAAGTCCTGGCAAATAGCTGTGTTATCACAACTAACCAGAACCCCCACCAATCGATATTGATTGCGCATCCTATCTCAGACAAAGCCTCATCAGCAAGCTCCCGGCTTCTCCTCGGATTCAACTTCAAAAATTTCATCCCAACTTTTGCGCCAGCTCGTGTTTCTGCCTGCCCGGACATTCAAACACCGCTTCCTCGCTGCAATCAGATCAATTGACTTCTCACAATCATTCTCTTCCGCAAATATCCCGCGCAAACCCAACCGCAAATCTCCCAAACCCTCACACAAACTCCCCTCGCACAAACTCACCACATCAAACGCCCTCCATTCATCCAGGATGACGACCGACATCTCCCTCGAGACCTCCATGGTAAGCTCCTCCCTGCTCCCTGCTCCCTGCTCCCTGCTGCGCCCACGCCCACAACCCACAAACGCCCTCCTCTTGACCCCTCACTCCGCACTCACCCTCACACTCATACTCACTCACGTGTGTGCGCGCTCGCTCTCTCACAGGGCCCCGTCGTGCTCGAGCTCTACGCCGACCGCGCCCCCAAGACGTGCAGGAACTTCGCCGCCCTCGCCGAGCGCGGCTACTACGACGGCGTCGTCTTCCACCGCGTAATCCCGGACTTCATGGTCCAGGGCGGCGACCCGACCGGCACCGGCCGCGGCGGCGACTCCATCTACGGCGCCCAGTTCGAGGACGAGATCCGCGCCGACCTCAAGCACACGGGCGCGGGGGTCCTGAGCATGGCCAACTCCGGGCCCAACACCAACGGCAGCCAGTTCTTCATCACGCTGGCCCCGACTCCCTGGCTCGACGGCAAGCACACCATCTTTGGCCGCGTCAAGAAGGGCATGACGGCCATCAAGCGCATGGGCATGGTCCCGACCGACAAGATGGACCGGCCTGTCAACGACATCAAGATCCTCAAGGCCCGCGTCGTCGAGGAGGCTGACCAGGTCTAAAATCACTCGAGGATAATTCTGGTCGAGACCCGACTTGGCTTCATCGAGGCTGGTTCAGAGAACGAAATGCTTTGAAAGCACAACCGCCACATCCGGGAAATCTTTCAAGACCCAACCTTCCTCCCCCTTGTCGATCCCCGGACTGGACAAGCCATCGACGGGTTTCCTACTACAGATGCGGCTTTGCTTTCGCTGAGCACTCCAGACGCAGTCAACATCTTGGACGCCCTTGAGATGCCAGTACCTGACTCTCTGGAACTCATGCGGCTGGCTATTGCGCAAGGCCGCCTCTACTGATTTCACCACCAATTCAAGCGACAACTTCACCAAGCTGGACAGGGAGCATCCCTAATGTTCCCAGTCCAATATTTTCCACTCTTGGGCTTCCTAGGATGATTTTGCTGGAGTTACATATTTGAGGTGGAGCGAGGAATACTTGAGATGGCTGGCCACACTGGCACTGCATGTGTATTTGTATTTGTATTGTACTTCTCCTCCAGTGCGTCTAGTTAGTGGGTTAGCCCAATCCTTTAGGTACCTAAGACAGGTACTCTAGTTAGTGCGATTAATTTCCTTACCTACCTAGGTACCTTATCCAGATTTCGTCAGAACCTGTAACACAGTACAGGAAATTGCTCTGGAGTGAAGGTTCACTGTCAGCCTAATGTCACTACAAACTTGCTTGAGGTATTTGGTACAGCTCCCAATTCACCTTTATCCCAGTTTCACGTTCTCATCACCTTACGACGGCTTTATCCTCGGGAGCCAATTTTCTCTGCCTTTGCCGACAAAGTATTAAACCAAATTTCAGTGCAGGAGGCGATATCTGCATTTCTTTCCGATTCTTCATCGACTCTGAGACACTCCCTCGTTTGGAGGAAGGTGTGAAGATCACCATGGCGACTCCAGGCGACAACTTGACAGCAGTGGACATGAACGTCACGTCCAATGCGACCGCCTATGCCTCCAGCCCGCCGATCTCTTCTCCCCTGAGTTTTCTCCTCTACCACAAGGATCTCATCATCCTGCAGACACAGCTAGTCTCCAGTGCCCTTGGCATCATCTACCTGGGAGCCCACGGAGCCTTGCGCAGACCTCCGTCGGCAGCCCCACCGGACAAGACCAAGAAAGGTCGCAAGTCGAGAGAGCCCGAGCCTTTCACCGAGGGCCTCCAAGCATCCGATGCCATCCTCTTTCCGCTCCTAGCAGGTACGGTGCTAGTTGGCCTCTACTACCTGATCAAGTGGCTGCAGGATCCGGAGATCCTCAACAAGATCTTGAGAGGATACATGTCGTTGGCGTCTGTTGCCAGCATGGGACTTTTGTTCACTGACACGCTTCACTTTCTTACGAGCTTTGTCTTTCCCACTGTCTGGACAGACATGAGAGGGAACGTTTACCGCGTGGATCAGGCTGCACAATGTCAATGGAAGGTCTACCGTCACTGGCCCTCTCGCATTCCCGGCTTGCGACCGGCCTTCAGATCACCCCTTCCCGGAACGCTATCTCATAGGTTCGAGTGGCCCAGCAACCCCGGCAGCTTGTGGGCTCTGAGACGCACCCTCAAAGAGGAATGGACAGTTAGGGTCAGCCTGCACGGACTGCTGAAGGAGAGCTTCCACGTCACTCTCAATGGTCTCATCGGGCTCACGCTCTCCCTTGGCGTCGCCACATACTATCACTTCACGAATTCGCCAACGGTCTCAAACATGTTGGGGTTGGGTCTCAGCTACGGCTCCTTCATGGTCATGTCTTGCACGTCATTCACGGTCGGGTCTCTGGTCCTGATCGGCCTTTTCTTCTACGACATCGTCATGGTATTCTATACGTGAGTGCTGCCTCCCAGACACAATGTATGACTAGTAGCTTACCCAAAAAAAAAACAGGCCGTACATGGTCACTGTGGCCACCAAGCTTGATGCTCCCATCAAGCTAGTCTTCAAGGCACCTGGACGGGCCAGCCTCCTCGGCCTCGGCGACATTGTCGTTCCTGGCATCTTCATCTGCCTTGCCCTTCGTTTTGACCTCTGGAGGTACTACCAGAAGCAAGTCAAGTACGTTGACACTGAGCTTGAGACGGAAGTCAAGGGAGACATCTCTGAAAAGAGTGTGACAACAACCCAAGTCAGGAAGCGGGCAGTCAAAAAGCCTTACATCAATCCCCAAGGCCAATGGGGCAATCGCTTCTGGACCTTGCCTGTTAAAGTGTCCCCAGTCGCCACCAAGGGACTCTGGGCTGCGGCCTTTCCCAAGACCTACTTTTATGCATCTATGCTTGGCTACACACTCGGCATGCTAGCAACCCTGAGCATGTTGGTGATATTCAAGCACGGCCAGCCGGCGCTTCTCTATCTCGTCCCGGGCGTTGTGGGCTGCACATGGCTGACGGGTCTGATCCGCGGTGAGCTGCACGAGATGTGGATCTACACCGAAGATGGAAGTATCGACACGCAGGACGTCATCGTGGAGGTGGACGCTGATGGTAATGTCATCAAGGAGGTCGCCCACAAGGAGGACAAGAAAGACGAGAAAGACAAGTCGGGCGAGAAGAGCAGCGAGAAGGAAGGCAATGAGACTGACGGGGATGCTAAGGGTGCCAAGGACAAGAAGTCATCTGGTGCTCATGATGTGTTCCTCTTTGCTATCACTGCACCAGGAGATGCCGAGTTTGAGGATGAGGAGTGAGATTAGAACATTATTATGCTTCGGCTTCAGAGCCTTGGAGGCATATCAGGATCATGGTATCTGAATTAACATCCACCTGGCGAAGCTCGCACAATGGGACGGTTCCCGGGAAACAAGTCGAGCGAATAAGGACAATTCAAATTCAAATTCATACTGAGTATCTGATCCTTCTAAGCCTGTATTAGTGTGATCGATGTCTCGCAACATCTGACCCATCATCCCTCGCACCACGGAAAGGTTCAGGCTTTTGTTCGCAAGGGACCCTCCACACAGTTTCCGCATCTCCATCCCTCGAGGATGTAAATGCATCCCATGTGCTTCATCGGGCTTACCCCACTCTCGGCGTTATGAGGGGCGTAGCTATTTTCCAATTCCTTAAAAGGCATCCATCCTACAAACTTCCAGGGCCCGACAGGCTCTCCTTTCTCAATGCCTCCGCATCTACAAAGCGGATTCACATCGCCTCCAGCACGAAGCCACGCACATCACGCTCGACTGGCCCGGTCAAGGGAGGAGCGGGAAGGGGGATGTCGGCTTCCGGCGGGTCATCGACGCCGAGAAGGGTCGGCAGAGAAGGGCAGATGGGCGGCCTTCCAGCGAGGTAGGGTTCGGAACTGGGGGCTCGCGAAGGGACATTCTTTCACTCGAGACCGCGTTGATTTGGTCGACGGCAACGTCAGGGGCGGGGGGGAGTTGCGGGAGGAAAGAGAGTCCTTGCGGCGGGTGGGCTCGACACTGTGCTCTACATCTTGATTTGGCGGCTTCTCACATCCATCCCCTGAGGCGTTGCTGGGGGTGTGTGTGAAGAAGATGGAGCTGTGGAGCATTTGCGCTCGACGCTGGCTGATGCGGCCCTCGATCTCCGAGAAGAGAGTGTCGCATCGACTGGCGGAACACAAAGTGGTACTTCTCGGTGCTCGACGCACTGGCATCCGCGAGGCTGTCGTTGCGGAGCTGAGAAGTCTTGTCTGTCGCTTGTTCGTGCTTGGTGGTGCTTCGAAGGTCCCGCGGTTCTGGCCGTCATGGCTTGGCTTCGGTGACGAGACCACGAGCTAGGGTTTCAGAGCAGTGGGAAACCCCTCTGGTGGCACCAGGTGTTATGGTCTTTTTTGAGTTGGTGACGGCTTCGGGGTACCTGCATCTGGCCTCATGGCTGGATCTGAGTTTGGATCTCGAGCTAGGCTTTCAGTGCAACACCCGGGCGGACCATCTTATCGAATGACTGGTCTTGAGAAGGCATTTTGCAATGTGAACAAAAAAAGCGAAGGGGACTATTCCCGGGGAACGAGGGGAATTGGCCATAGCGAAGAACAACAAAATGCACATTGATATGGTGTCACTTGCTCTTTAAATAAGCGGAAGATTGGAGCTTTCTCACGGCAGGTGGAGGAGGCCTTGGTGGTGTTTTGGGGGCTCCGATCAAAAGCCTACCAGCCTGTTTCATCTTACACCAGCATCCTGCGACACCATGGCATGACACCTGAAACTCGACTCAGCGCCTCACACACTACACATCGCACCACGATCTGCTCACTTTCAAGTGTCATGCAAGATTTCCCACCGTTGAAGTAACCATGGCAGACAGCGGCGGCGAGCGCCGCCCGGTGCTGGTTCAATGGATCCTCGACACCCGGAACCTGTGGCCAGAAGCATCCAAGACCAAGGATCTCGAAACAGTGGTGAGGTCCTCCCCGACTGGCCCCCCCGCACTAAGCTATCCCAACCTTAATACTCCTCAACCGAACCGAAGGATGTTTTGACTGATACAGCAGCTCGCCAACCCAAAAAAATAGGCGTCTAGGGCCCTCGCGCTCCTCACGCCGGAGGAGAAGGCAGGGGTGCTGCGCTACATGTTTGTGCGCGACGCCAAGATGTCGCTGGGCTCGCACCTGCTCAAGCACTACGCCGTCAGCAGGCTGCACGGCGTGCCCTGGCGCGAGGCCGCCATCACGCGCGACCCCAGGACGAAGCCCGTCTACCGCGACCCGGCGACCGGCGGCCAGCCCGTGTCGTTCAACGTGAGCCACCAGGCCGGGCTGGTCGCCCTCGTCGCGGTGGCCCGGTTCGACGGAGAGGTCGAGGTCGGCGTCGACGTGGTCTGCGCGTCGGAGCGGCGCGGCCGGGACCACAAGATGGTCGCCGAGGAGGGCTGGCCCGCGTTCGTGGACATGCACGCCGACGTGTTCGCGCCGGGCGAGGCCGCGTACCTCAAGTTCCAGGTGCTGAGCGGCGGAGCCCTGCCCGCCGGGAGCAGTGCCGAGGCCGTGCTCGACTTCAAGCTGCGGTGCTTCTACGCGCTGTGGTGCCTGCGCGAGGCGTACGTCAAGATGACGGGCGAGGCGCTGCTGGCCAAGTGGCTGCGGGAGCTCGAGTTCCGGGCGATCCGTCCGCCGGCTGTTGCGGCGGCGTCGTCGTCGTCGTCGTCAGACAATGAGGCGCAGGGCGGCGCGGTCAAGGTGGAGGAGATTTGGTTCCAGGGCCAGAAGGTGCAGGATGCAAACGTGTGTATCCGGTCGTGGGGTCCCGACTACATGACGTGCACGGCGGTACGGACGCCCGGACGCGAGGCGGACGGGCTGGCCTTCGAGCTGGGCCCTTACGAGGTGCTGTCTATGGATGAAGTGCTGAGCTTTGCCGAGTCCATGATGTGAAGATGGTCTCAGATGATATCACGAAGAACAAGATCATAGAATACAGGATGCTATATAAACTACCTACTTCGGTCGCTTGGGCTCCATCACAAGGTCATGTTTGTTGTTGATCATCATCATCATCGACATGCTCGCGTGTCAACACCAGAGAGACATATTTCCGAGTCCAGTTGCGTGTCCGGTAATACCATTTTTACCTACACCACCCATCGCATCGCTGACAAAATCCGCGGAGATCTCGGCGATGATCGCTACCACGGAGATCTTGGCCCAAGCCCACTCCGTACCTACTTGCAGAGATGGACGGATGTCTGGCCGCCGCTAGGACCTGATCTGGCCATCAAAATGCACCTCCATCAGCCAGAAGTGAACCCAGGCACTATTAACGTTAAATCGGCGCCCCAGCGTCCCGGTGCAGGGCAGGCAGGCCGCGAGAGCCTTCTATTGGCTGGCAGTGTGGGAGCTTCCCAGAGCTTGCCCAACCAGCGGGCGGCCAACAACGTCATTTCTCTAGCAGCCATCGCAACTTTTTAACTCGATGCAGCTAGGGGGGCGAGAGACAGCCAAACAGCGTACTTTCAGGCCAGACAGGTACCGACAATACCCCGACCTCGCTGGGGCTTAGCACACCATCTCGTGCCTCTCAATCTCCATCCTTGCTGGCTGGCACCACACACCCATCAAAAGCACTCTTGCTGGTTGCTGCCCCTCATCACGCAGGTGCCAATCCCAATTTTTCCCTCTCCCAGGGCCGATGCAATGAAGGAGGGTTGGTAGTCTTTGACCTCATCGTTCTGGTTTTTGTCCGTGGTTGTCGCGATTCTTCCTCCTCTTCTGTTTTTTGGCAGCACGCATTTGTATATTTCCCTCCCCTCACTCGACCCAGCGGCGGTCTAGTCAGTTGCTCGTACAGCTTCTCCCGTCCGTCTCCGCCACTCTGTCCACAATTGTTATCAAACCCACATACCGGTTTCTTGGCTTCACTACTTAGTAAGGAACGCACCCGCGACTCTAGTATGTCGGACGCCGGCGACAGGTACGAGCTCCAAAACCCCCCCAGACCAGACCCTCCAGTGCTGGCTGCCTCACAAAGCCCTCCCGAGAACTGACCGCTAACATCGCCTGATACCACCACGTTGCAGTACCCATAAACGAACCAAATCTTCGGGTCCTTTGTCTCTGCTGAGGCGTAAAGATCGCGGCGGCGGCGGCGACGACGACACGACTTCGGACGACGGTTCCCAGCATGCTCTGTCTGGCATAGCATCCAATCCCACTGCCGCGACCTCACAAACCTCCTCCGCCATGGCCCAACAACAACCGTCCAACAAGGGCCACAACTCTCGCCTGTCCGTTGCTGGGTCTTCTCTTGGCCGAGTGCCTTCCCACCAGGGCTCAGCAACCGGTGCATCCAAGTCTGCTCCGGCCATCGTCGACAAAGCGACCACGCTGGAGCAATCCGTGCGCAAGTTTCGCGTCGTCGAGGCCCTGAGAAATGGCGACACGGCATCCATATCCAGGACAATCCGTGAAACCGCCGAGGGCGGCCCCCGCCAGAGCATCTCCTCGGCATCTGCCCCGTCAGCGACGTCGCTCGACGACACGACGATCCTCCACCTTGCCATCCAATGCGCAGAGTTCCCTGTTGTCGAATACGTGCTCTCTGATGGCGCCGGCTCCATCGACGTGAATGCACGGGACAAGGACGGCAACACCCCGCTGCACATTGCAGCGATGCAGGGCCGCTCCCAGGTCGTGCGCCTGCTGCTGGACCAGAAGGACATCAATGAGTCCATCGCCAACAACCAGGGTCGCCTGCCCATTGACCTGGCACGAAACCCCGAGATCTTCCAAGTGCTGCAGCTCTCCAGATCGCTCTTTGCCGAGGAGAAGGTGAAAGAGATCCAGGAACTGGTCAACCGTGGGGATTACAAGACGCTGGCTCAGGTCTTGGAGGAACCTCGGCTGAAGACTGTCATGGACATCAACAGTACCGAGTTTGTCTCCGATCCTATTACCTCTCAGTCTGGTGGCAACCTGCTGCACGAAGCTGCCCGCAAGAAGAACACTGCTCTCATCCAAGTGCTGCTCCTCCACGGTGCCGACCCTTTCAGGAGAGACCGCAAGGGCAAGCTGCCCCAGGATGTGACCAAGGATGATGTCACGAGAGCCATGTTGAAGCGCTCCCCGGCCGCTGTCGCAGCGCAGAGGGGGATCCAGGAGAAGGCTGTCCTTGGCGCCGCGAGCCAAGGATCGGCTGCTTCTGCGGCTGGCGATCCTCTGGCTGGCCGCGAAGCGAGAGAAATGAAGGGCTATCTCAAGAAATGGACCAACTACAGGAAGGGATATCAGCTGCGTTGGTTCGTGCTCGAGGACGGCGTCCTGAGCTACTACAAGCACCAGGATGACGCCGGCTCTGCCTGCCGTGGCGCCATCAACATGCGCATCGCACGGCTGCACATGAGCCCTGACGAGAAGACCAAGTTTGAGATCATCGGAAAGTCTTCCGTCAAGTACACTCTCAAGGCCAACCACGAAGTGGAGGCCAAGCGGTGGTTCTGGGCGCTGAACAACTCGATCCAGTGGTCCAAGGACCAGGCCAGGGAAGAAGACAAGAACCGCGCGAGAAGCGCCGAGCTGCTGAAGCAGGCCAAGGCGGAGCACTCGCAAGGGACCTCTATCAACGAGACGCAGAGCGAGAATGCCAGCCTTGCCGACCGGCCACGCAGCAGCTTCCAGCTCTCTCGCCTGCACTCGGCAAGCAAATCCATGACCAAGGTTCAGCTAGCTGGCACGAGCACTGTGGGTAGTTTGGATGAGGATGATAACATCGACTTCTACGAGTCCAAGAGTCAGGGTGGTGCGCCGGGCCAGAACGATGACGATGACGACGATGAGGAGTATGGCGATGCTTCAAGCGGCCATGAAGCGCCAAGCGGCAACAAAGACGCCTTCAACATCACTGCCCAGTCTGTCAAGCTACAACTCGACACCATGGCGCAGGTGAATGCCGCCTTGATCACCGAAGCCACTAAGAACCCGGCTCTCACCCTGTCGGACACCAAAACGCAGCAGGCACTATCTACTTATGACGCTGCGATCCGCTCCATGACCGGATTGGTTGGAGACTTGCTCAGGATCTCTCGCGATCGCGATGCCTACTGGCAGTACCGACTCGACCGCGAGGTGGATATGCGACGCATGTGGGAGGAGAGCATGGCCAAGGTCGCACACGAGCAGGAGGCTCTCGAGGCTCGCGTCGGCGAGGCGGAAGAGAAGAAGAAGCAGGCCAAGAGGATACTGAAGGAAGTGGTCGGCAGCGGCATGCTCGAGGAAGGGCCGAACATCGCGCATGGCGTCGCCAAGGAAGAGATATCGCAAGGAGTGTCCGAGGCTGAGGTCGCCGCTGGGCAAAAGTCTCCGACTCATACCATCTCCCGCCGGCAGACCGTGATTGAGCAGGTCGCAGATCTGTCAGACTCCGAGTCCGATGCTGAGGAGTTCTTTGACGCCATCGATGCGGGCGAGGTCGAGGTGGAGCCCTTGCCGCCGGCCGAGCTTGTCGCGGCCGGGGAGAAGGAGAAGCAAGAGGTAGTCATTTCGGGCATCGACATCAGCAGCGCATTCCACGGATACGAGAACGGGCCCAGGCAGAGACTCAAGTTGGACGCTGACAACCGTCCCAAGGTCGGACTTTGGGTAAGTGCCAATTGGTTGAGAAACCTAGTCTCATCAAGACGCGAGCTAACAAATAATTACAGGGAATTCTGAAATCTATGGTTGGCAAAGATATGACGCGGATGACTCTCCCCGTATCGTTCAACGAGCCGACCTCTCTTCTTCACCGCAGTTCCGAAGACATGGAGTACTCCGAGTTGCTTGAGCAGGCAGCGGCGCGGTCCGACTCGATCGAGAGACTCATCCATGTCGCTGCCTTTGCCGCCAGTATCTACGCGTCGACGATTGGCCGTGTCGCCAAGCCCTTCAACCCTCTGCTGGCCGAGACGTTTGAGTACGCTCGACCTGACAAGAACTACAGGATGCTGGTTGAGCAGGTCAGCCACCACCCGCCCATCGGTGCATCGTGGGCCGAATCGCCCAAGTGGACCTACTACGGAGAGCAGAATGTCAAGTCGAAGTTCTATGGGAAATCCTTCGACTTCCAGCAGCTCGGTACGTGTTTCTTGAGGCTCCGGCCCGACGCGGGAGGCAAGGAAGACTTTTACACGTGGAAGAAGCTCAACTCTACGGTCGTGGGCATCATCACGGGCAACCCTGTGGTCGACAGCCACGGCCCCATGGTGATCAAGAACTGGACCACGGGCGAGGAGGCGCACCTCAACTTCAAGCCGCGCGGCTGGACGGCGGCCTCGGCCTACCACGTCAACGGCAAGATCGTGGACGCCAACGGCCACGTGCGGGTGTCGCTCGGCGGGCGGTGGAACTCGAGGATCTACGCGCGGTTCACGCCCGGGTACGAGGCCACGGTCGAGGAGCCGGCGGACGGCGAGTCGGAGCGCAGGGGCAGCATCGGGTCGGACCCGCAGAACCGGGCGTTCCTCATCTGGCAGGCGAACCCGCGGCCCAAGGGGATCCCGTTCAACCTGACGCCCTTCGCCGTGACCTTCAACCACATCGACGAGCAGCTGGCGCGGTGGCTGGCGCCGACGGACTCGCGGCGGCGGCCGGACCAGCGGGCGATGGAGGAGGGCGAGTACGACTTTGCGGCGAAGGAGAAGGTGCGGCTCGAGGAGGCGCAGCGGGCGCGGCGCAAGGCGCGCGAGGCGAGCGGGGACGAGTTCGTGCCGGCGTGGTTCGAGAGGGCCAAGTGCGAGGTCACGGGGGAGACGTACTGGAGGCTCAACGGCCGGTACTGGGAGCAGCGGGAGAGGGCGGGCAAGGGGGACGAGGGCGCTTGGGAGGGGCTTGAGCCGATTTACTAGGGATGATGATGAGGCGTGAAGCGAAGCAGGGTGAGGGAAAAGGGGGGAAATAGAGAGAGGAGGACGGGAGGAGGGGAAGGGAGGAGAGAGAGAGAGTGTGTGTGTGTGTGTGTGTGTGTTGCTTACGCCGAGTTTTGCGTTTTCCCTTCGCTGGAGGTAGTATATTGCTGGCAACGAACATTTGTACTGCAAAAGCAAAAGAGAGTTCATTCTATTCAGTAAAGGGGGGCATTTGCCGTGATGTTGCTCGTATTGGAGGTCAGGTCCGTATGATCCTTTGCTACCTATCTAGGTATCTTTAAGGTGTGGATGTATATCCTACAGTTGAAACTATGTGTTCAATGGAAATAGGTATCTACTCGCTCCGCGGGTTCGTCTTGGATAGATCAAAGATGGATTCTCAACGGCTCTAATGTGTTATTCACGAACGAGGGCATGCACTGTCATGATACAAATCGCTGACCATTGATCAATGCAAGAGCTTCAGCATTGCATCATCGCGTACCTGTCAGGGATTAGCTAGCTAAAGAACATGGATTGAACCCACAGCAGCCAGACCCGCCCCGGCGGCGTCGGGACCCATATGTGCTGACAGGCTGACTAGCTCGCTGGCTCTTCGATGCCTCGGCATTTCATCTCTACCCGAGTGGTCCACGAACTCAGGAGAAAAGGGTTCACTTCAAGGATCAGCACTAACAAACATTGTCATCCTTCAACTCTGCTGATGCTAAAGTATAATAATCCTTCACCCTTGCGGAAGTCTACATAAACGTCAGCGCAACTGGCTGAATTGAAGACTCTCGTATTATCGCGTAGGTTTGAACCGTCATCGCCTCAGTTGAACGTGAATCACGCAGCAGGCCAGAAGAACAGCTACTAACTTTCGAAATGGATCCCAGAAAGGCGCCCGGGCAGAGAATCAATACAGCGGAGATGAGAGGATCAACGCTCTTGGAGCCGCCTCCCTTTGACCCGGCCAAGTCGGCCATAGAGAACCACCTCGAGGTGACCGAGGTCGAGGATCTCGGACGTGTAAGCTGACGACGACATCTCGCACAAAGTCCTGCAAGGCTAACAAGATACACCCCTCTGCCCCTAAAAGAACGTCTTCACCAACACGCGCCCGCAGTGGCACCCGGCCGGCGGCCGCGGCGTCTACGGCGGCGCCGTCCTCGCCCTGTGCCTCTCGGCCGCCTACCGCACCGTGCCCGAGGGCTTCTTCGTCAACTCGTGCCACTGCTACTTCCTTGACGCCGCCTCGGCCGAGATCCCGCTGCTGCTGCACGTGGAGAACCTGCGCGACGGGCGCTCCTTCGCCACGCGCACCGTGCAGGCCCGCCAGCGCGGCTCCTGCGTCTTCACCACCACCGTCTCCTTCGCGCGCCGCGGGTCCGGCGTCAGGGGCGGCCCGGGCAACGTCATCGAGCACGCGGCCGTCATGCCCACGCCCGAGCAGCTCGGCGGCGCCGCCAGCCCGCCCGAGGAGTGGGAGGACGAGCCGGCCCTCCTGCGCTCGTTCCCCGTCCAGACGTCGCCCCTGCACCTGCTCAACGGGGCCGACGCCGACCCGCACAAGCGCAGGGTCTGCCACTGGATCCGCTCGCGCGACCGGATCTCCGACGAGGGCGGCCACGTGGCGCACATCGCCGCGCTGGGCAACCTGAGCGACAGCTACTTCATCGAGACCGTCACGCGCGTGCACGGCCTCTGGCGCATGATGTTTGCGCCGCAGGACCTGCCGACCCTGCCCGAGGACCTGCGCGAGTACGTCTGGGCGATGCACCTGCAGGAGTCGGACCCCGAGAAGAAGAAGGAGGAGACGGAGGGCGACGACGTCAAGAAGGCCATGGACAGGGACCTGGACCCTGCCAAGTGGATCGGCCGGCCCGAGGTGGGCATGATGGTCAGCCTGGACCACTCGATCTACTTCCACAACCCGCTCAAGGTCAAGGCGGACGAGTGGATGCTCTATGAGATGGACAGCCCCTGGACCGGCGACGGACGGGGTCTGGTCACGGGGCGTATCTGGGCCAAGGACGGGACGCTGCTGGCGACCTGTGTGCAGGAGGTGAGTTTGTCTCTAATGCAGTCTTTCAGGGAATGGTCTACTGACACTATGAACAGGGTACTGTTAGGTTGAAGGCTAAGCCGGCTGGCATGAATGAGGCTGCCAAGCTGTAGAAGGGATGGCGATCTGAGCCTTTTCAACGTATGTGTTCGTCTAAATTTTGTCACAGGCGTTCCGGATATTTGATTCCAAGGAAGGACACTGCATGTATGTCAATTTGGTGTATTATATACCCCTTCAAGGGAAGAGTGGCAACACAGATAGACTGTATAGCACGTCTGCAAAGCCGATCGTGTTGATCGTTTCCCATCATGAGCTTCACCAATCGCCTCCAAACCTGCTCTCCGAGGATAGGAGATATGCCAACGTGCATGCCGTCAACAGCACTCCTCCAGAGACGAGCAGGGTGTCGTGCCCCGACGGAACCAGGTACGCCAACACAAAGCCCGAGACCAGCAGCCCTCCAAGCACAATGACAACATCCTCCACAGTCCACAACAGGTCTTGTACCTTGTCCAGTCGATGCGTTGATCCGTCCTGCACCACCACTCGATCCTGTTCGCACAGCTCCTTCTCCCGCCATGGTATCTCCACCCCCAGATCCTCCAGGACCTGCTCGGCCGTGATCTTGGCTCCAGCCAACACGATGGGCACCCCCGTACCAGGGTGCGTACTGGCTCCCACAAAGTAGGCATTCTTCAACCCCTTGGCCCTGGTCCTCGGCCGGAAGGCAAGCACGTTGAAGAAGTCGTGGCTCAGGCCCAGGATGGCGCCCTTGTCGAGGTTGAACTTGTCCTGCCACGTCAGCGGCGTGTTGACCATCTCGTGCTGGATGAGGTCCCCCAGGGGCCTGCAGCCCGTCCGCTCGCGCACGACAGACAGCACCGCCTCGCGCGCCCGGTCGACGAGCTTCGCCCACTCCTCCTCCTCCTCGTCCGCCGGCAGGCCCTCCTGCCCCTCTCCGTCCTCCTCGAAACGGCCCCTGGACCCGCGCAGGTGGCCCACGGGCACCAGCGCGATCACCGCGTCGCCGCGCTCGGGCGCGGCGGTGGGGTCGACGCGGCTGGGCACGTTGACGTAGAAGCTGGGCTCCGCGGGCAGCGACCGGTGCCGGAAGATGGCGTCGAAGGAGCCGCGGTACTCGTCCGCCAGGAAGATGTTGTGCGTCGACAGCTCGGGCACCTTCTCCGACAGGCTCCAGTAGAAGGACAGCGAGCTGCACGACGCCCTGCGCGCCCGCAGCGACCGGGCGTACGGCTCGGTCTCGGCGGTCGCCGGGAACAGGTTGCTGTACGCGTAGACCAGGTCCGCGTTGACGACCACCACGTCCGCGCGCAGGACCTCGCCGGACTCGAGCACGACGCCCCTCGCCGCCTCGGCCTCGCCTCCGCTGCCGTCGCCGCCGCCTCCGTCGGTCAGGATCCGCGCCACGGGGCAGCCCAGCCGGTACCGCGCGCCGAGCCTCTGCCCGACGCCCGCCAGCGCCCGGAGCACCTCGTGGAACCCGCCGCGCGGGTACCACACGCCCTCGGCCTGCTCCGCGTACTGCAGCAGGCTGTACGTGGCCGGCGCGTCGAACGGGCTCATGCCCATGTACATGGTGGCGAAGGTGAAGACGCGGCGCAGCTTCTCGGTGGCAAAGTACCGCCCCGCGCGGCGCCAGATGCTCTCGAAGGGGTGCAGCCGCAGCGCCGCCGCCAGGAAGCGCACGCGCAGCAGGTCGAGCACGGAGGTGAAGTTGCGGTGCAGCACGTGCTCCTGGCTCAGCTCGTAGTGCCGGTGCGCCTCGGCCATCCAGGCCAGGTACCGCTCGAAGCCCTGGGGCCCTTCGAGGCGCTCGATTTGCGCTTTTGTCAGGGCCAGGTCGGCCGACTGGCGGAAGCGGTCGCCGTCGGGGAACCAGACGTCGTAGTTTGCGCCCCCGGGGCAGCGCAGCAGGTCGACCCCCTCGGCCTCGAGCGAGGTGTCGAGGTCGTGGAAGGCCTCGCGGAAGAGCCGCGGCAGGAGCAGCAGGGAGGGCCCCTGGTCGAAGCGGTAGGCGCCGTGGCGGAGGGTGCTGCAGCGGCCGCCCGTGTGCTCGTTCTTCTCGAGCACGGTGACCTGCAGGCCTGCCCTGGCGAGGCGGGCTGCCGTGGCTATGCCGCCTGCTCCGGCGCCTTGGGAAGTATGTTAGCGGATAGGTGATATTGATGAGTGTCTGTGAAGTATATTTTTGCTTATCTCACCGACTATAATGGCTGTTTTCCGAGGAGCTTTTGGCTCAGACATGGTGCTAATCTACTGTATAAGCAGGCGATGTCCTCCTTTACAACCTGATCTGACGGTCGACTGTGCTCACTCTTCGTGGTTCAGATATGCAACCTTCCTCGACGAAGGGTCGGACAGTTCATGCCAAAGCAGCTCTCACAGGAACACTATGTACAAATACATATGTGCATTAAGTCTAAATTCACCGTCAGTCTTAAGTCTCGTGAAGCCGCGGGTTCCGCAGGCAGCGGGTGTGCCCGTGTAAGTGCGTCGGGTGTCTCGCTTCGCCCGAACTTTTAGCCTCCCCTTCCAGCTTCTATGACGACACCAACAGCTCTGCAACGCGTGTAAGTCGCGTCCGTCCAACCGAATCCCGTCTTGTCTGGCAGAAGCAGCATACTAAAGATAGCTGCCCAGAATTTAAGCGGTGCTTTTGTCTCAGACTGATATGCCGTTTCAAAAACTGCAGCTTCGGGGTTGCGTTGCATTCTTTCGAAAGACATTTGGCCTCATGAGACGATGCCATTTGATGAGCTCTGGAAGAATGGATCCTTCTCCGACAAACTGAGAGAGAATGCATGTCGATCTCTTCCAGGGGTGCCAATACTATCTACATCTGATATATCCTACAGCCAAACAGCTCATGAGCTACGCAGCAGCGATCTAAACAACACCCACGCCCTTCTGATCCTGGGAACTGTGGCCTTCCCACTTTTCACCGTGTAGTCCTTCCTCTCTCTGATGACCCTCCCAATCTCCATATAGCTCTCCACAGCAGCGATCATGGGAGCTCTGGCCTCCTTGGGGATGTGGTCCATAGTAGGCCGTGCCTCACGGTACAATCCAAACGCTTTGTCTAGCAGCCGAGTCCGTAGTCGCTGTATTGCCGGTCCTTGAGGGTGCTCCAGCACATCCCGAGGAGCCAGCCCTTCCTCCTTGAGCCATGTAGTCGGGATGTAAACCCTGCCCATCTCGGCGTCGACCTGGATATCCCGCGCGATGTTGACGCACTGGAGGGCGATGCCCATTGTCCACGCTGCCTTGTGCAGCCGAGACTTTTCGCTCTTGCTGATCTGGTAGCCACGAGTCTGTTCAACGTGGCTGAAGATCAAGCACATGCAAAGTTCGCCCACAGTGCTCGCGACGCACGCCGAGTACCTGTCAAGAGCGTTTTCATCCTTAATAGGAAACTCTAGTTCCTTGTCGCGGTCTGCATCGACATCGGTCTGAAAGCCTTCCAGGAGCTGATTCAGGGGCTGTCTCGGGAGCTTTTCCGTGGGAAGCAGCGACAGGGCCGACCAGGTTGGTCGAGGAAATTGCTCCTGAATGTACTTCTGAACCTTTGGATCTTTTGGTGACTTCTTCCGGTCATCACAGCTCAGGTCGAGGAACCTCTGAAGCTTTTCGAGCCACTTGCCTTGGTCACTCGTCGTTTCTGCATTGTCTATCAAGTCGTCGGCCATACGGCAGAACGAGTATCTGGTTGTCTCATGTCGTCAGCATTGGCCATCAAGAGCACAGTCTTTTGGAACTTACAGCAACATCAGATCAATTCTCAGTCGGCCGTGGAAAGCGCTGCTGGCGATGTGAAAGCTGCGGCTCTTGTGTCGAAGACGTCGAGCTGCATCTCGGATCCCCATGAGCCTCGCCATGTCGTATTCCTTTCCAGGGACCATGAAAGCTCTGATGAGCAGCATGGGCGAGAAGCACTCGGGCACTCGAGGGAACAGGGCTGGGAATGCCTCGAGAATGGCAAGGCCATAGTCGAAAGCAGCCAATCCGACCACTATCAGGGCATTGGTAGCGAGAAAGAAGACGGCTTCTTCGATATCCAGGCTACCCCAGAGGCAGATGCCCAGTTTTGTGCCAGGCTGAATCGCCCACGTTCCGTTCCCAAGGGCGAGCTCATCCACCATCCACAGGCAAACCGTAGGTAGAAAGACGGGCAAGGCGATGCTCCAGCTGGGCAGTCTCAGTATGAAGATCCCTCCAAAGGTCCAACTTATCAGCAGAAAAGGCGCGGCCCACAGCAGGATAAGACCGATGTATGTGTACTTTGCGCCGAAGCTGACACACAGGGCGCCTGTACCAACGGCAAGTCCTAGGACGCCCTGGACGAGCCACTTGGTACGTCTGACGCGTCGCTGAACATCTCGCCCGAGATACTCGACATGCAAGAGGGGTTTTTGGAAGAGGACATAGATCAAGGAGGTGATGTACGTCTGTATGACAAAGAAGAACACCTCCTCTGCCGGGATATCATACAACCGTGGGCCAATGATGGCGTCTGGCGGGTATGTCCAGACGTTGGTGCGAATCAGATAAGAGTCCCAGGGTATCGTAGATAGGACCGCGATGCAGACAAGAATGGAAATCTTGTATACACAAGTGCGGTTCAGAAACGGATAGGCTAGAGCAGTGAGGACCGCTGCCAGAGGAATAGTGAACTTCAAGTGCCTATTGGGTGTTGACTGTCAGCAGACGGGACTCGCGACCAGGCTTGTGTCTGGCCAGACTTACACGAAAGCATAATCATATGCCATGGCATCGACTCGAGCTGTGCTGGCACGGGCTCAACAAGCCGAAACGGGTTTGTGATGTGGTCGTGGAATCATCAATGCCTCCCGGAGGATGGAATATTTATTTGCAGAGCAGCATGAGACGTTTCGACAAGACCAGCAGAGAGGCTGGGATCCAGGGGAAGAAGGCCGAATTTCTTCATCGAGGGTAATACATGGACCACAGACCGTCGCTGCCGCTCTGCCGCACACAAAACGCGCAACACTTTCTTACCTGCCTCGCCCGGATCTAAACTTTGGCGACCTGCGGAGTCTTGTCTCACCTCTGCTACGCAAAAACGAGAACAAGATGGAAGAAAGACGACACAAAGAACCACCTCACGGCCATAGTTGATCCACGGCCCGCAGCGTCACACAGCATTGCGCGCATCGCAAGTTCGAATCGCGCGACTTTTGCCCAAGACAGGGGGAAGCCCGCTCAGTCGTGATGTCATTGATATGTGTGTAAGCTGAGAAGCGCAAATGAAGCTAGGATGCTAGGAAAGGAACCGGGAAACCGGAGCGCCCTGCGCCTCGAAACACACGTTGTCCATTTGACTGGACGCCGTTGATTGAATTCGGGTCTTTCCGTGAGTTATCTGTTCTAGCAATTGCTTCCCTCCCCGTCTGGACCCTCAGAACCGATGCTTGTCTCTTGCAACCAGAACAGTGGAGATGAGATCACATTGGACTGCCGATGCAACCAATATGCCGATGCATTAAACGGAGTACAAAATACCACATACATGTAGGCTCCACTTGCAAAGCTCTCCCCAGATTTGTCCAGGGGCAGGGGCAGGGGCAGGGGAGGCTGGATTGGGCTCAATTTGAAGTCATTGGCTTAGTTTGCGCGACACCGGCTCGTTTTCAGCCGAGGTCCCGACCCCATTCTTCAATTTCTTGAACTCCGCCTCGATCCAACCGCATCCGTCCCGCATCCGAGCAAACGACGTCAACCCGTAACCACCGCCACATCGGGCTCCGGCACAACACCCGCAACACCTGGTCAAGACGCCGGCACCCCCCGCTGCGTGAAAGCAAGCATGGCAGCAGCCCGGATGCGGCTGCTCTCGCAGCCCGCGCGGGCGAGTCAATTGGCCTCCGTCGCCCGCGCCTTTCACTGCCGGCAATCAGCCCCGGCCCGAACCCACCTCGTCGCCGCCTGGCCGCCAGCAGCATCACCACCCTCAGCATCATCGGCATTATCACTATCGCGATCCTTCACATCGTCCCGCCGCCTCCTGCTGAAAGATCCCGACAACCGTCCCCCGCCGCCGCGCACCTACTTCCAGCCCGGCGACAGGCCTCCTCCGCCCCAATACCAGTCCCTCGACGACTTCCAGTCCCAGGCGCAACTGCAGCAACAAGCTCAGCCTACATCACCAACGCCACCTCCCCCGCCGCCGCCGCCACCCTCCTCCTCGGCCCAAGAACCCTTCTCCGAACCTGGCCCAGATAGCCAGTCCCGTCCTCGCCGGCGCCGGCGGTTCCTCAGCTGGACGTTCCTAGGCTGGGTCGGCGCCATGCTCGCCCTCGGCGCCTACTTCGGCCGGCGCCTGCGGGTCATCCTGCTCCCGCCGCAGCCCGAGCCGGGCTCCGAGCTCGACGAGAAGGCCACGGCCCTCGTCCACAAGATGGCCGCCGACCTCGACATCGTCAAGCGCCTGTCCGCCGACCCAGACTACGAGTCCTGGCAGGCCTACACCCCCCGGCCGCGGTCCTCACCCTCACCCTCTTCCTCCTCCTCCTCCTCCTCCTCCTCCTCCTCCTCCTCCTCCGCCGCCGCCACCGACGACGAAGCCAGCCTCGAGGACGCCGCCCTCGCCATCATCGCCGCCGGCCTGCCCCACACGCCCGAGGCCGTCCTGCAGCGCAAGGACCGCCTGACCACGGGGCCCATGGGCGGCTACCGCGGCCTGGGCGGCTACCAGCGCGTCTGGCGCCACCGGGCCACGGGCGAGACCGTGACGGTCGTCTTCCTCGGCCCCGCGGTGCAGGGGTGGCCGACGTACGTGCACGGCGGCGCCATCGCCACGCTGCTCGACGAGAGCCTCGGCCGGTGCGCCGTCGGGCGGCTCGCGGGCGGCACGGGCGTCACGGCGCACCTGCGCCTCGGGTACCTCCGCCCCACCAAGGCGGGCCACTTCTACGTCGTGCGCTGCCGCTTCGTCGACGAGGCGGACCTGCCCGAGCACCAGCGCCCGCGCTTCAGGGCCGCGACCGGCGCCGGGGAGGAGGAGGACAAGAGGAGCCGCAAGGCGTGGGTGCGGGGCGTGCTCGAGGACCTCGACGGGCAGGGGCTCGTCGAGGCCGTGGCGCTGTTTGTGGCGCCCAAGAATATCAAGCTCGAGCGCATTGACGACAAGCTCTGACGAGAGGGTGTGTGTGCGTGTGCAGCAGAGCGGAGCATTGGCGGTGTTGAGAGAGCGAGGGGGGGGATTTTGGTATCATGGTGATGGTTTGGCCTGTGGAATACACTTCTTACAGAAGAATTGAACAAAAGGGAGAAAGTTGGCAGAGTGAGAGATTTGCCGCATAGCATTGGCATCAATAAGTTTCACATGTACAGTACACTCGAGAGATGTAGAGCGTTGCGCAGACATTCTGCACCACCCACTTGGATGATTAGAAGAAAGATAAAAGCAAGAGGCATATGTTTCTAGTCATCAACGAAATCCAGAGAAGAGACGCTCTTGGTCATGGCATACATTCATCGCTTTCCAAGTCTCATCCGTCGCTCTTAAATCACTTTCCCCTATCCATCAAGTCTCCAGCTTTTGACATGACAAGTACCATATGACAAGTACAGAATAGCGTATCCGTGTCCCATAAAGAGTATGCGCTCGTACCCCTGCTGCTTCGTAAAAAAGAAATGATGAGAGAGCCAACAACCAGAAACCCTTACTGACATTCTGCCTCCGTTTTTCAAGCTCGTCCATCAGACAAGTGGCAGTGCCTACTATGCTACTATGGCCAAGGAGGCCTTTGCTGCTAGCCCCTATCCGGACCCGGAACGAAGTAGTCGTCCTCTATATACGGATATGGAGAATGCCGATGCTGTTGTTGTTGCAGAGGATAAGGTATCGGCATCGGCATTGGCGGGGGCCAAAGGGTGATTAGCATCGGCGGGGGGGCATAGGCCATCAGCGACGGCGCCATCGGCGCCGTCCGCGTGGGAGGCTGAGGGAGAGGGTCAAGGTGAGGGTGAGGATGGGGTTGAGCAGGGCCGAAGAGTATACACCGACATCAAGCGACCTTTCCTAGGATAGACCGCCTGCGTGCGGCGGCGGCGGCGGCTGGGGATTGGGAGGAGCCCAGTGCTGATGCTGATGCTGATGCTTAGGCGGAGCCAGCTGCGGCTGGTGGAACTGCTGGTGCGGCTGCTGGTGGTGCATGTGCGGAGGCGGCGCCATGTGCGGGTGCAGGTGGTGCGGGTGCGGGTGCGGGTGCGGGTACTGCGCAAGGTAGTGCATCGGCGGCGGGAGGGTGTAGTATGGCTCCAGCCCGTGGTTATACCCCCCGTTGCCCACGCCGCCGCCCCGGCCGGGGCCGAACCCCCGGCCGTGAGGGCCGCCGCCACTGCTGCCGGTACCGATTCCGCCGCCGCCGCGCCCATTCCCGCGGTAGAAGCCGCCCCTAGGGCCCTCCGGCGGTCGGAAGGAGCCTTGGATGCTGTTAGTCCTGGCCGAGAGCTGCCCACCTCCTCCGGCCCTGCCGCCGTTGTGGTGGCGGTCTTGGTGGTTATTGTGGCGCGCCATCGCACCGGGGCCGGAGGGTCCCGACTCGTTGCCGGATGTGGCGGACTGGTCACTGGACGCGTTGCCATTACTTGCGTCATTGTTCGTGCCGTTGCTCGCACTGCCGCGGGTCCTACCGTTCCCGCCAGCACCAGCACCAGCACCGCCGCCGCCGCCCCGACCGCCGCCATTATTCCCTCTCCTCCGCACAAACGGCCGCCTGGACGGCCTGGGCTTGCCCTCGACAGAGAAGTTGATCCTCTTGACGGGGTCCGTCACCATGACGCTGTCCGCCAGCCCGGCCTTGGCCAGGTCCTCCGGGGAGGCCGTCCAGGCCTGCAGCACGTTCTCGAGCTTCTCGAGGGGCGCCACCTCGGGCACCCAGGCGCGCACGTACCGGCCCTCGGCGTCGTAGTCGAACCCTTGCTTAACGGGGTTGAAGATGCGCGCCTCGCCGCGCGGGTCGTTGCCCACGCCCGCCACGTACTGCCAGTTGGCCCAGTTGGACGACACGTCGTAGTCGACGAGCAGCATCTCGTAGTACTCGGCGCCGTAGCGCCAGTCGATGCCCAGGTGCTTACTCAGGAAGCTCGCGACGTTCTGGCGCGCGCGGTTCGACGTGTAGCCCGTGTGGATCAGCTCGCGCTGGCTGGCGTCGATGAGGCCCATGCCCGTCGTGCCCGCGGCGAACCGCTCCAGGATCCTCGCGACACCCTCCGGGCTCGGGTTCTGATTCGGCAGGGTGCCGTCCGGGCTGGCGGACTTCCACTGCCTCTTTTTCTCGTTGCCGTAGTCGCTGTCGCCTCGGAACCCCTCCCGACGGAAAAGCTTGTGCTTGAACTTGCGAGTGCACAAGCGCATGTAATCGCGCCACAGCAGCTCGAAGCGTATAGCCTTGGTGCCTTCGTTCTCCCCCTTTCCGTAGCCCTCAACGTCCTCCCACTTCGTCTCGGTTCCATCTTCAAACTTGACAAGCGCTTCATGGATCTGTCGTGCTGTGAGGCAGCCCTGGGCTAGGAAGGCCGAGAGCTTGCTGCTGAAATCGGTGCCCAGTAGCCCATTGCGAGTGTCTTTGTACGCTGACATGACACCCTTCCGTATTAAATATTCAAGTCGCTCTAGGGCCGGATCCTCACCGCCCTTGAAGGGGTGGGCCGAGGTCCCACTCTCTGGGTAGGCTGGCAAGTCCGGGATGAAGTTCTTGACAGGGTTGACGAGAGCCTCGAGGAGTCTCTCGAGAGAACCAGGGGTAGTGAAGGGCGACGCTTGGGCCGGAATATGAGAATCGTCGGGGAATGGAGGGAGGGAGTACTTTTCAGGTTTAGGGAGAGTCGCTCTAGGCTTCTGGCGTAGGGGTTCTGTTGACTTCCTGTAGGTGGTGAATACATCCGGAAGGTCAGCAATATCGGCGAGACTCAAGTCGCGGCTACAAAAGATCAGTTGGCGTTAGCAAATCGACCTTGGGAGTCTGAGCAAGTCAGGAGGGAACTTACTCGTCCACGAAGTATTTCTCGTCGGTCCATAGCCGGAACTCCGCGCTGTGCTTTTCACAGACGGCGGCAACTTCGCTCTGTTCCCGTCTTTCCTCGACACTCTCCTCACCAACCATCCACACGGCACCGACCTTGTGGTCTTTGGACTTCAGACCCTCGAGAAGTTGCTGCAGGACTTCGCCGTGTTTTCCCGCGCGAAGCACGAGCCCGCTACCAAGAGACTCCAGAGACTCTTTGAGGTTCCACACCGCCTCCCCGATGAACTTGGCCCGGTGGGGACCACATCTCCAATAGTTGCCTGTCTGGCTTCTGGCTTCGGGGTAAGGGCTCTTGCTGCCGTCGCGGATGAAACCAGATATCTCAATCTGGTGAGCGGGGAATACAAAGACGGGCAGCAGGTGTGTGAAGCCGTGGTCCGAAGCCGTTGCCAGGTGGTGGAGGATAGGGTTGTCAGAAACACGCAAGTCCTTGCGCAGCAAATAGATGAGCACGTTGGGGCTGGACATTGTTAAGGATGGAAACGCTTCGGAGCTAGTAATATGCAAATACCCGCCTGGCCAGACCCTGATAAGTTGACGTTGGAGACCTTGAAGCCTCTATGGACGGCGGCACAATGCGGAATAGGGCCGTGCTGGGAGGGCAAGTTGTGGTGGTGAAGGAGTTTCAAATCTGGAAAGTAGTATCAAGCAGTGGTGGAGCCGACGACTAGTTGCATTATATGTCTGTTCTTGCAATTCAATGGCGTAATGGGAGGACTTGACGACAAGCTGTCAAGCGGGTCGGGAGCTTCCAGCCCTGCTACTGCTGCCAGTCGATGGTCAGAGGACGGAGCCGTGTCATTGATCACGGATGGGGGGAGCACAAGAGCCACTGACGAGGGGCAGGGAACAGAGCAGGATCCTTGTCTGGGGTCTGTCAGGCACGCACCTTGAGCCTTGAAGGAGGGACCCTTCAGAAGTTAGAGTTTTGTTTTGGCAAGCCGCAGAGAGGTACCGGCGGCAAGGGTCTGGGAACTAGTCTACCAGGTAGCTGCTCGCTTGGGAAAAGCTGCCAGTAAACTCGACTTGGGCAGGCCGAACCGGAGGTATTCCGAGAGTGGATCGAAGCTGAACGTGGACGGACGGGCCCTTATGTCGTTCTCAGTTGGCCACGCATGTACGTCGTCGAACCTAATGAATGCTCCCGCACTACTACCTGACTTACAAGGGCGTGCGTACCTACACTAGGTCGATGGTGGATACAATCGACGGGGCACCGGAATCGATGCGGGTGATGATGTAGTCTGAGACACTCGGATCGTGGCGAGGTGCAACCACGGTAAGGGTCTTGTGGGAGCCGCCTCTAGAAAGGCTAAGTTGGCAGAGGTTGGTGATGACGCTGTTGGAGGAGGGCTGCCGTCCTAGTAGACGGTGTACGCGCTGATCGATCTGGTGTTTGTGATGGCAGCAACGTTCATATACGAGGGCATCGCAAGAGGAACTATGAGAAACAAGAAACGAAAGCGCAGACACCAGGCTTGGGGCTAGTATGTCGAGATCAGGAAACAAGAAGAGGGCCAGGCTTGATGGGCATACCTTTTTCTATCGACTTCAAGGCCTTTCCGTCAGACTGACAAGCAAGAGCAGACTTGGGGGGGGGGAGGCCCTTGTGGCGCCTTGTGATCCACCATGGACAATGCAGACGAAAAGTAAAAAAAAGTCATGACGAAGATTCCTTTCATTTCTGTTCCCGTTGCATCGAGGCGCGGCCGGTAAGGTGTAGCTGCTAGGCTGATAGTTCTCCAATGGAGGGCCGTCCAGACCTCCGGGGGCCCTAGCCGCGCAGGACAGGGGCCATGGCGGCGCGCCAATGGACCCCAGCCCATGGCTCGTGGGCCGCCGATCAGCAGGGCAGCTCGAGATACAAGGGTCTCGGATGTGCTCATCCAGCCAAGAGCATGATCGTGGTGGTGTCATTGTCCTGCGCTGGAATTTGGAATCGGTGGTGACGGGCTCGACTTGGAACGGGGTCCATGGGAGAGAAGTGTCAGAATTGGGTCGCACTGGGAGCTGGATGGGCAAGGCGAAAGACCCCTACCTAGCTCGAGATCCGCAATTCCTGGGCTTGGCCTTTCAGATTTCAGATTGCGAGAAGGGGCCGGGGTCCCGGCGATCGGACCCATTAAAAAGCCAGACGGTCGCATCGGCCGAGATCTAGGTCGCCTCGCCCACACACACAGCAATCACGCCTGGCACCCTCCTTACTGCCTTAGGTATTACAGAGACCCCTTCCTCTTCAGGCTCTGCAACGAAAACCTACCGGGATAGGCAAGCACCTACTCTTTCACAAATCACACAAGAGGCAGGCGCGGCCGGAGGGTTTCAGGCATCCTCTTCCTCCATTTTCTCCTCCATTTTCTCCTCCATTTGAAACCACTCTCTCTCACTTATAGTCTCTCTCTACTTGCAGTTCGGCTTTCCTTGTGTGTATAGGATTGCTGATGCTCCATAATACCCGAGAAGTAGGTAGGTATTTCCAGATAGTTCAGACCTCGGCCCCGCCGCGCCCAGCACTACGTCACTACGTCATTTCAGCCCTCTCGCGTTGGCGGTGCGCCCCGGTAGCTCCATCGCCATTTCCCTTAGGCCAGCACTAAGTTTCGCTGGGCCTTTTGCCGCTGTTCACGCGGGCAACTCTGTTCTTTCTTCCGCCTGGATGTCCCAGTGCAGGCAGCTACCTTACCTACTCCGTGAAGGCTCGTCGCTAGCCCCATCTCCACGTGTGGAACTTGCTCGCCAGGGTCCAAATCAAGTGATGGGCAGGGGTCGCAGGGTCCCCTTTTCTTTTCTTACGATTTACAAGCACCATCGCCACTGTGCACGCGTCGCCAACGCTGGAAATAGCCTCACTTCTGCCATCACTGCTGCACAGTGGACACATCCTTCAATTCATCCCTTTCAAAGGTCTGACATGCACTTGTCTACGTTCCCGCACCGACAGGATCGTATCAAATATCATCTGCATGTCTCCCTCGATGGTGCCACCTGCGATTAAATGTCTGATTGAGTGTCAAAAACATCGTGGCTTAGGTGGCTGATCGCCCCATGGCAGCCTCACCACCCTGTGGCGCTCAGCTGACCCGAGGGCTGAAAATGCTTGTCTGTTCAGACCGCAAGCAGATGATATCCCCAATCTGCTCATTTGATGTGTATTTTTTTGACATATCTTACCATAACTCGCACCAGTGTTCCAGATTCGTTCCTGGATCATCCGCAACCCCTGGTAGACTTCTGCTCAGGAGGGGTTGTGATTGGCCTTGCGTGTGCGCTCCCGATTCCACCACCCGTCACCCTCCGCCGCTAGCATTGACAGCACCCGCCTGGCCGGGTGTAACCGCGACTTGTTGTCCAGCGCTGCTCTGCAAGATCAAGTGCTGACAACGTGTTTTTCAGCCTCAACGGTCTGGACCTCTCAGACTTCTACTGCAAGCCCAAAAAGGCAACGTGTCTTGCTTATACGCACTTTTCGGGAAGTGAAACCTGGCCAATCCGCTCTCTTAGACATGCTGCAACCTTTCGGAGAACGGTCAAATCCTCCCCGTCTGCAATGCAGGAGCCGGTGATTTCTTCTTGACAAAATTAGCTGTCTCTACCTTCACCGCTGCTTTGTTTTATTTCTCTCATCTAAAGTTTTTATGGGCTTATGGGACCCCCTTATTAGTGAGAGTTATTGACATGCCAAATCAAGAACCATCGTACTTGTGACCCACGATTCCTTCTTTTTTTTTATATGTATCTGTATTGGAGTTACACGAGCTATATGGGAATGAAACAGTCTATAATAGCACAAAGGTGGGCACGGTGACCGATTGCACCAAGCTCTACATTACGGTTACAACGCTTGAAAGTAGCACAGAAGCTTGCCCTGTAGCCTTATTGTCTCGGTTGAAGAAGAAACCATAATTGTCTCTTCTTGTGCTATCGAGTGCCTTATGACGTTGGGCTGGACAATGAGGGACTACCTTAGTGATCAGCCTGAGGCATGTCTACTGTTGTGTTCAGAGTTCATACCTTCGACGCCACGAGACTCGGCCTTCTCAGTCAGCGGGGCCTCTCTGGCTCTCGACCAGACTTTTTCTCTAACTGGGTACTTGTGGGCATACTTTGGCTTTGTCCGGAGCTCCGAGTTGTGGGGTTTCAAATGGCCGATGCTCCTGAGCGACATCTTCACCACCGTCGCATGGTGGGTCAACCTCTTCATTCGCGGCAGCCCATCCGGACTTTAAGCAGACATCGTCGCTGCTGCAGTGGACTACGCCGTGGGAATACCTTTTCGTTGGCTTCTCGAGGCGCGAGAGACAAGAAGGCCACTCGGGGAGGATCATCATCATCGCTGCTCTGTTCCTCGTGGCCGAAGTCATGGCCACGGTTGCCATCATGGCACGACAGCACGTTGTCAGCGATGCTGAGCCGTCGAAAGTGGGCGTCTGAATAGTTGACGGAAGTTCATCAGAAGCTACTTCAATCTTAACAATCAATAACCTTGTCACATCCTTGCCCCGGAGCTCGGAAGGGCTATCCCACTACCTAAATCCGATGGGCTTGATTGAAGTCTTTTCGTCGCTGTCGTAGGCTGACATCGTTCCGTGTTCATTATAGTCACCGTATACTTGACAAAAATCAAAAATATCCTCCTGAGAGGCTACGCCTCGAGTTCCATCTTCTTGCCCAGTTCAATATTTGCCTCCATCACCGCCTCGTCCACAAACCGCATCAATATGGTGCCCAAGAAATCTCCACCGTTCCAGTCTTCCCATTCCTCCTCGCCCATATGCAGTAGCACCAACAAACCCACGATCTTCAGAAAGGTGTTATTGGTAGTGTTATGCTGGAGGCTGTAAGAGTAGATAGTGCTGTCTAGACTGGTGGTAGAGAGGAATTCCTGGGCACTAGGTTGAGCCTTGTCTAGGAATTGTAGACCTACTGCAGTCTATAGCAGGAGATCCTAGATGTGGGCGACGTACGGCCTCTATAGGTTGATACCTATTATATTGAGGTGGTGTACCTCTATAGCCATCCCCTAGAAGACGATGACTATATATCGGAGGGTATCTATCTCAACCTCTTCTATAGTGTGGTTAGTTATAGCAAGCTGGTCTAGGTAGGTACTAAATATATAAAATGCGGTTATCTTGTTAACTATCTATATTAATATAAAGATATATATATAAGGTAAGACGATATGCCTACACCTCTTATTATATCAGAACTAATGATATTATAATACTTAGTAGATATTAGTTATAATATCCTTAAATATGTTGATTATATAGTATTCAATCTTAATAGAGCTAAAGAATTTATCTAGAACACCTATATTATCCTATATTATCTATATATCAATATATATAAATCCTACTTTAGACAGCTTGCTCTATAGGTAGTCAATCATCTTAAGGTCTAGGATGATAATGATATTATTATCAAGATAGTCAGCAAGTATCATCATGCTGTTAGCATCTTATATAGGGGGTAGTGTGCTAAGACATACTTCTGAGTATATGATGCTAGCAGAGAAAGTCAGTCTGTATCATCTATATATGCCTAGAGGGATTGGTACATACATAACTTTACAGGACGTATGTATGCCTTCACAAGGCGCGTCGACTGAGGACGCAACAGAAGAAATCTCTGAGGTTACTGTCCCTAAGGACCGACGCGACTCAGTGGAGCGGTCTGTGTCAGTGACGCTCTCGTCGTCACCATCGCTGGTACCGGCAGGGACGTCTGGCTCTGAGAATACCGGTTGCCAGGCCAGGGTGGGCTTGGCTTGGAGGAGGCTTCGCAGGCTCTCGAGTTCCATAAACACTTTTTATTTACTTCTGCCTTGTATACAATATCCTGGCCATCATAGCTTGCTTATGTCGATATCAGAGAGTATTTGGTTCGGGGTTTCTTCTTGTTAGTTGGTTAAAACAAGAAGCAGATCCCATAAAGGCTAGAGACTCATCTTGGAAGTCATTCACTCTGTATAACCCTGAGCGGAGAGGCCAAAAAGACGGCCCTTTAAGTACACGCGACGCCTTGTCCTATTGATACAAAGTTGCCAAAGCTCAAGAGCTTTTGCAACGGTAACTCCTGTCCAAGTATATTATTAATTTGAAGCTTAGAATTTGAGCTTTCCATTGATAAAGCTGTTTCTTGGGAGATAGCCTCTTGAAGGTGTTAACAGGGGTGGCGGAGCAGCCATTCTCGAAAGCATATTCTCAAGAGTCTGCCTTGCATCATTGCGCCTGCATAAAATGGTTCAGCCTGGTCAGCTTTGCGGCCCAACGGGCAGATGACGATCCGACTGCGGCCTGAACAAAATGTGCCGCCGCTCACATCGGTGTTTTTTTTTCTCGAGAATCATAATCAATCCGAATCGCCAGTAGATTGTTTGAAACGATCATCTTCGCCATTCAACCGCTCGGGTAGGCCACCAAGCGCAGGTCTTCTTTTCCAATATCTCTCTGCGAGGGCTTCTCATGATGGATCAATCCTGCAACCACACTCGACAGGGCTCAGATGACGACACTGCGATACCTGGGCGAATAGAGAGCCACGGACCAAATCGGGGTAATATCTTTGACACGCATGCAAGCGACACCTCTTCTACTAGCGCCAAGGACGATGACGTTGAAGAGCCGACCTGGGATACCATGTTAAAGGAGTTTGACACGGTTGAACCCTTTTATGCAGACCGTGCACGCGACATCTCTTCCACTGGTGCGGAGGACGGTGATGTACTCATCAATCTTTCAGAAGAAAGGGGCCTACCCCCCGCTTCTTCGACGCCCGTCCCTTCAAAAGCCGCCTCTCCTGTCCGCCTGAGTAGCGAGGACGATTTTCCTGCGCGAGATCATCCACTGTACAAGAATGCCGCCCCTCAAGCGGACGGGCTCTTTCACTGCCCTTGGGAGGGTGAGCCGAGCTGCAACCATAAGCCAGAAAGGTTGAAGAGCAATTACAAGTACGTTGATAGCAAATCTATGTCGGAAATTGCTGACATGTGGCAATTTACAGTAAGTCCGTTGATAGTCATTTGAAGCCGTGGCGCTGTAAGGACGATCAATGTGAGAATGCTCGATTTTCTTCCAGCGCTTGCCTGCTGCGACACGAACGCGAGTCACATGGCTTGCATGGCCTTCCAGACAAGCCATATCTGTGTACCTATGAAGGCTGCGAACGGTCTATCGCCGGCAATGGATTCCCACGTCAATGGAACTTGACAGATCACTTGAAACGAGTTCATCCAGACCCGCAGGTGCTCTCTACGATTCATTCTGGTATGAGAAAATTTTCTTCTGGGCTTTCTGATTTATTGAGGCGCAGGAGAGTGGGTGCAGATTCTTTGGCGGAGGCGCCTCCGTTGCGTTCTCTGCCAAAAGACCATCTAGTCGACACTGAGCAGTTGACTGATTCTGGCTATGCGTCGGTCCAGAGGGATTCGACATCTCGCGTCAACGATGCTTCATTGCCGACTGACAACAATGATCGATCTGTGTCCAGCACACAGGCTCACGTCCCAGATGATGCTACTGTGTACTCTGTTGCGTGGAGTGTTCCGGACGATGTCCTTGATACCTATAAATCTGAGCTTGCAGAGTCCTTGTTTAAACAGCTCCGTCAATTTCTACCCGATCATGAGCTGTTACACTCATCGTCGTCGACCTTAACAACCTTTCTGCGATCCTTTGCCCTGCGTCTGGGAGGACCGGGATCGAGTAAGGCAGCCAAAAAAGTGATGTATTTTATACATAAGAATCGAGGGTATGTGTCTAGCGGGGAAATTTGTCTTACGGCCTCTAACTCTTTGTAGTGACATTGCAAGTCGGTTTGAAGCCGCTGCACGATGTGCTCAAGAAGAAGACTCGGCCATATACTCTACGGCAAAAAGAGAGGTCCTAGCGAAATTGGATATTGGCAAGTGGTTGCAAACGGTGGAGGAAGGCATGGTTCTAGAGCCTGCTCACCATGTCGATGATCATGATAAGAAAGAACACGGGCGGGAGTGGGATGATGATGACATGGAAGAGCAGCCCGCACTTCCCGACAAGCGAGGTTACCGCGATGTGGTTTTCGGCTCCGCTTCTTACAGGTGGCTGCTGGCCTCGATGGTCAAAAGTTTGACCTTAGCACTGCCCGACAAGAACGACGATGTCTGCGCCGAGATTCATACCAGGGTCAAGCTTTGCCTTGAGCAGAATCACTCCGTCAGTAGCCGGAGGCCTTCCCAGCGCTTTGGGCTACTTTTACGGTCTGATTGGAGCCCTTTGGAATTCTTGCGAGCCAGATTCCCGGACGATCCAGATGTCGGACGCTTGCTGGGGGAAAGTCTCACACTGACCGGGACGCTGACGAACGCGCAAGCTCTACCTTGCGCCGAGTACTTACGTCAGACATGGCCCGTGACTGGTCCTCAAGTTCTATCGCTTCTTACAAGGGCGCTAACCCTGGGGACAGAGATCACTGGTAAGATTATTCTGGCCAGACCCATGATGTTGAGAGTCGTTGACTGATCCCGTGCAGAGGAAATGAGTGATACATCCGTACTCAGGTGCCACTTCACAAGCTCTCAACTCCTCGTAAGGATAGAGGGAACTATAGACACTATCGCAGAAATCGGAGAGCAGATCGCTTGGCTTGGCGCGGCGCTGCGTCCCTCTTGCTCCGATTCAGGTGTCGCGAAGTGTCGTCCAGTACTCGAGGTACCTAACACAGGAATGGCGCCGATGATCAGCTTAAGGTATGCTCTTGAGTATGCTCTTGACGCAGGGAGCACTGGCGCAAAGGGCCCAGAAACTGGTCAATGTTGGCACGAACTGTTCCGGAATCCCGTCGTGGTGACCGGCTATCCCATTCCGAGACGGGCTCAAGACAGCAAAGGACTCGAGATCCCCTTGCAAATCATGTCCAAATTGACAGACTCTCCACGCGTCAACGAATATCTAGGAGGATACTTTCTAAAAGGGTTTTCGACGGCACTAGTGCCCACCGCTAAATTACACGATACTGTGCAGTGGCACATGTTCTACACTTCGGATGGTAGCCGGCTGCCATATTGGGATGCTCATGCAGAATATGGGATTGAACTAAACCTAGCAGAACTGCAGAAGAGCCGGCATATTGTTGGTTGGTGCTCGAAAGCCAACTTTCTCACAGGTATGATACGAGATACTTCAAAGCATTGAGAGATGCGGTGCCACAGGCTAACATACCATAGGATCGTCATCGATGAATTATCAGATCGGTGCCACACAGCTCCCGAGACCAGGTCGAGAGTTCTGTCTGGAGAAGGTGTCATTCTCCGTAGGCCAGATCGTCACCGGAGGCTGTCAATTCGCTATCGGACACAAAGAGCCTCCTGTGCGCATCACTCATGCTTCTTATTCTGAAAAGTTACGTTGGCTCAATCAGAAATACGTGACGTTATGGGGTGTCTCTGATTCTCGTGGCTGGCTAGTCAACGCCAATGCTGCTCTGCTCCACCTCTTACGAGCATCTCTGGAGTCGTCAAGAACGGATAAATTTGCTTCTGAATTTCTGTTCGAGGCTAAAGACTTCAAGGAATCCACAAACCCAGGAACTCTAGACTCGGTCCTGGATGTCCTGCTGAACACCGACAATCAGAAGCTCGAGCTGTACCTCAAGGACAGAAAGACATGTACCAAGATCAGAGAATTCCCGGACGGTCACCGAGAAGAGTTCACAGAGACAGTTCAGAGCTGCACAACTGTGAAAGACCGGGTAGAAGAACTCTACGAGTCTCTAGAGAAGCTCATCGACTTCAATGCTTCTCTTGAGAGTTCTTCAAAAGGCGTCGATGCTAGGCTTCGGCTTCGTGATTATCTTTTCGGGTGGGACTTTGCCGACATAGCCACTTATCGCGATCCGTTCCATATCAAAAAGGCAAACCTGCCCCTTCAGTTGATCAGCTGGGTCGACTTCACAAAGGCAATCCCGGCCGTGACACTATTTGGAAAGGGTTTCGGAGACTTGATCCGTGCAGCATCATGCATAAGCTCAAGCCAATGCTCAGAATGGGAGACGATGCCGGTCAACAGCAATCTCTTGTGCGTCAGTGCCGCCGATCTACGAGACATCATCGAAAGGACTGGTGATCTGTCGGCCAAGCCCATCACGGTCGCCCCGGGCATCGGATGGAACAGTCCCCCCACAGACGAGTTGTTTCGAGAAACATGTCCGTGTACGTTGTCCGTTACCAGGACATCTCAAAGGCGACGACCACATCATCATCCCATCCAGGAGCTCAAGTTATCCAAGTTCCAGTGGAGCGCCGGCGAAGTAGATCTAGACTTATCCAGCCACCCTGACGGCGCCGTCATTTTCGGAAGACAATCCGAGCGATACCCCGCCCAACCACATCGAGCTGATTCACTATCCGCCGGGGCAAGTTCGTCAGTCACAACGGGGTTAGGACACAGCAGCACCTCCGATGCCTCAAATACAGACGACCAGGCTCTCGGTTTCTTACCAACACCATCTTGGTCGCCCTCGGGAGGTCAGGGATATGATTCGTCCAGCACGGATAGTAGAGAGGTTGGAGGCTTACAAAGATTAGCTGAGCAGAGCCCTGATGTAAATATGGGAGGAAAGCCGCCGCATATGACACTGGTCCAAGGTACCTGCCTGAAGCGAAAGGCTTGTGTAGATGATGCGCACGGGGCTGAAGAAGCGGAGAGCCAAGATGACCCAGGGCCTTCCAGCATCCGAAAGGTGGCAAAGTCAATCGAGAGAAAGTTTCGGTCACGGGGCATGGATTGATATAGCTGGAGACAAACGGCTTTCGTTGGAACACGACGAGGCAGGCCTCTCTGGAGCAGGATCAAAATTGACAGAGCCTCAGAGAACATTGTGACACGATCACCAGATTGGAATCGAAGGGGACCACAAAACAAACACTGGCGTCGACCATTTGACGAGTTACTTTGGGTAATGAGTAAATTCAACCTGTTCGATGACCGGTTTCCATGAAAAGTGCCAGTTATCGGTCAATCCCGCTACCCATCGTACTGTTCTCTCGCTCAGATGCGCTATTCTAATGTACACACGTAAGTGAAGATCGAGTTCTGTCGCAAACATTCATCCAACAAACCAAGACTTCTCTTTCTCTTCTCCTTCGCTCCTCCTCAGACCTGAACAGTAAGAACATTGCCCTCCCGCGAACCGTTTAGGCCCGCAGGCGTGCATGACTGGTACACCTTGTGAAGCCACTCAGTCTCGCGGAACGACTTGCGGTTCTTCATGGCTGGGTGCACGAGGAGCCACTCCGCCTGCCGCGCCCGGGTCAATCCAACATTCAGCCTATGTTTTCCATCCATGAACCGAGTACTCCGGTCCCGTACAAAATCAATCCCCACCACATCCGCCTCGTGGCCCTGAGCCGTGTCCCATGTCCGGGCCTCAACCCGATCCTTGACTCCCAGATCTGGGTACTCTTCTGCGAGCTGCTCGATCGCTTTGTTGTAATACTTGATCGCGGATCGATACGGCGACAGAAGAAGAATCGTTCCTGGAATTTCCGGGCGATCCACGCGCCGAAAATGCGGATCGTGCAGGAGTTCTCGAACCTTCTTCATGGTCCAATGCCGATGCATGGGGTTGTGGAAACTCTTTCCATCCTCAACGACGGTGCCGACCGGGCATATGTGAACGATGAACCGCGCCACTGGGCAGAGCTCGCCGAAGAGCTTTCCCGAAGATGCTAGCCAGTTTCGCAGATGTGCCAAGCTCGTAGGGAAGAGAGACTTGCTGTCAATGCCGGTGGTCATTTGGCCGTCATAGAACAGGTTCGACGCCAGCCTCTGGAGATTGCCATATGCCCGATGGTTGATTAGTAACTGGCTATCGATGACATTGTTGTGATAAGCTCTCAACATCATGGTAGTCTGAAGTTGTGCCGCGTAAACGTTGTCTTTGGTGTTACCGACATACGGCAGTGTCTGCCGAAAATCTCCGCAGAAAATCCATGCAGCCGGACTGAAATGGGCGATTGAGATCAGAGTTGACAACTCTCGAGCGTGAGGTGCTTCATCGAAGATAACGAGATCAGGCTCAAACATCTTGGAGAAGTAAGTGCTTGCTGCGACTGGAGTGGTCGCAATGAAGTCTGCCGTCGTCAGAACCCTCTCGTACAACCGGAAGACTTCCCATTTGAAGAGCCGATTATCCGTTGGATCACCCTCTGAATTCTCCAGAAGTTTCGTGAGGCTTGCGTGCTCGTCCAGATGTTGTCGGTAGTACTGCCAAGCCGCCTCATCAAGTGTCGGCAAGGAGGCCGGGGCTTCGCTGGGTGATGGCGAGCACTCCTTGTGAGCAGCCGCGATTGAAGAGAATCGCTTCGTGAAGTCTACCTCAGGCTCTTCTCCATCAACATCGAAGTCGGCACGGTTTGAATTGAGAGTGCGCTTGATAGAGCAGTCCAAATCATCATTCGTGTCGGGAGGAGTACACTTGGTATCGGTGTCGACTTCCTTGGAGCCGGGAGAAGATGTGGTGACATTCTTCGCAGAGTTGATTCGGCGGCTCCGGCGCATCTCGTACGACCAGCCCTTCATGCGAATGATAGTCTTGTGTTTTCCGACATCTTCGACCAGGCGAAGCAGACGCCGCGTCGCGTCATCCAATGGCTGGTTGATGTCGAGAAGGTACAGGATCTTGCCTCCACAGGACAAGACCAACGCTGCCAGGAGCAAGACCCAATGGGTCTTTCCGCCTCCAGGGCCACCGGGCACAATTCCAATACCACAGGGCAGCTTCGACAAGGTTTCCTTCCACGCTCTCTGCTGCGACGCGTTCAATCCAGAGTACCGTGCCCGAAGCTGACTGGGCAGGTCATCGTCCTTTGGCTCTCGAAGACTGGGAAATTTGTCGAACAGATCCACGACGATTTCGGGGTCTTTCATAGACAGCCACCACTTGAGAGCAGCGATCTGCTTCTTCGAGACCAGTTCGCCTCGCGCCAACTTCTCCCAGGCGCCGAGTTCGGCTCGCAGGGTGGCATCAGAAACCTGGAAATTGAGCAGGATCGTGGCTGCATTGTCGTCGTCGAGCATCTCGGCGGGTACAGTCGTCGCCGTAGTGCCTCTGGGGAGCAATGGCTTCATCAAAGGTTCCATGTCCGAAACAGCCAAGATGACTTTGAAGACAATAAAGCGACCGAAGAACGTGACGCCATCCTCGCCACCCAGGTTGCTGCTAATGCGCTCGGCGGGCCACCAATCCGCCGACTTGAGCTTCTTCTTCTCTGGGTCGTAGGGACCCAAGAGACAGCGATCACCTTCTCTAGGCAGGACGCTCTCCACATTGTGGTGAGCTTCCACGAGGATGACATAAGTGTCGTCCTCTTCTGATGCAGGTGTGACCGAAAGACACCAGGCTTTGAAGAGCCGCTCTTGCTTGTTGTAGTCGACAATAGAGGCCGACTCGAGCTCGTGCTCTTTCTCAGTCCCGTTGACATGACGCTCCGAAAACTCGTTGGCCGACGAGAATCGGAAAATGGGGGCGACAGGCTCGGTCACCTCGGGTTTCTGATGGTCAACATAACGACCATTCGCCACATGAAGGTCAATGAACTTCTCCATTGTAGTCCACCATGCAGCCGGGACCGGCGTGATCAACAAGGGCGAGTGAGCTGTGGAAAGAGTTGAGGTCTTCAAGGTCGAGGAGGGGGAAAGCAGGAGGTGGTGAGAAGAAAGGAGGGAAAGAAGCACCCACGACACGTTGGGTGGCTGCCTTTTAAGGGCGTTGGAAATAGAGGGGTCCTGCCCTGAATGTCCTTCTTTGTTGCTGCCTGGCAGGGATAAGTTAATGTGAAAAGAAACCGAGTTGAAAAGTGATGAGTGTCTGATGGGCAAGTGAATAGGTCGAGAGACGGCAGGTGAGCCTGCCAGTTGAGGTACGTGCGCAGGAGGAGGAGCAACACAACCTCACGCCCTCCACGAAGAAATGGCTTCCACTATTTCACGCCACTCGTGATTGCTCTGTCTCGTCCCCTCTCGCGTTCTTGCCTGCTTGCCCTCTTCCCCTTTTGAGGGGTGTGAATTTCGTAGGGCTAGACCAAAATCAGGCTTCGGGGTGCAATTGTGAAGACAAAGCCCAACACGCCCCTGACACTTGACAATAATCACAGACCAACAATGCCCTTTCATCATAAAATCAGATTAAACCGAGTGTGTTGTTACAATAAAAACAATTAAAAAAGAAAAAAAGAAAACAAGATTATGCCCAACTCCCCCCAAACCATGACCCCATCCGCCATGAGGTAGTAAAGTAGAATAACAATAGCAAAGCTGGTGGGCAGGCTATGCTCATTTCTGCAGCCCGTCCTTCTTCCTACAAGTCATCGCCGTATTTTCTTTCCTCTCATCGGGCTCCGAGAGGCCGCTCAGTCATCGTCAAAAATCTGGTATGTGTTCTGCAGAATGGTGTCCACAGCCCTGACCTGCCAGCCAGCGTCGGCGATGTTAGAGCCGGAACCGGTGCCCATCAGAGTCGGGCCAAACACGATAGCCAAGTTCTGCGAGCTCATTCTGTTGACCTTGGAGTTCTCCATGACACGGTGGAGATGGAGTGTCAACGCGCGCAACGTGGCGTAGTTGGGATCTGGCAGCGAGTTGATGATCGCATGGAGCGAGTCACGACGGACAATATCATCATCATTTTCTGTTTGATAGAGTCAGCTCGGTCGATGAAATGACATGAAATACGTCGCAGGGACAACATACTGGCTGCCTCGATAAAACCCGAATAGTGCTCCTTGGTCAGAAGGGGGTCAGGGAGGTCCCGGAAGAACTGCTTCAACAGACCGGCAACACTATTGACGTCGTGGAAGAAGTTCTCGGGGTTCCTGAAGTCGAGATTCGCCGAGTTGGAATCTGAGATATGTGTGTCAATAACGCTACCCTGGTGTATCCAGTATGGTTCAACGTAGGGTGGTTCATACCTCCTGTATCAAACATGCCCTTGAGCTTGTTTACGTGCGGGACAGAGCCAGACAACCGGTAAATGCCCTCCACACTCAGACCGTATAGGTCAACGGCCTGGATGCACTGGTAGACGACCATGGGCACGGCCAGCGCATCGCGGTCGTAGAGCCGAGAGAGCGAGATACCAAAGACGGGCTTGGTAGGGGCCATTTGCGGGGGTGACTGGGCGCGGACCTGACCGAGACCACTTGATCCGGGCCGTTGATTGGGCGGGTGAGACATCAAGGGGTTGGAAATCGGTCCCTGAGGTCCTGGGGGCCCTTGGAGTTGCGGCGGTTGTTGTGGCTGTGATGTCTGAAACGACAAAGCTCCTAACTGAGGTGGTCCTTGTGAAGAATTGGCTGAGGTATTGAATCGAGAGTTCGGGACGGTCGGTTGCGCAGAGTTGCGAGTCGAGAACGGCGACTGCTGCTGGCCCTGGTTACCTTGCCCATACATACTGCTGTGGCTGAAACTGCGCTCGTGCTGACCAGAGCCTTGACGTTGAGCTGCGGGCATCACAGGCACGGGTCCCATGGGAGGCGCCCCTCCTGGAGACTGGCTTGCATCGGGGAAGCCTCCGATCGGTCCGGTCCGTGATGACATTGAGGCCGGTTGCTGGACTGGTCCGGGACCCATGGGCGGCTGGCCCATAGCTTGAGTTGGGCTCTGCACGGCTGACGGGGCTTGAGATGGCGGCGGGTTCTGCCTAGTGTTGTCGAGAACCTGAGACGGATTAGTACATGCTTTCAGGCTTCCAGATTCAGGATATCGGTGCGCTCGATGACTTACAGGATGACGCTCGTACACAGGCTCGCCCGTGCGTGGTGGCAGCTTGTTATGATAGCCTCCGATATATTCGTTCAAGTCTCGTTCGTTATCGATGGAGCTTGCAATCTCCTTAAGACTGCGTGCGTCTGGCTTGCCGGGACCTTTGAGGGGGCTGATGCTGAGGCCATTGCTCAAAAGCAGCTTCTCGTTGAATGAAGCTACGGCGAGGATTAGCACCAGTCATCAATTGAACGTAGAATCAGAACGTGTACGTACCAAATTTCTGCATCTGCAAAGCCAACCCGCTATCGCACTCCCTGATGTTATCGTGGAGCGCCTTCACCGCATCGGGCCTCGCCGTCTTGATCAATTCACTACGCTCCACCTGATAGGTCTGTACCTTGCCCTTGTAATCTTCATCGGCGGCCTGCACCTTGCGAAGAAGATCCTCTTCTTGCTGCGCCGCCGACTTGTGGCCCTTGAAGCCAAATTTGGGTCGCTGGCCGCCAGTGTCGCCAGTGCGAACACGGTCATACTCCTCGGCCAGAGACTCGTACTTGGCTTTCGACTTGCGCATGGCCGTCTCGAGGTCGGCGACTCGCTGCTCCGCGGCCAGACCATTCTGCTTCCAGCCCTTCCTGTTCTTCTCGGCCATAGCCGCAAGCTCCAGCAAATCCTCATGCATGGTCTGCAGGGACTGTCCGAACTGCACGCCGTTATCTGCCATCCGGTTGTGCGTCTCCATCATTTGGCTGTAAGCCGATGCAAAAGTGCCTCCCTTGTGCTCGCCGCGCGACATGGTCTCCATCGTCCCCTGAGACAGCTTCTTCAAGTGGTTCGAATGGTCTTGCTCGAGTTGACCCCTCTTCTTGAGGAACATGGCGAATTCCTAATTGCAAGCAAGGCACGAAAGCGTCAGCAAAGTCATCTTCTTTCGGAAGCAGGGCGGTGTAAGCAGGATCAATGTTCGCAACGAACCCTGACTGAGGCAATGCTCTGCTTCAATCTATTGAGCATAGCAGACACACCGATCTCGGACTGCAGCACGTCCTGGACCTCCTTCGGGGCGTCGATGTGGTTGGGGTTCGAAGGACCGGTCGGGCTGGTGACTGCAGCTGGCGGCGCGGCGCCGTTCGCAACGCTGCCTCCGTTCTCGCCGGCGGGGGGCTGTCCCAGCGACATGCTACCCATCCGTTCGCGCTGCGGCGGAGGAATGTCGACGGACGATCTGAAGTCGGTCGCGGCAGCCATAGTGGCACTTGCGAGCTTCCCGCGACTGGTGATAGGTTTCTAGGTAAAGACAAGGAGATCACGGAGAGGCGACGGGAGCGCAGTCATACGCTTGCCACCCGTTGTATTGGTAGAAATCCGGGTTCTGGTGAGGCAGGGGTTGAAACAGTACAGGTTCATGCGTGGTCGTTATGGTACCCGATCTCACGGATCTAGTTAGCGGCCAAACAACAAGCAGATCCTCGAGCGCTGCTCCGGTTGCTCGACAAAGCGATTATATCGAGCTGGGGCGCTGCCGGACGCAGATTGCAATCAAGCCAAGATCGGAAAAGGACTGCGGGTGACGATGGCAGAACTGACAATAATTAGGTCAGGAAAAGAGGATAAGATGACGAATGGGGCTGATGCTAAGATGGTGGTGGTGGTGCGTGCGTGCCTGTGGGAGCGGATCCAATCCATCCAGAGGGGCACCGGAATGGGGGGGATTCGAAAATGTCGTCGTGGCAAGCTTCGCGGAGTTTGCTATTAAAAGACCACCGGATAACGGATACCTGGCCTCCCCAGATTGCGACGGGCTCTCTCGTTAGGTTGACACCTTACCCACCTGCAAAATAAAATTGACACACTGACACTACCTAGGTATGACATCGATGCGATTCACCGTTGGGTTAGCTTCAGGTACCGCACACAGGCGAAGAGCTAACAGCCGAAGCGCCCATGGCTGTGAACGCCACTAAAGTCCTTGCCAGTAAGTTTCACTACAAACAATTCCGAGTCCCGGCACACTCCACACGTGTTGTGTGTTGTATCTCTCTTTCTGCCTTTCTCTTCTCTTCAAGGCTGCCATCCTCGAGTGCCTCGCTCGTCGCTGATTGAAATTAAAGACGGGAAACTGGGGACGCCAGGACGAGGAACCCTGGAAACCCCTGCCTGTCTCAACATCCTTGAATCGAAGTCTGTGCACATTCCGAACCCTCGGGAGGCTAGTACGACACACCTATGACCATACCGAGTACGTTGTAATAAAGTAGTAGGCTTCTTTTTTAGCGAACAGCATCTGGGGTCTATCCAAAATTACGGAGTGTTTGTCTTGACTCTTGACACTCGATAACCCGGGTGTTATTCGTGGGTCTCGGTTGTGCCAGAGTGACCCGGAGACCCTTGCCAGACAAAGCTAATTCGTATCCCAACTCCAACCGATGTATCATCCTTCTCTTGGTACGAGTCGCTGGCCATAGCCCTGGTGCAATGAGCTTGGCAAGGCCTGAAATATGGGGATATTCGCCTGCCGCCTGCCAAACCACCAAAGAGTTGCGCTGGGCTGATCCTTCTTGAGCCCAACGGTCGTACGTGCATCACCACCCGGCCTGATTCCGAGTCGCTCTGAATAGCCCATCGACCTGTACATTGTTTGATCGACATCATCGATATAGAAATCCTCCTTGGTATTGGCCGAGCTGGATGTGTCAGATCGACCCCATCGGGCAGAAAATCGCACAAACAGCCTCGGCTCCTCAGGAACCTGGCGTGTCTGTGCTCGTCACAACACCTTTCGATCCTCAAAGAACATCTTGCTGTAAGTGCTTCGATAATACAACTCAACAACGCATCAGGGGTGAGCAGCTTCCATGGCATCTTCCGAGAAGCACGTCCGCCCCCCTGCATGATCCCCGGGACTACGCCGTTCGATCCTTCTTCCAGACCCAGATCCTTGCCATGTCCTTGAACCAGCCAGCCCACCCTCTCATCCAAACCAAAGTGTTGAGGAGCCGGAGGTATTGCTTGGAAAATATCTCCACGCTCTCATAGTCGTGCGCGTAGCACTCCCAGATCGGCTTGCCGTCCTCCGCAGTACCCGGTGCTACGAGCCCGACTTCTCCTTCCCGCCCTTCCTGGATCCTCAAGCGCGGACCAATGACCAGCGCCCTGCCGACGATGCTCTTGTCGGCCATCAGGCGTGTGGCGGCGTCCACAACGTCCGGGACGGCTGCTAGACCGCACCCGGCCACGAGGCTGTGCCCAGAATTCGGTACGATCGCGGTGTCGGCAAAGTAGGGGCATACCATGTTGATGCGGACGCCCTGCCTCCACGATGAGCCCCGCAGCGTCCGGAAGAGGCCCATGACCGCATGCTTGGAGGTGCCATACAGGACCTGGCCGCTGAGGGGAAGGAAGCTGGCGACGGAGCCGAGCAGCAGCAGATGTCGGTCTCGAGCCGGGTCGTTCCAGGCCAGCCAGAACAGGGCGAGGTGCGTCGTGTACATGACCCCGGTCAGGTTCACGTCGAGGACCTTGAGTTCCGGCGGAGGCGGTCTCTCTATGTCCAGACCGTATGGGTTCTCAAAACCCAACCCGGTGGCGGCCGGCGTCATGTCCCTGATGCCCGCGTTGGCCACGACGGCATCTATGCCCCCGCTGACACTCAACCGGGCGGCAGCTTGGAAAAGGGACACCTGAGACTGCCAGTCCCTAACATCGCAGTGCTGGTAATGGTGATCCTGCGACCCGGTCGACGCTCGCAGCTCGGCAACGAGCTTCTGTCCGCCTGTGTCGTTGATGTCTCCGATAATCACGTTGGCGCCGTGGCTCGCCCAGCGCCGTGCAAAGGCTGCGCCGAAACCCGATGCTCCGCCCGTGATGACGACAGTGTTGCCCGAGACATTGTCAGGATTGTATGGGGCAGAGACGTCCACGGGAGCAGACTGCTTGATCATGTCCACAACATTATGCTGCTGCAGGTAATCCTTGAGAGCCATGCCTACCCAGAGATTCCCTTGAGCATTTGTGGACTATCAAAGTGAGGCAAACGAAGTGGACGGTAGGGACCGTTCTGATTTCAGAGAAGCGGGCAGTAGAATTCTGCAAGGGGCAGTGCCTTAAGTAGCTTGACACTCCCAGATGGCCTGCTAGCACACTGGTCGGTGAATAATTGGAGAAGACACAATGAATCGCTTATTTCAGCACGCGAAGTCCTGATATTGTTCGTCAAGTGGTCCAAAGGCGCGGCTGAAAACATAGTCTATTGCCATCAATCCAGATTATGAATTTTGTAAGGCAAGAGAGAGCAAGGATGGTGATCCTAGTGTGCTCGCTATTTTGTGACAGGCAAACAACGTACACACAGAGTTGTTAAAGTAGCTTGCAAGCTGTGGACTCACCAACCACAGCCGGCATTTGTGCCCAGGATGACTTCTCGCACAGCACGAACCCATGCTGCAAAGAGGCCGGTGCCTACAAGCATAGCGATCTGTGATGCTTGCGTAGTCCCTCTTCGCTGTTGGGAGTACGAACACCGTTGAGATGTGGAGCTCCCAAGGCTACTCATACAGCCATAGGTCCTGTTGATAGATGATACCTGCTGGGGCAAACATAGCAGGTTGTCATACAGCAAGGTTTGGCAACTCGAAGAAGGTCAGGTTTGCAGGACATGAGGATTTCCACTACCCATGTTTGCGAAGAACACATTAATTATGCGAGCAACCGTGATGGGCGCACGGGTTCCACATGAAGTTCTCAACATCAACCTGAACGCCGACGCTACAGCCCACCGGCTGATACTCAAGAGAGGACGGAGACTACGATGTCGAGACCAAGTCAACTTTCGATGTCTCCTCAAGAGAGTCAAATAGACCCGAACCAGATACCTACATGTACCTGATGGTCCCTGACTTGGCAGTCCACCCACACACCACACCTCTAAGGGGTACGTGGATAGCAGAGCCTCCGATGGGGGCTGAGAAACAGATAAAGACTTTGAACTCATGCAAACTTGAATTAGACATAACAAAACTGTGGTCAAGGCTATTGATTGACTCATTTGGACAGATCCAGGACATTTTTTTCAGGAAGTTCATTCATCAGCCCAGTTGGCAGAATGAAGAAGAAGTGATGACAGAAAACACACCGAAAAGCTGTTCAATACGATTTCTATAAAGCTATCTCTGACTGACTTCTAGATCATTTCTTTAGGAACTCTCTACGTAATCACCCGCAACACCTGGCATACGAGACTCGAGCTGATGAATGGGACATTACCTCCAGAACGCTGGCACAACAATCAACTGCGCAAGTTTGCTCCTTCCCTTTCGAAGACTACAACAAGACAAACCACCTCAGATCCACGCTCTTTCCGGGCCCACGCACCATCTGGAAGTTTATGGAAGGCATGTTTGGGTTTGGGTTTGTTTACTACATGGAGTATTTATTTCTGCTCTCTGCCCCGCGACTCTTCACTTTCTTTCTCTCTCTCTCTCTCACACCGTTTTCTTAACCCATCATTGCTAACAGTTGGATAGGTCAAGTTATATATACAGCAATTCCAAGCGACGCCATCACCAGTCTTCATGCAAAATCGTGCCACTCAAACAGCTAGAACCCCCGCTCAAGCCGCCTCCGAAAGAGCAGCCACAGTCTCCGACAATCATCAGCCTGTCCAGTCCACCTCAGCTTCCATCGACTACAACATCCATCCATCATCATCAGCGATGTCCTCCACGATGTCTCCATCGTCCATGTCGCTGCCGATTCGCCAGCGTCCGACAACCAATGGGGACATTTCTGCGATGATGGACTTGTTGCAGTCGAAACTGACCGAATCGCCAGCCGAGATTGTTCTGACGAAAGACGAGGTTCGCCAAGTGGTGGATCAACTCAAGAATCAGGGCAAGATCGCGGCAGAGCTGTCCCAGGTGAAGGAGGACCTCAAAGAGATCCGTTTCTTTACAAGGTTTGTCAACCTGTCACTCGATACCCTCTTCCCAGCATCCACCCCTCCCTCCTCGCAAGTCTACAATCGGAAGCTCGTTCCTGACACTTCACCATCCAGATACGGTGACTATGCCAAGGAGATCTGGACCGACATGAAAGCTTCCAACAGAAAAGAAGACTATGACGACAATATAAAGCTTCCACAAAGGCCCGCGACCGCAGTACACAGATTGAGCATGGGCGATGGCGAGAGTCGAAGCAGTTTTCATACTGCTTTCTCTCTTGCCGCCTCCAATCTCAAGCCGTCTGTACAATTTGAAACGGCAAGCGTCGCCGTGGAGGCCTATGCTGCGCGGAACGTGGCTTGCCACGCGCCGATAGAAGACTTGAGAGCTGCTAAAGACTTCATTGCTCTTACCAACCTGGTAGAGCGTGACCTGGGCGATCTCGTCGACTGTCTGCCGGATAGCCAGTCCGCAAAGCTCAAGGAATGGAAATCAATTCTTGGCTATTTTCAAGCTAAAACTGCTCCCTTGTCTAATGCAGAGTCCTCCGAGAGCGAAGATGCAGACCCCATGCAGAGTAGCTCGGACAAGAACAACTTGCACTCTTCAGAGGAGGCAATCGTTCAACCAAAGGAGCCCTACATCAAGCACGAAGCCCTGATCAACATGCCTCCTTCGACGGCAGAATTCCTCTTCGAGCAAAGTCATTTCGCCTCATGGCCACAATACCCATCCCAGTCGAAATCGAGCTTGCCAAAGGATCGTCGACGGGGCCCGTCCGATCCTTTCCCCGACGTGGCTGGTTCAAAGCGGAAATGGTCCGAAGACATTTCCTCGACACCAGCCTCGCCGACCAAGCGGCAGCGAGTTTCTCAGGACGGAGGGCAAATGAGCCGAGCACCAGGAGAGAGGGAGTTTCATTCGGCCGTGGACACGGTTAGAATGCGACTCATCAAGTTGAGGGAAGGCCCCTCGTTCAATCTTCCCGCTGCGGTTCAAGTGGTTGGGAAGGTAGATGAGGCCGCAAAACGGGTTATCGAGGAGGAATTGTCAGAGGCAGAGCGACGGGCGACTGCAGCTGGGCATGATGCGTAGGACGATGTTGACGAAGATGGTTTTGCTGGCTTATGGGGATAACGGTAAGTCTTTCCTTTGTTTACCTAACTATTGTCACTCCTTTGGCGTTGCTTTTTGGTCGTTCGGCGGTCTGTTGTCTTGTGTCACATGCAGCCGTCTGTTCAGGCTGTCCACTCATTTCATGTAGATAGGTAGATAGGTAGATAGTTAGATAGATGAGCGGCGAAGTCGGACTCCATTGGCCTCCACGTTGGCGCCGTTCGGATACCTGCTCTGGCAACCAGAATTCAGGCAACAATGGAGACGCACCGATACTGTACTTCAAAATTTAAATTTCTTTCTAGTTTCCAGCTCTGCTACTCTGATATCGCTTGTACTAGCCCTTTCGCGAGACTCTCCCCTCGTTTCATTCCTATCCGGAGTGCGATCGTCGATGGTACTTGAGCTCAAGGCTCCACATCGCCTGCGGTGTATAAGACCAGGGGGACCAGCTCAACGATCCCACCACGGCTGTTGACTTCTCTTCGGTTTGGCATTGTTCCTCGACTGCAATTCCCTTGCATGTTGCTCCTTGTCTGACACCAAATCTCTGTTGTGGCGTCGGTTTCGTGGCGACAAGAAATTCATCGACGAAGAGGTTCTCGCCACATCCTTTTGGCGACAGAGATTCTCAAACGGACCTCCAAGGTCACCTCCTTGCTCACACATCGCATCGATCAGGCGAGGCAGTGCGTGGGCGAAAGCATTGACCCGTTTCCGGACCCTAACATATGCTTTTGACATCCCTTGCTGCTGTTTCCACCGTTGAACACACTCCTTACTCCTCGGCCTGCCCCGCCTACAGTGATGGCACTGGACCTGGTGGCAGATCAACTCGAATAAAACCTCATATCCTGGCGAATGCGTTCTACCATGGCTGTCGTTAACCTGAAATGAGCTAGCCCATGGCGTGGCATAATGATAGTCAAGGTCGTCGAACATGACTCCACCCTCGACTGCTTCGAAGCCCTTGATCTCGGCAATATGCAGTACCATATACTCATACAGACAGAGCCCCTGCGAGAACTTTGGAACATGTTCATCGCACGTTGGTGGCAGGTGCAGCCTCGTGTCCCAAAAGGGGATTTGAGGGTCGTGCTCGTGATGGGACCAGCGTGCGGCCCAGTTGAGCCGGGTCATGACCGTCCGGAATATGTGGCCCCCCGGTAACCTGGCCAGTAGAGTTGCAGCATCTTGCATCTTTGCAAAGAGCAAGAGGAAGGCGGCGAGATGGTCGTCGTCGTTCTTGGGTTTGTGGACCATGATGGTAGCATAGTGGCGAATCCACTGGACTTGCTTGAGGAGGCGTGTCACTAGAGGATCGTCCAGACTCGTGATTCCAAACCGTTTGTGATGTCCGCGCTTGTTCTCATCATGCCACGATATGTCGACCCAAAGCCATTCAAGCGGGTCATAGTGTGGGAATATCTGGATAAAGAGCGTCTGGAGCTTTGTGAGTGTCGGGGGCACACAGATGTATTCCATCTCCCGCCTAGCCTGTCGACTTGTGTTTAACAGCCCGGTGGAATCAGGACCTTCCGAGACTAGATAGAAGATCCGGCGTCTGATTGGCCAAGGTAGAGAGAGCAATGGTGATTTGCTGTTCAATTCAGGTGGTGAGGCCATGGTGACGATGAGCGGCTATGAAGGCAGTCTGTAGGCTTTGGCTTTGGTTGTCGCAACTTGACGGATTTGCGAAGGCATGATGGTCTCGCAAGATGGCTGAGACGAAAGGGCAAGTCTTTTTAAATGCGATTCCGACACGTTATGATTATCTTCTCTAAATGAGCCATACATGCTCAAACTCGGTTCTGCCTGAACCACAAGCTGCCTTCCCACGGTTGGACAATCGGAAGGGAGGTTCCTGGCTGGCGGAGGTGTTCCGGTCTGGAATGGTGGGGTGCCGGCCCTGTGGGACCTTCGAGCTCGCCACCGACTACCGGCCCAGCTAACCAAAATTTCTCGACTGACAGACAGCCCATTGAGTCACATATAGTAGCTTACAGACATCTACTTCTGCATTCACGAACACGCTCCCTTCCTCTCTGTCAGCTGTCCCAGGACTTGACTCGGCCCAATTGAACATACTCCAAACATGGCTGCCAAGCTACCGAACAAGAAGTGCGGTATGTCCCTCTCTGCCTCTCCGATTCTCGGCGTGCGTCGTCTCAGGATTCTAACGGCGGGGTCATGGTCGCAGGTGTCCTGGGTGCGACTGGCTCTGTCGGCCAGCGCTTCATCCTCCTGCTGCAGAACCACCCTTCCTTCACTCTGCAGGCCGTCGGCGCCTCCCCGCGCTCCGTCGGCAAGAAGTACCGTGATGCCGTGAGGTGGAAGCAGTCCTCGCCCATGGGCGCCGTCGGCGACCTCGTCGTCCGCGAGTGCAAGGCCAGCGAGTTCGGCGACTGCGACATCGTCTTCAGCGGTCTCGACTCGGACGTCGCGCAAGATACCGGTACGTCATTCGCGGGCAAGAACTGCCAGGCTCGGTGAGAGCAAGAATCTATCAGTTGCTTACAACTCGGGCTGCACACAGAGATGGAGTTCCTCAAGGCCAACCTCGCCGTCTTCTCCAACGCGAAGAACTACCGCCGCGACCCTCTCGTGCCCCTCGTCGTCCCGACCGTCAACCTCCCTCACCTCGCCCTCATCCCCCACCAGCGCAAGCAGCACGGCCTCGAGAAGGGCTTCCTCGTCTGCAACAGCAACTGCGCCGTCATCGGCCTCGTCATCCCCTTCGCCGCCCTCAAGGCCGCCTTTGGCGACATCGAGTCCGTCTCCGTCGTCACCATGCAGGCCGTCTCAGGCGCCGGCTACCCGGGCGTCAGCTCCATGGACATGATCGACAACGTCGTGCCGTACATCCCCAGCGAGGAGGACAAGCTCGAGACCGAGGCGCAGAAGATCCTCGGCGGCGTCAACGCCGACGCCACGGCCTTTGAGGAGCTCAAGAGCATGCGCGTCTCGGCCTCGTGCAACCGCGTCCCCGTCCTCGACGGCCACACCGCCTGCGTCAGCCTGCGCTTCGCCAAGCGCCCGCCCCCCTCGGCCGAGCAGGTCAAGGAGGCCATGCGCAACTACACCTCCGAGGCGCAGACCCTGGGCTGCCCCTCGGCCCCACAGCCGTCCATCCAGGTCTTTGACGAGCCCGACAGGCCGCAGCCCCGTCTCGACCGCGAGCTGTCGAGGGGTTATACCGTCAGCGTGGGCAGGGTGCGCGAGGACGAGAGCGGCATCTTTGATCTCAAGTTTGTCGCGCTGAGCCACAACAGTACGTCTTCCCAGTGGCAACCAGTAGTATATTGTCCGTTGTGCTAACTTTTGTGGCAGCTGTCATTGGAGCTGCGGGATCCTCAATACTGAATGCCGAAGCTGCGGTGCTCAAGGGTTACGTGTAGCGAATGAGCACGGATGTGTTGGAGTGCTAGAGAAAAGAAAAGGGAATTCTTGATCAAAAAGGAAAACTTTGAAAAAGGCATTGCGGTTCAATAGAAAGAATGGGTTTGCGGCGTCAATACATTTGTCTTGATCTATATGCTGCCTCCTTTTGACTTCTCGTAGGTCAACCCATGAATCCAAGCAGGCTCATGACCTCGGGTTGTAGACCGTCAGTCATTCTGGACTGATCAACCCTCGCTGCAAATTGGACAAGTATTCTACATCATGACCATTAGACCCTCGTACCCGCTGTCTAAGTCAGACCGCAATACCAAGATCGGGTTTCAGCATCCTATCCAGCGGGCATAGAATATGGTCAGTGTCTGAAATCATGAGATTAACCTTGAGAGGGTTCACTCAGGCAAGCACAAGTACTGGTAGCTCTCCAGCTACCTCGACTTGACAGTTATTGTCCAAAAGACTCTCGCCTTCACTCGCGGATAGATGCCGGGCTACCGGGCTACAACGGCACCATCCGCCGTTACTAGGACTTCCCCGGAGGTGGCGAGCCCGACCTGGCACGAATTGCGCGCCAGATACATCACAACGGATCAGCCCTCAAAGTCTGACCCCTGGTGCACCACCTGCTAACTCACATCACCGGCCCAACCCAGGGCCGGGTCAGCTCCGGCGGTCAGCACTTGATGCACCCAGCCTTTCGAGGTGTCTTCACACCGTTGACGGACATCCATGTCCACGGCTTCGCCCCGTGCGCTTTCAACACCTTCCTTCAACGCCCCGGGGTGGGATAGTTTCTCTGGCAACTATGAGATATGCCATTCCTCGAGACGCCGTCCGCATGAGGGCATTCATCGGCCCTCTCTGGTTATTGTTCGAGGACGCGGCTGGCGGCATCGACAAGGTCCGGGTTCTAGACAGCGGCAGGGTGCTGGCCAAGGTCCTGGGCAGCGCGGAGGGCCCGGGCATCGTCGCCCCTGACGAGACTGTCATCTAGGTTGATGGCCTGGACCGAGGATCCCTGAAGCCGGTCGGTCTGGAGGAGAACGAGAAGCACGGGGGCTGGGTTCTTCCACCGAAGGGCGGAGCGGCGATCCTCCGTAGAAAAGGAAAAATCTGTTGATAGACTTTATAGCAGAGTTTGCATACGCACATACACACGAAACGAAACGAGATGAGATGATGCCCTCGCCACCAAAGAGCCCACTTTCAGGGGAGTCAATGATGTGCGTCTGGATATGCACGATCGTATACATGCACGCAGGGCCACGTCAGATGGCGAAATGCCGGTAAACTGCCGGCTCGGTTGCAGTGTCGTGCTTGTCACAACCTGCTCGATTGTGTTCTGCGGCTGAAGAGGACAGGGTCGACGTTTCCACATACTCCATGTATGACCCTTTTTGGGAATCTCTGACCAGCATGCCCTGCTTCAAGGGTTTCAGATATCCACACCCTGGCTACCCAATACAGAGAGGTCCCGGGATTCTCTCCCCAGTGTCTGTACTCTACTTTTACAAAGTTTCGTAGACGCGTATGAAATGATCTAGGCCCCTCGAGAACAGTGCGCATATACCTCCCGCAGGAATAGCAGAATCAAAGTGGCGTCGTGCCTTCTTGTTACTCCGTACTCACCCTTGGTCCAAAGGACATTCACCACCAAAGGCATCTACTGGGCCAACGAGCCAATGATAACTGGAGATGGCACCACCCGGAGCTTTATGAAAGGTCGCCCGTGGTATCCAGTAAAGATAGCCAACAGGCTGCAATACCGGAAGCCGCCCGTCAGCACTATCCACTCTTTGGGTGGGTCGACAGGCACTCCGCACCTCTTGCTGTCGATTCCCACTGATCAGCATCGAGCCGAATTACAAGAGAGTACCGTTGGTGGTCGGGTCTGTGGAGGGGGTCGCATCGCGTGTGTGCTGCTTCAAGTGCCATCAGATGATGATCTTCTGGTCCCGATCTCTCTCACTAGCATCGACCAGTGGAGACTTGGAGACGAATCTCCGTCAAACCCTCCCCCCGGCCAAGGCTCGGGAGGAGAGATGACAGTTCTTGATCGCCGTTATCTCTGCAGACTCGATGTCATCCCAAGGCTGAAGTCGAACATCAGTGTACCCATATTTCCTGGGGCAAAAGAGCAATCTAGACCGTGGAGACAAGCTCCCGATGATTGGATCAACCGTGCCTCGGTGGTTGTCACCTCGCGCTGGCTGCTGGACCGGTGAGAGTTCAGCCACGGGCATTAATGCCTGCATGGAAGCAAGTTATGATGTGTTATCGTGCATCGCACCTACACACCAATCAGACGAGAGAATAGCCTGTCCTTCACGCGACAAGCAACATCCTTGGCCATTTGAACAACGCAATAGGAAGGATGCCAAGATGTACTCGCGGGCTGAGCTGAGTGCCCCCGCAAACTGCTCACCGCGAAGGTGCCCAGACCCGTCCGTGTTATGGGCCTGAAGTCACAGTTGGTGTGTTTCAGGGTTCTGTCGGGACAAATGGTCTATCTTGCTCCATAAGTATGTAGGATCAACGTCTCTACAGACTACACTCCGCCTAAGCTTCTAATAACCTTTTGCCATGGATGTCCTGATACCTTGCTTTGCCATCTGCTTCAAGAGCTTGATAACGAGGCACACTTGGAGACGTAGTCACGTTTAAAATCAAGCGCCATTATTGTGAGGTGGTAAGCGGTGAACGTCATGGTTTGAAAACGATGATACAGAGATAACACCGAAAGAACTGTTATATACCGTATCTTCGTCAGCAACTCTGAGTATTCGAAGAAAAGGGAACTTCGAACATGTCAACGAGAACGTGGAGTAGCTGCTGTGCTTGGAGGCGGTTGTCGCATAATGCCAGGGCTTGGTGGGTATGGCTGATATACTGAAATGAAGAGGATCGTTATCAGCGGCAACGTGGCGGAGTGGTTAACGCGCCAGCCTGTACGGATCCCTCTTCCACTATCTAGAATTACCCATCATACTAACAATCAACAGGCTAAGCTGGTTCCTTCGGGAGCGTGTGTTCGAATCACACCGTTGTCGGTTTCTTTTTTTGGTTTTGATCATCAACCTCACCATCTCGTTTCATTTTTGTCACGTCCACAGTGTAGTCCTGATCTCCTCTCTTCTTTTAATTTTTTTCTACCTTCTGCCTTCATCGAACAGTGGACGCTTTTGGAGACAATCCAGCAGGCAAAGGCAGCTTCGCGCCCACAGACAGAGACCGGGACGTCTCCGCGGTAGTGTCCTGTATCAGGACCAAGTCGAGCTGGTAAGAGACCAATGAATTTCCCGACACTTTGCAACCAGGAAGGACCATGCATCCTTCTGCCGGGCTTTTGCTGTTTCGGGGCACATGCATCGAGGAGGAGCAGAACGACAAGATCCGGGGAATGAATGAGAACAGGAGTCTTGCATGTGTTCAATCACGAGCTCAAACAGGTTCCTACACGTACAGCAACGAGACACATTGTGAATGTATTTCCTGCACACAACATTGCCAATGGGCATGCATCCCTGTCACGGTATTACCCGCATGCTTGATGGGAGATGCAATCGTTGAGGGGAGTTTGGGGTGACGAGATTGATGTTGCTTTGACCGCTACCGTAGCATTGCCCTCTCCCGCGGCCAAGACCAAAATGCAAACACTTGGGCGTAGATCCTGAGTGCTTCATCCGAGCCCTTTGCTTCTGAATTCGTTCTGGATGCTCGGACGCCGCTGCAGAACCATCAGTTTGTCGACTCTGGTACGCTACAGCCTACAGATCATCTGTGGGGTGCAAGAGATATGTGATACTTGCGCACACCCCCTCTTCACTTGTTTATGCCTGCTCACTGTTCAGGCCTTGCTCTGGCCAGCGCGGTCGTGGTGAAGCCATGGTCCGGGAAGACGAGGTGTCAGCTACCTACTCCGTATGGAGAGGCAGTTCTTCCTCAGCATGCTGGACAGGAGCTCCGTGCAACCTCGACCAGGAATAAACTTTCCTTGGAAACAGAGCGCATTTGATCCCTCCGTCCTAGCCCCGGGGGGGTGTGAGGTCATTTGGAACCATGTGGAAAAAGCAAAACGGATTACCTACTCAGTTAGGTATTCAGAAGGGTGGGCAATATGCCAGTGTAACTGTTTTGCTTTCCCAAAGGTTTCGTGGGCTGGCAGGTTCGCGCCAAGGTGCCAACCCGGCATTATGCGCGCGTTGATGATTGCCGGTTCAGGACCAAATGACGCTTGTTGTCGCCGATCAGGGCTGAGGGAATAGTAGAAGAAGCAAAGTGTGTGAGCGGGAGGGGGTGTTGCATGGCGAGGGGAGTGCGGTCAAGTATCGTCTCGTTCTGACTGGAGCGGAAGGCAATCCGGACCGCATGCTGACCGAGGACGGAATTGCATCAGTGATGAATTTGATCAAAGTAAGACAAGTACATAGCTACGGAATAGGTAGAGCAGAGCAGGTAGGTCAGTCGTGCCCTCTCGAACTACGTACATCACTCACTGTCTGATATCGGGCGCTTGCACCATCATCTCATCTCAACCATGACCGTGGCCGTTTTTAACCGACTTCGTCACGTCGCAGGACTGAGCTGATAAGGTCGCACGAAATTGTGAAGGTCATCCTTCCGGGCACAGCAAGGGGAGGGAACTGCATCGAGCCATCGAGGCAGTGTCCTCGCCGCCATCTTGCTTTTTTCCGCCCCCATGTCCGTGGAAGCGGAAGAACACCCGAGCATATTGCGGTCGAGAGGTGTTCTCGTCAACTGCCTATCGAGAAACGAATGCCGTGAAAGTGTAGTGCCGACCAGAGAAGACACGAGGTCAGAGGGGAGACCCTTGGATGTCACCACCTGTCAAAGACGGTGGCAGCAGCCTATTTGTTCTCAATCATGGTCTGGGTTTGAAGCGCCTCAATCACGCAGCAGCACCATACGGAGCTGCCAGAACGAGGCCTGAAACGGCATGGCTTGGCTCTCAGAAGCTCAACGACAGGAGTCGTGGGAGAGAAAAAAAATAAATGGTGGACGGGTCTGCCGTGCATCGCCAGCTTGTGGGCATGCCTGGTCCCTCCCTCCCCATCCCCCTGTCCCGAACGAGTGAGAGCATTCACCGGCCACAGGGATCACCCTAGTCGCCGAACCCTCCTAAATGCTCACCGGTCCCCTCATCGTGCCCTCCATCTTCAGTGGCTTCTTGGCCTCGTGGACGAACCAGAGGCATGCCGGGTCTTGGAAGCGCGCGAGCAGAGAAATGCCAACAAATGCCCCCTTGTCAACCAGTGAAGAGAGTGTATGTGCTGCGACGGCAAACGTCGGGTGATTTGATTGCTGTCGCAATGGCTTTTTCTGCACTTTTGCGTGGGATCCTCGAGAGGTTGCTTTTCCTGCTCTCTCCCAACAGGACCGTGGGCGTGTTGGGATTGGTCCGGGCACGTCGAAGGGGAACAGACGAGGTCTGTTGGTGGAGAGTCTGCTGGTGGAGATGAGAGGGTCCTGCAAATCCGGGCAAGCCCAGCCTTATGGTCACCTACGACATCCATCAATCTTGCCCCAGCGCGTACCTACTGGGGTTTAAAGAGGTACCACCATCTTTTCAGGGGCAAGTGATCACCATGGCAAGTGTGCCACTGCACGGCCGACGACGGGAATTTGCATTGCCAAGGCCTGCTGTTTCAAGGTGACCCAGCGTCCCGCGTCCTGGGACCTCTGCGCCTCGAGTCCTCATATTTCGACGCCCAAGATTTCCAGGAACTTGCCCGACGAGCGAACTCAGAATCCCTGGAAATAAGCTTCGCCATCCATGCTGCGGGGGTTGGAATTTTCGCTGTCGAGTGTACATGGCGAAATCCCTGGCAGGAGGAGATGGCCGTGGTCCTACAGGGACTTGCGCCATGACTATCGCGGGTAGGGGACGAAGGCACAAAGCTACGGAGTAGGTAGGTTATAATATCTGGCGATATATGTTTTGAAGGCTTTGGGGAGAGAATACACCCCAATGTGAGTTGCACTGGGCATAGTTGACCAAAGCTTGGTACGAAGACCTGAACATGCTTCAGCATCTGGACAATCGGCACCGTAGACACAACCAGAGAGAGAGGATTTGATGTACGAAGTAGGTAGTCGACACCAAACTCCAAAGAGTTCCCACTCTTTGTCGCCCCATCCTGCTGGCCGTATCCAATCGACGCCAACCGCGACTTCGGGGTTGCTAGCGACAGAGTTTGTTGTCGGTTGTGAGGACTAGCGGGTGCCCACTCTCGAGACCGGCCGGGGTTTCTGCTGTGCGCACGCCGTCTGATTGGCACGATAGGCCTACCTAGCGCCCACAAGGCTTCTGTTAGGCTTGAGCTCTAGCGTCCGTAGTGTCGTCGTCCAAAGAGACGTGCTGTGGACGTCGTCTTTCGTTTTGAAACGCCCACTTTTCTGCTTCCTGACATGCAGAGTAAAGTACCTAGCCATCCACGCCATCACCCTCTTAGCTCGTGCTGACTGCGGAGCACTGGACCAGTATGGTCTGGAGTATCGAACTCTCGGTCCCATAAGGCTGCCTACTTCTGCTTCTGCTTATTTACCTCCCTCGGCTTTGTTTGATGCTCTGGATACAACTACTTGTAAATACAAGCAATGGTCAGGTGGAGTCAGCGCAGGCCGGACGGACGGGGGGAGGGGAGGTCGCGGGTCGCGGGTAGTAACTACTTGTAGTGTGAGTGTGCGTGTGTGGTTGAGGAGAGGAACCGAATCCTGTGACTCGAGTTCCAAGCCCCCAAGCTTTCCAGACCATGCATGGCATCCATGGATTTGGACGTGACCCTGTCCAGGACTCACAAATGCGCTGTTGTGTATGGTCTGTGCTGCTGGGTTCGCATCCCGAGCTCTGCCCTGTTCTCCACTTACAGTCAATTACCTGCCGGGCCAGGGCGTGCAGCACACTTTGTGCAGATTTCGAGAAGCTAGCGTCCAGGGCTTCCCCATCCTACAAGTACCAGCGCACTCCATGGGGTATGCCGTATCTGAGAGTCTGCGTGCAAACCTGTACAGGTACGGAGTATGATGCTACAAGTAGGAGGGCCGGGACCACGGTGTGCTCGTTGCGACCATCCTGAGAACCTGGTCCTTTCGTCAGTGGCCCGGAGGCGGTAGTACGAAGTACAGAACGCCCAGAGACGGAGAGGTTCCTGTCTGTGGTCCGCGTGTGTGATGATGGGCATGCCAAGGTCTGCTTGGGTGCCTGCCTGCCTGCCATGCCTGCCGAGTGCATCCAGCATCACATCCCAGATTGATGAAAATAACGTTGAACATGCTCTCACTCCTTCCCTGAACAGAGTGTATCTGTCTCATCGTATTGTTTTGTTTATCTCTCTCTTTCTCTCTCCCTCACATACTCCGTAGAGTAACCAGCGCAAAGCATTAGATCCGTCACGCCCGGTCCATCCGGTTGGCATCGTTCGGGGTTCTTGTTTGGTTGAGCCTTGCGTCCGAAACAAAAAAGAAATCTCCCTCTTTCACGCCTACAAATACGCTGGGCTGCCGTCCAGTTTAGGTTATCGTGGTCTTTCTCGTGGGACACTCGCACCTTCCTTGCATTCTGGATGCCCACCTTCCTGGCTGTTGTGCATCCTGTGGCACTTTCTTCTTCCTCCTCTACTTCCTTGCTTCTACCTATCTATCCCATTGCCTTCAATTCATGACAATTCATAGGTAACCATCGCAACCACTCACCATTTTCAACATCTCGACTCTGCCTGCACGACTTTACCTCCCACCATCATCATCCACCCGCCTTCTGTGCACGCGTGCAAAACGTTCCCACCCCTGTCTGCATTTTGCGGCGCTGGTACCTTGTCATCGCAACTAAAACGTACACGCCACTCAAAAATCAAGAAAGCCTCTTGACCGATTGCGTCTGCGCATCGAGAGCGCAGACCGGAAAGCGCCACCCTAGAAGCCAATCGACCACTGTTAACAGTTGATGCGTCCTATCTGATCGAACAGGCTCATCCAGACAGGCTATTTTCGTCCCGCACATCCTGCCTCTTATCAAACAACCCGTCGACTATATCAGCGATTTAGACGGGGCACCACACTACCTACCTACTCTCACGGAGCCCTTCTCGTCCGTCTCGCCTTGTGTGTCTTGTGCACTCTCACACTACCCTACCAGCAGCATTCGTCCCAACCGACATCTGCACCAAGCAGCAAGCTTCTGTGCTCGTGAACGAAGTGGTAGGCAATAGCGACGTTCATCCATCGCCTTCCTCCTTACTTTACCGTTATATGCACAGAAGGTGAGCTAATCTTGCTTGCGATAGCCTCCGGGAGTCACACATGCACACGCACCACGACTACTACCGCCGCGACGCAGCCTGGTTCAAGTCATTTAGGTCGAGTGTGGACACTGGAAGACCAGACGTGTCTACCCACTCCACCCTCCCTCTCTGTCTGGTCTGCCTGTCCTTTCTTCCCACACCCACCTCGAACAGGCCAAAGTACACCCCTCGTCCCATACCCCTTCCAGAGGGTCCCACATCCCGGCACCCGCTAGCGTACAGGAGTCGAGTCTAGCGTGCAGAGTGGACGGTACTCAGAAGGACCAGTACCAAGAAGCAAGATCGGAAGGGAGGGTGACAAAGTGTTCGAGTCCCATCTCGCGCCGGCGCACCCACAACAATCTTGCCCGCTTGTCTCTTCCAGACTGCCAGAGGACAGAGGGTACATCAGGTACATAATCTGTTTCTGTTTCCCATCTGCGACAGCTCCCTCCGTCTCACCCAAAGCCACTCCCCCCTCCCCTCGTCCTCCCTCTTACCACACACTCCACGAAACCACCCCCCCCAAAGACCTCCTGGCGGCCCATTTCAATACAGCCTTCCTCATTCCCAACCCACCGAATTCCTTTCTCCAACCCGCGGCGCACGCATCATCTCTCACCCCCAACTTTTTCCATCATTCATTTTCGTCGCGCACTCTCGTACATCTTTAACATTGCATACCATTAGCATTCCTGCCTCCTAGATCGCGTTCGCGCCGTCAAGGTCCAACCATATTTTGCCATAATCCACTCTCGTCCGGTTCTCCGTCGCGTCTTTCGAAATACCATCGCAAAATTAAGGCCAACTCGACGCCGAGTAAAAACCCACCAGCGACGTTTTCGAATCCATCCTCACCACCACTCTCAACGCGCGCGCAACACGGAACCCCACAGTAGGGCCCTTCCCACTGCCGCAGCTCCATCCTCGATCTGCGCGATCACCACTCCTTTGTCGGCATCGTCTTGACACTTTTATCTGTTCTGTCGCCTGCTCTGAATGCACCACGAGGCATGAGCGAGGATCCCATCACCACCGGCGCATCATCTGTCGCGCCATTCACCGCGGTCTCGACGTCGAGTCGCGCCAGTCCGTTTGCTCCATCGAACGGTCCGCCGAAGAATGCGATGGCTGCCTCGTCGTTCATGTCGCAGTCGCAGCCTTTCAGGCCAAACGTCACGTCGCAGTCGGCTTTTGCGTTGTCACTCGCTGTACACCCCTTCGATCGCGATGCGACAAAACCAGTCGGAACCCCCTTCTCAGCGACAAACTCCTCCTACATGTCCTCCGTACTTATTCGACGGCTGCCCATGAACACCTCGGAAGAACAGCTCAGGATCATGACCCTCTTCTCTAAGGAACGAGTTGACGTCGAGCTACTACCGCCGGAGCAGTCGGATGATGTGGGCTTCAGGTCTGCGATTCTCAGGTTTGAGTCTCCGGCCGGCGCGCAAGAGGCGAAAAGCATTCTGGATGGCAAGTCGAATATCTCGAATGATGCCAAGATGATCGTTGAGATCATCGGCGGTAGCAGCCCAATCTCGGGCAGGCGGTATCTCGGTGATGCTGGTCTCTCGAACGGTATCAATGGAGCTTCCACCGCGACTTCTTCAGCAGCATCGTCGGCCACTTCGTCGCGACAAACATCGCGCTTTGGTGCCTCTTTCCAGTCACCTCTGGAAAAGATCTCGCCGCCCATGAACGCGGTGTATGGAGTTAGCTCGGACCTCGCCAATTCTGAACCCAGTAGCAACTACCAGAGCATCTTTTCGCCGCAGTCTCCGATCGGCAACCACCTGGCCGATCGCACTCGCATCTCGGGCAAGTCGCTCATCAACAACGACGCGGCCGATGACGATGAGACGGGTGAGCTTCTGAAGGATCCAGTTGCGTATGCCGAGAATGGCGCACTGTCTGCTCAACAGCGCCGCGCCACCGCGCCACAGATTCCTATCACTTCTCGTCTTGCCGGACTCTCGCTCAATACAAATGCCAACATGGGACCATCCTCAGTGCCCCCTTACGCGCATCACGGGCTGGCGTCTCTATCGGCACATCCGAACACCATGTCTCCCACAGGAATGAACGGATCCGGACCCTCGCTGAATTACCAGATGGGCAACCAGCATTACCGCGCTCATAACTTCCCGCCTGTCAACCCGGCAGACCAAAATCCTCCCTGCAACACCCTCTACGTGGGCAATCTGCCGGTCGACACCTCCGAGGAAGAACTGAAGGCTATGTTCTCCAAGCAGCGCGGCTACAAGCGACTGTGTTTCCGCACCAAGCAAAATGGCCCAATGTGTTTCGTCGAATTTGAGGATGTGTCGTTCGCCACCAAGGCTCTTCATGAGCTGTACGGCCACATGCTTCACAACAGTGTCAAGGGTGGCATCCGTCTGAGCTTCTCGAAAAATCCCTTGGGCGTCAGGTCTGGCCAAGCACCCGGCCAGAATAGTGCCAATTCCATGGGAAACATGAACGGAATGATGGCCAATGCGGGAGCTGGCTTCACATCGGCAAACGGACCCCCGCCGGGCCTCAGCGCGCCTCCAGGCCTTGCGTCCAACGCGAGGATGGCTTTCAACAATGCGCCTGTCACGAATAACGGTTCTTTCTCAGCGTCCCCCTTCTCTACCACTTCTAGCAATGGCTGGGGAACTCCAGTGTACCACCCCTCCATGACAAGCTCTGGACCCGGGTCTGTCGCATCAGGCAACAACTCCGGGTTTCCTCCCTTCATGATGGGTAAATAAGTCGCGGCGTGAGCCCATCACTTCGGAACATCGTTTCGGCTCTTCGTCACCATTTCTCTTCGCGCCCTCTGCATTCGACCTAATCTGGAGTTATCAATTTGCACCGCAGTGGTTTTTTGTTTTCGACTATTTCGTTCTGACATTTCATATTCCGTATCATTTGGTTCACCATTCGCTAGCATCTACATTGGTGGTTATGAAGTGGCGCGGCATTTGTGGTTCCAGCGTTTGATGGTGTTCTCGTTTTACCTCGGATCTATTCCCCCTCAGCGACTGCTTGTTCTCTTATGGAGTTTAGAGGTCATACGGCGCTCACGACTTTGGCAACTGGCATGAAACTGTGCCTTAATATGTCGACTTTCTCTTGCTGAAAGCAGCGGGCGCTTCCCCGAAACAATGCGCACACCTTGGTCCCTACCAAAGGCATCGTCTTCAGCAGACTCATTGGCCAATAATCCCCGGCACGGTTCCGCGGGCAAGCCGAAGTGGGGGAAGCATTCAGCTTCAGGTCTCTTCTCATCTTCAGTTATTGTCGTGCCAAAGTTCTGTTTAATACGACTACACTTTCAACTATCGAAAAGGATCAAAAAGCACCAGGAAAGGGCTTGCTGGGGTAGTACTCGGGAAGTGTACAGCAAGGGTGCAAACAAAAAAAAACGGGTGAAAATATTCTGGGTATCAGAGCAGCATTTTCGAGAGGGAACCGAAAAGGGCATGGAAAAAGGTGTTCTCATACAATACACCGAGCGAACAAGACCCTTGCGAAAGCGAGGGGCGCTCACGACGGAGCATGAAGGGAATTTTGCGATTGTTTGCATTTTCGGAAGGACCCATAGCGTTACGGATTGTTGCACTTGTTGGTCGGATGGCATTCGCATTGGGAGGAGCATCAAGACAAGATTATGGCCATCCCGTCAGGCGCGGTCGCAGAGATATCCCCCCTTCTTGCTCGCCGGGCACGCGAGCTAGGCGAGCAGGGCTCATATTTCCCTAGTCCATCTATAGGCGCTACATTTTCGTTGTGGTTCTTCTGTCTCCTAGTTTGTCGTTTTTTGGTTTCCTTGGGCGCGGCATATCTCCCTCGTTTGCGTTCCTCATCAGGGCACAAGAAGTCCAGTTGCTCTCATCTACGTCGGGATTGGGATCGGGGATCATCACTCCACTTCTTTTTTGGGAGGAGGGAGCGGGAAAGCGTGGCGATCATAAGGTGTTCTTCTTTTTTCAATTCATGGGATCAGGGTAGCATGTTCTTTCCCACTTCCTCGGTGGACATTATCAACTGGGCCTTTCCTATACGGTAAACTATATTAGGGACAAATTCATGTGAGCGAGTTCTTTCAACACCAAGACTTCCAGAGCGACTTGTTTTGACACACGCGTCTCTTAACCACGGGTGTAGCTAGCGGGTTGATTTCCCTCTATCTAGACGATTTTGTTCACCTCACAGGCAGGAAAAGTCTCTAAGAGCACGTATATCACGAAAGTGACATAGACGAGAGGTACATCGTGATTGATCCGCTATCACCTGTCATGTCGTTCGGTGCTGGTCCCGCTCGCCGTTTCTGGACCCCGCCCTCTTTTTTGGGTGTGGCCCTGCGGCTAGAGCCGCTTGTAGCTTGTTGCAGATACTGCCGACAACGGGCAGAGACTTCACCTGTCTGATGTGATAGGTGATATAACGCCGGTCACGTAGGGGGATGGACATTCCTTGTCGGGGAGCCGGTGAGACGAGGCGTTTTTTTTTTGGTTCCCCCTCCTGGCGCCATGTTTGCAGGGTAGCAGCCGTAACTGCGATGCCGCGGGATAGATGGCGCGCGCCAAACTCGGAGAGAGAGGGAGGCGACGCATGCGGACAGACACAATATTCACAGACCAGATAGACCAGACGCATGTTGTTGCTTTCGTTGCAACGCAGACTTATCAGGTCCACTATACACACACACACACACACACACTCACTCACGCTCACACCTCGGTCAGCGGAGGGGGGTTTGTCTCTCTTTGTCTTTCTTTCCCTACTTTCTCATGTGAGACAACTGCGGAAACCCCGTTCCCCCCAAAACCGTGCCTGTAGATCTTTGGGGAGGGAGGGACGGATGGGATTGTGACGGCGGGGCTTTTCATGTGGGTTGTAGTGGAGGCGCATGGGGGTTAAAGAGGAGAGTCTAGACTTTGTCTCGATGAGAGGCCGAGTCTCACACCCTCTCTCTCTCTCGAGGTATGCAACTTGGTAAGGTATTGTATGCAAAACGTTGGGGGGGCAAAAGCGGGTTCGGGTGGTATGTCTGTATGTATGTATGTACGGAAGTAGAGTTTGCATGTAAGGAGATGGGCCCTTTCCTTGGGTGGAATGCTGGCGGTTCGTTCGCTTCGCTTCCGCTGTTGGGGTAGGTACACGCGAAAAAAGAGGAGCAGATGAAAGAGGGGTAGAGAGAGAGAGAGAGAGAGAGAGAGAGAGAGAGAGAGAGACATGTGCGGATGATGGATGTGTGTGGTAGCATGCAGACGCAGATGCAGACGCATTTGGTCTTGGGGGAGGCGAGAGGAGCGCCGAGAGAGAGGTGCAGCGCAGACGGGTAACTAATTATGCAGGCGTGGGTTGTTGGTGTGAGGAGGAGAGGGGGGGGAGACAGTCAGCCGTAAGCTGAGAGGGAAGAGGGAGGAGGAAATGTCGCGCAGAGAACTGCGACCGGCAATGTAACTCCCTGTGTAACGAATCTTGCATTTGTTGCACGTCCGGAACCTATTGGGCACGACACGGGACTAATAGACTAAGTACTTGCCGATTATATTGGCGATGACGGGCGACGACAGCACCACCGGCAAGGCCGCTCCGGCCGCCGCGGGCGGGGACGACCAGGTGCCGCAGGGCGGGCCGGCCCAACAGGAGATGTTCCCGCTCACGGACGTGTCGCGCGAGGGCGGCATCGAGGCATTGCTGGACAGTCAGATGTTGGAGGTCGATGTAAGTTGATCTTAGTAATTACAACCAATCAATTTTACCGCGATCATGCTGCTTCGCGGCCAGCTCCTCGCAGTGCATGTACATCCGTGATCTCTCCACTGACATCTCTTCAGGACCGTCTTTGGGATGGAGACTCTGCTGTCGGTGGTCTGACGAACGTGTAAGTCACAAGAGAGGGAAGTGGTTGATACCCTTCACCACCAAGCAGTCGAGTTGACTCTGTGACGAGGTCATCTACCATAAGCCTTTCGTCCAGCCTCTATGAGCACATCCAAGAGAACGGCCGGACGTATCACCGCTACAAAGAAGGCAGTGAGTTTTCCCTATATTTACACGATTACACAATCTAGAGGATGTGATACTGAGCTGCATGTGTTTCAGAGTATCCACTGCCGAACGATGAGGTGAGTTTTCACAACAAGTACTAGGAGTTGTCTGAGTCTAGACTCATGAGATTCTGCTTCAACACACACAGCTCGAGCAAGACCGATTAGGTGAGGAAACAAAAGTCGATTCGCAAACTTCTCATGTCCTAGTAGTCACTGACAACCAAACAGACTTTCAACACAAGCTGTATCGTCTGAGTCTTGACAACAGGCTCTATGCTGCTCCAATAGGAGACAACCCAAGGAACGTGTTAGACGTAGCGACTGGAACAGGCATATGGGCCATCGAATTTGGTGAGCGAAGAAATTGCTCTCAGTACATTTGAGGCTTCGAATGCAGACCTAACTTGGTCCAGCTCAGGAGCATCCAGGCTCGCACGTTGTCGGAACAGACCTCTCGCCTATCCAGCCGACATGGTGTGTACATTTACCCCAGATCATCCAGGGAACACATCATCCCTGATGTTTTTGGTCACCAGGGAACAGCTCTTCTAACAGTAGCAGCAGCGCCCCCTCCAACGTGACCTTCGAGATCTGCGACGCAGAGGACGAGTGGTCCTTCCCGCAAAAGTTCGACTTCGTCCACATGCGCGCCGTCGTCACCTGCTTCCGCGACCCCAAGGCCGTCTTCGCGCAGGCCCGCGACGCCCTGCAGCCGGGCGGCTACCTCCAGCTGCGGGACCCCATCATGCCCTTCAAGTTCCACACGCCCCCGCCCGAGGACTGCGCCCTCGTGCGCTGGAACGGCCTCTTGCGCGAGGCGACGGCGCGCATCGGCCGCCGCTGGGACAACGCGCAGCACTACGCCCGGTGGCTGCGCGAGCTGGGCTTCGTCGACGTCAGGGAGCACGAGGAGGCCATACCGCTGAGTCCGTGGGCCAAGAGCAGACGCCTCAAGTATCTTTCTCTGTGGCTGCAGCACGACATGGTCAGCGGGCTCGAGGGCATGAGCATGGCTCTCTTCACTCGCGTCCTCGGCTGGGAGGGAGCCAAGGTAAAAGAGTTCGTGGAGGAGGTCAAGAAGGATATCTGCAACCCAAGTATCCACGCTTACGGCGCCGGGTGAGTAGTACACTTCCTCCTGCCTAGTTGCACAACTGCGGTTGCCTCGTGCCGCCTCGTCCTGGCTGTACTAACAATTGCAAGTGTTCTGGTTTGGGGCAGAAAGCCTCTCGAGGGCGAGGTCATGACAGAGCCAAAGCATTCGGCAGAATCATCCGGTTGAGTTGTCAAGTTGAGTTGTCAAGTTGAGTTGGGATGTGTTTGGGTTCGTATATAACACCGACGAAATGTAAATGAGACCTTGAGATGCGTATATAGTCTACTGAGCCTCATTGAGAGCCAAAGTTCATATCCATGTTGTCAGATCCGTCATCTGCCCAGCTCATAGTCATTGTCGCCCACAGGTCATGGAACACCGCGGGTTGGCCAGTTGGAGGATTCGCGGATTTCTCATCCGAGGCCGCTGGCATTACCATGCTTGGATCCACGAAAGTCTCGTCCCAGACTTGAAAGTACTGATCTAGACTGCCGTCTAGAACAGGACAGCCTTTCATGGTGCGGTCCAGGTTGGCGGACGAGATAGGCTGGGCGCTGGGAGGCGCTGCCATAAGAAGCTCCATGCGCTTTTGAAACTTGCGCCTGACGACTTCAAGGATGACCTGGCTTGCGGATCGAACGTCGGCAGTTCGAGCTGTAGTGGGCGTGAGGCTCTGATGACCGGCGGAGCCCTCATCATCTTGACACAGTCGTGACAAGTAGTACTCGAAGTTCACTCTCTGCCGGAAAGCAGTGGCATTCCATTGCGGGCATTTCTCCAGCGGGAACGACAAGCGAAAGCAGAGTATGATGGAACAGATGAGCCGGCCCCAGTCCAAGCTACAGAAGTTCCCAAACTCAGACAGCGGCAGTGATACACAGCGGTCTAGAAACTGTTGAAGAGGTGATACTGCTTGTACCAACCTCTGAACATCGATCACCTCGACGACACCCGACGCGGATCTGGGCGTCGGAAACTTAAGTAGTGGCGCTCCGTAGAGAAAAGTCTCAGTGAAAAGTCTGCACAATGTCAAGGTCACTGGGAAATTATCTTAGCCGACCGCAGACTTGTTCATTGCCGAGATGTCAACTGACCTGTGGATGATACTTCTCTGGATATTTTGCCTGTCCATTCCCGTATCTGAGACTCCATACCCTTGACCAGTAGCTTGATTTGATACTCATCCTGAGAGGCATCCTTTTCAAGTTTTCGGAGCCCCATCACGCCCTCGTTCATATGCTGGAAGCGGATCATCCATGTAAATGCCCTGTCGCTTGGAAGTAGAGCGGCATTCTCGAGCATTTCACAGCAGGCAGCTGTCCAAGGAGTGAAGGGCATTGAAGTTTGCTTGGACCACATATTGGCTCTACTGCGTGAGAATTATCAGAACGAAGGTCTCAGCGATCAAGCCTTGAAGACTGCGTTGAATCTACTCACCCCGAAACAAGGTAGAAACAACCCAGGTAGGCTCTGAGACCACGGGACCGTTCTTCATCTATTGTGGGTTGGACAAACTGATCTTCCTCTGGTTGCTGGTCTAGCTCCAAGTCATGGACAATGTCGGTGGCCATTCTCAGATATTGAGTTAACTGTTTGCTCCTAGGGCGTAGATGAAATGGATACCTAGGTAATGAGTATCGTTAGTAGTGTGCCCTGCCCTGTCTTGTTGCTGGCTGAAATGCGGCCAGACACGGGCCGCAACATACCATGCGCAGTAAATTAGCAAGCCAAGTAAGAGGTCTAGCGTGCGCTCCCCACCGGCAACAAATTTCAGAGCCAGAATCTTGCGAAACTCTTCGTCGTAGAGACTGTGCCCTTGAAGCGACTTGGACCCAGTGGCTGAAGCAAGAATGGCAAGGAGCTCGAATGGGCGATCCTTCGCCAGTGAGGCAACATCAGCGTCCTCTGGCAGGCTGATAAGAGGAAAGTATGGCTGCATCTTTCGAAAAGCCTCTAGTAATTGAGTGGCTGATTCGATGTTAAACTGCGGCTGACCTGTAAAGCTTGATATAGGTCGCGTGGAATTGGACGACGACGGGGTCGCCGCACTTGACGTTGAATGCAATAAGGATCCAGCATATGGGCAGCTATCGGCAGAATCCTTAGGAAGAAGATCGTCGATGTACTGCTCATGCGCCTCGCGCAAGGAGTCGTAAATGTCATTTGGGTCTTCTTCCATGGCCAGCGGGATGTCAATCGTAAACGTCTTGGGCGGTGCAGGTGGCGGTGGCACGACTGGCGTCGCCGACAGTTTATTCCTGGACGACACACTTTAAGTTATGGACTCGACAAAGCAACACCTGGAAGCCTCACTGTTTGGACTGTCTGGGTCTCCGGGTTCTGGGACCGGTCTTGAAGAAGCACTCTCTCTTTGACTCGAGGCATCTGGAAACGGTCAGCCACTTGAGCTTGCCAAGAGGCCACTTTGTGGGAACACTGAATGACAATACCTTTGACAGATTCCCAGCTGGCTGCTGGCTATACATTTCACCTTGGACGCCCTGCAAGCCTCACACGCATTCGTGACTCGAGGCTTGCTATCTGGCTGTTGCGCCGACGGCGTTGAAGTGCCACTGGACATATTGACCAGATTTCAACGTCGGAAGAAGGTTTACATAGAAATGGCCTGTTCGCCCATGGAAAGACTTGAATGGGGATCAGAGAATGGGGACAGGATAAAAATTGTACGACCCTGCATTGATGTAAGTCAGCCCGAGATGTTGGGCGGAGCTGGTGAGGCAGTTGCGGAGGAGGTCCCACTTTGACACTCTTAACCTCCGATGGCAGTCGGAAGGAGCGTAAATCGCAGGGGTGCCGTGTGGGGCGGATATCAAAGCACCCTGATTGGCTCACGCCAATCGAAATCTTTATTCAGTGAGTTGAGACCATATGAGATGAGACTTCAAGACTGTCAAACAGATTCTCATCGGACAACAGCGTTGAAACCCCGGCATAGATTACAATCAGACCCAAAACGAAAAGCCACGGCCAATCTAATGAGATCTTCTAATTGAGCTATCCCATTGAGTCCCGCGGGGTCAAAAAACAGCGCGCTCACTCAGGGGATGAGCTGGGCAAGCACACGAGAACCATGATACCGTCCTGAGGCCATTGACGCACCTTGTTCCCCCCTGGAGCCTCGACTTGTTTTCTCTTCTCTCCATACACGATGGCTTCCATGTTAAACTCAATACCGGCCGTGGCGACAACAACCGCCAAAGCCGTGGCCGAGTTCGTGCCCCGTGCCGTCTACGAGGCCTCCCCGAGCATCACCCGCTCCTACTTCCTGGGCCACCACCACGCCGCCCTCGAGCGCATGCGCCGCATCTTGTCCAACGTCGGCGTCGTCATCGAGTGCCGCGACTTCCGCGTCCCGCTCACCTCGTGGAACCCGCTGCTCGAGCAGACGCTGTCGGCCTCCTCGGACCGCGCCCACATCATCGTCTACACGAAGCGCGACCTGGGCCCCGCCAGGCAGGACGGCGGCGGCGCCATCGTCAACCGCCTCGCCGACTTCCACCGCGCCGAGGGCCGCGCCGCCGCCTCGGCCGTGCTCTTCCTCGGCGACGGCGCCGACGGCGAGGCCGCCGGCGGGCGGCGCCGGCTGCTCGAGGCGCTGCGCCGCACGGCCCGCGACCGCGACTCGCTGACGGGCACGCGCGCGCTCGTCGTCGGCATGCCCAACGCCGGCAAGTCGACGCTGCTGAACCGCCTGCGCGCGAGCGGCATGGGCAAGGCCAAGGCGGCGCGCACGGGCGCCCAGCCGGGCGTCACGCGCAAGCTCGGCACGCCCGTGCGCGTCATGCCCGCCGACGACGAGCTCGGCGAGGGCGTCTTCGTCGTCGACACGCCCGGCGTCTTCGTCCCCTACGTCGGCGACCCGGAGAGCATGCTCAAGCTCGCGCTCGTCGGCTGCGTGCGCGACGGCATCGTGCCCTTCGTCACCGTCGCCGACTACCTGCTCTTCCACCTGAACCGGCGGGACCCGGCCCTGTACGCCCGGTACGCCGCGCAGCCGACCAACGACGTGCACGAGTTCCTGCGCGGCGTGGCCGCGAGGACCGGCAGGCTGGCCAAGGGTGGAGACCCGGACCTCGAAGCCGCCGCGCAGTGGATCGTCGGCGAGTGGAGGCAGGGCAACCTGGGCAGGTTCATCCTGGACGAGGTCACGCCCGAGACCATTGCCCAAGCGCGACGGACGGCGGCGGAGCCTCCTTTGAGCATGAATCAGGCGCGCAAGAAGGAGAAAGAGGCCAGGAAAGCCAGGCAGGCTGCGAAGCGCGTCGCGAACTAGCCGTCCGTGATGTGTAAGCCTGGGAAAGCCACTTCTCAAAGGTCGTGGCATCGTGAAATCCACAACTCTCTGTATTTATACTAGTACTTTAAACCAGATACCCTGTATAACCTCATGTAAATAAATAAGCTATGATCTCCTCCATGACTCCCTGATAGAAATGCACTTTCAAACACCTGAGGGTATTCTCAATTCAAAGTACACTGAAGTTACTGAAAGTTTCGCTGCCCGCATCGGGCCCATCCAAAAATTACTGAACAAAGCCACTCTTGCAAGTCTTGACCTGACTAGTCCGTGTTAAAGTGTAATAAACCATACCGTGAAACGCCTTGAAATGCCCATAACCGTGAAATTGCCATGGTGTTTGTTATTCCATGGAAGCCGTCCAGACCAAGCCCCAAACCGCCATTGGGACACAAATGCCAAGTTCTCTCTGACTGAGGACTCAGGCGACAAATTGGTTCTGCCAGTGGACGAGATCCCTAGTAAGATAATCCATCATTTCCACGCAGGAAAGTTCTTTAAACTCCTTCGTTGGCTTGTCGCCATTCTCTGTGCCTTTGTTGCCTGCAAGCTTCTTCGGCGACGACGTACCGCCATTGACAACTATCGAAGGCGCATCAGTGCTCACTGGGGCGTCGTCTTTGGAGCCAGCGGGGCTCGCATGGGCTTGCGCTGGCGAGGCCTCTCCAGCCAGCTCTAGTTGTGTCCTCGAGATATAGTCGAACATGGCCGTTGCTCGTCTTTTCATTTCGCTCATCGTTACCCTGCTGTTCATACCTCCCTTCGACCTTGATGATTTGCTATGCTCGCCCCCTCCAGTCCTTGTGTTACCAGAGTTGGGCGTGTCCTGAACGTCTCTCGATTGGGAGCGGGCTGGCGAGCCGTCGTCTCGATCCTTGGTATACTGATTGCGGCCTTTCTTCTTGTGCGTCGGTCGTCCTCCCTTTGATTTCGATACTGCCATGGGCACGGCAGACGCTGGTGGGGTATCCGGAGTGGCCTGGTGAGAAGAGACTGGAGCCTCGGGCTGTTGTACAGGTTCGGGAGCCGGGGGCGGCGGGGGGTTCGTTGGGGCGCGAGCAGCCAAAGGGAGTTCCTCGGAGGGGTCTGAGTCTGTATCCTGGTGAGCTTCAGGGGGCTTCACAAGGATCGTGGGTTGTATACCATCGGCTCGGCGGCGCTCGGCACGTCCTTTGCGCTTGTTGGCGGCTTCTGCACGTTGCCTTTCCTTTTCGGCCTTTTCGGATTTCTCTCTCTGGGTTCGCGCTGCCGCAGCGACGGAATTCCGGGATTTCTTGGAGGCTCCGTTTCGTGAACCGGCCTGGTCGTCAGATTCGTCTCCTTCCGGTTGCTTGTCTGGTTGAGGCGAGGGCGATCGAGAGCTTGTGCGCTGTCGTTTGGGAGCGGCCTCAAGTTTCCTACTTGAATCGACATTGTCAGTCACACCGTATTAGCTTGTGCACAAGAACAAACACATACTCTTCACTGCCGCTCCTCCCTCTTTTTGTCCTTCTTGTCGCAACTTCCGCTCCGTCAGTGCTGTTGTCTTCCCTGCTGGCCTCAATTGCCCGTCGCAATTGCTCTTCTTCATCGTAGGCGGCATCCCTGCTATTCATGGTCGATCGTCGCTTTGAGCTCTGACTTGCAGCAGATGCCTTGCTATTCCGCGTCTCCTTTCCTTTGGGCGACCGGGTGCCCTCTTTGACCAGAGACACGGCTCTTGAATTGCGCTCGAGGGGAAGGTAAAGGGAAAACCGCCGTCTGTAAACTCTTGCGTTAGTGAGGAACTTCTCAATGTCCAAGTGCGATCTGCGGCGAATACATCCGACCAAGACCCGTGGTAGTGTGATTCACAGCGCCGTCGGCTTCAGCGATGGCTCAAGAAGCCCTCGCCGAGGGGGTTGGTGATGATCAGAAGGGACGCAGGCTGGAGAATAATGCTCACCCGAGGCTTGTCTTGAATATACGATGGAAGTCTTCCCGACATTCTTCACAGAAATACTCCTCAGGGAGAGTGTCGTCATTGCTCAGACCGACACAGGCGCCATGCTGCCAAACATGACAAACGTCGCATTGTACAAAGAATCCTGCAAGATCTTCGGTTATCTCAGTTGGGAAGACGGCCTCAAGGTCGATTCCCTCCTTGGCGACGCGTTTGAGGTCCTCGAGCGAGGGCGGGCCGGGGTAGTCCTCGTGACCGCAGATGCACCGGACGGCCTCGTCGTCCTCTTGAATGTCGTCAGCCCCGTTTGTTGCCATTTCGTTGTCGTCTGGGTTCGTAGCTTTATTCTCGCGGTCCTCGTTGTTTGATCGCGTACGGCGGGGTCGGAGAAGGTGGTCGTCGGAGGCTTCGATGAGATCGTCGGGGGGCTCGGAGGAGAGCGAGCCTGTGGGTGTGCTCTTTTGAGGGGATCCGGATTTGTTCAGCGATCTTGTAGTGCGCTCTGCTCGTCCCGATATGCTAGATGTGGTAGAAGACTGCTGTGATTGCGAATGGGCTCGCGCTCGAGAAGACCGCCGTGGATCGGGTGCTGCCATTTCTCGCAGCTAACGCCGCCACAGTCGAAGGTTGGGGGTGGAGGGGTGGGCGATCGTGAGGAAGGGGATCGAGCTCTGGCAACGCGGCAATTGATCAATTACCGGCTGACCCGATAGAGCTGACAAGTTGAGCTGCCCGTCGAACGATGCTCTGGCAAGGAAGAGGAGTTGGTGAGGCGAGATGGTGGTGCGGAGAGTCGAGGGAGCTGGCGGGCCGCAAACAAAGATTTTCGAAGAGTGCGACAGACGGGGGAACAGCAGTGAGGAAGGCTGTTCGCAAAAGACGCAAAACTGGCAGCACCAAAGACAGAACCAAGAGGGAGACAGGCGTGTATGTCGAGAGCAGTCGAGAGAGAGGGGGTAGGAGAAAGAGGGTGGTGGGAGGAGAGCGATGGAAGGGAAAGCGACTGAATGTGCGGAAAAAGAGCAGCACCAAGCAACAAGCACCACCGCCCGCCCGCTGGCAGCCGATCCCTACTGTACCTCCGTAGCAATTGCGTCGGGGCCCTGCAAGAACAAGAACGTGCCTCGCTACTCCACTTACGCGCCCGCCCCCGAACCAGCGAGCTACCTAGGTAGGTACTTGGGATTTGGCAGCCAATGGCTGGCCGTCCAAGGTACCTCCATCGTGGATATCTTACTGGCGGCCAATGATGTGGGCTTGCTGTTGTTTCTTAGTGGACGCAGGCTCCTCCAGCCTCTCCAACTACAAGTAACAAGTGCCACCAAGGGCCCTCTCTGTTCTCAGCCAGTGCGGGGGACGCTGACTCTGTGAGAGGAAAAGGCAGATATTTGATGTAAAATGACCAACCCTGGCCGAGTCACCGCTCAAACATTGCCGACATACCTCCAGGACTGGCTTCGAGAGTGAGTGCGATTGTCTGCGACATGGTGTCAACCTCGATGGCCGGTTCATTTTTTGCTTGAGTGGTGCGACTTTGGAGTCATTCGCTACATATATGTAGGTAGTTACTTGGATACTCAAGTAGTGGACTCGAGGAGCGGGATGCACATTATCCTCGTGACCTCCTTTGATGATTGCTTGCTTCGACCCTAGATGCCTATTATTTTGCTCCCTACCTAGCATGGCTGTTTCCTCTGAAACGGCCGCCAACGGCGACGAATGTCGCATTGGAAACCAGCCTTTTGAGAGCTTGGATGCTCTCCCAAGCAGGGCTTAAGTTAATGATGGTAAAGTAGGTAGGTAGAGTACCAGACTTCGAATATGGGAAGTCGCTTATGTAAGAATGCCAATTCACCTTGGCCCTGGAAACTCCACTCTCTGTGACCAGCACCTCCTAACCACACAGAACGACCTTACCGTATCAAATGCTGGCTCGTTAGCAATCAAACTGTCCCTCACAATCAAACTCATCGACCGAACCGGACCTCCTTTCCAGTCTTGTCGCCAGTCGAGATTTGCCCTTGCTTTCGGCTACCCGAGCTTTCGCCCTGTTTGGCTATTCGTCTTGTCTCATTATTGTCACAGGAAGCAGAAACCAACTGCCTTGAAGAATAATCGATTTATCAGCGCCCCCGGTCGGGCTTCATTGACGGGTTCAGAAAGGTGGGTTGTGGCCAGCAAATCTCCAAGGCAAGCTTGCTTAAAGAGCCTGCACCATTGCTGCGATTCCAGGTGTCGAGGAGCTGTTTCTTCGTTCTGTATTTCGGAACAGAGGAACCTCCCGAAACGTGACAGCAGCTTGCCGGACACCATCACTGCATTCCCCTGATAACTGGACAGTGTGTTTCTGACGCTCCTCGGGTAGGAAAGGAGGCGCCGTTCTCGAACGGAACAATCGACCACGTACCGACCCAGACCATTCTCACCTGAAAATTACTGAACTGCTACCGACCTGAGCTTGTGGTCGTCATCTTGTCTGAAAAAGCCATTTCGTTCTGGCGTCGACAAACCTGACGTTATGTGATGGGTATGTCGGGACAATTCCTCCTCTTTATTGAGCCCACCCTTCACCCTGCCCTCAACACTTCGTCACTACTATCTCTTCCCTGCCCTAGATCAACAACAACCGGCCCGCTCCGTAGGGGATGAATCCGTCACCATGGTGTTTCCGGAGCTCGTTGCGCCCGCTCTCGGCGGGACTGGCCTTTGGCTCTCCACCTTCATCGAGACCGTGCCTCTCTTTCTCCTCTCACTAGGCCTTTTTCTGGTCCTCGAGCTAATCCGCCGGCGACTCTTTCAAGCAATAGGCTACCCGGAAATTATGTCAGCCGATACTGTAACAAATCCCTTCCCCGAGCGACCCATCCGTCCCTTGCCCAAGCGGCGACTTCGAGAACGCCTATCTCCCGATGTTGCCGATGCGATTGAGTACCCACCCCTGCCGTCCTCAACAACTCCGCTCTTCAGCTATTCTTGTGCTTCGAAGGATGAAGACCTCGAGTCAACGGGCATAGCTAGCCGGGAACGCGGAGCGGTCAGCGTTGAGGGTGGCTATGTCGCACGCAGCATCGAGAGTGACGGCGATGATGCAAGCGGTAGAAGAACACTCGTTGCTCGTTCATCCTGGAGAGCAACGGCGCGATCACGCCAAGCCCCAAGACAGGATGCATCTCGTGCTCAGAACGCTCAACCACCACCTTCGACCGACTCTTCTGCGGACGGCTATGATTCGTTTGAGAACACGAACAACAAAAAGAAGCGCAAGATACCGACCACCGGGGACTTGTCTCTAAACGGAAGCCACGGCATGAACGACGGTGCCGTGGCTTCCAGCCCGACGAGCGACTTCCATGGTGATGGATCAGGCGTGGCGACAGCGTACCACGGATCTGGTGGATTTATCTCAAGTTCGCCAGGTATATCTGGACCAGGAAGAGGCAGGTATGGGCGGAGCAGGACCGGCAGGAGCCCTCTTCGTGCTTTGTCCGATGCCAGCAACAACTGGGCAGGCAGGGGCGGCAAGTTCCGCCCTTCACAATGGGCAATGCAAACAGGTAAGCGTTTGCAGTCATCTTTTGTCTACTTGACTTCCCATGTTCCCTCTTGAGGTCTTTCTCGTAAAGACCTCTTTGGAAACATCAACTTGTCTTGCAACCTTCTTTTTTTTTTTTTTTTTTTGTATATGTCCAATTCTTAACAAATCATTCTGTAGGAGAGAATTCTGGTATCATCTCAAACGCCATCGCCAATGCTGAGAAGCTCCCATCGCAGCATGGTCAAGAGAATGTCAGCCTCCTTCAACAACGCCAATTAAGCACCAAGTCCAGTCCTGCTTCTACCCAATTCACCTTTACCTGCGACTCCCAGGTTCCAGGCAATCTCACCTGGCCTGGACCAGAGCACGGAACGGGCCTTCCGCCAACCCATGCAGCTGAGCCACAGTGGGTGCAGGACCGTTTAGTCGGCAAGGACATGGCTCCAGCACGCACGTCAGGGCCCAATAACATGGGTCAACAAGCCCCCAAGCAAGGAACAGGAAAGAAGAAGTCACGAAGGAAGCTCATGAACGAACTGCAGAGGCAAGCGCAGGACCGACAACGAGAGCAGGCTATGAAAAACTACGAGTCACCGCCAAAAGATGGAGAAGACCTCTACGTCTGCCCCTATTGCGAGTTCGAGATGCTCATCGGCCACAAGCCTCGAGCTTTACTCTACGACTTCGAGATGAAGGAGAGAAAGAAGCGTCTGGAGGAGGAACGAAGGCGCCGACTGTTGGATAAGGCCAAGGCTAGAGGCCGCAAGGGCAGGAAGGCCAAGTCGGCCGGCAAAACCAGTGGCGTCACCGATGCCCAGTCTTCTGCCGGTCAGCAAGCTCCCCCGATGCAGCCAAGCCACAGTCAGGACACCCGCAGTGAAGGTGACGAAGAGGAGGAATATGTCGACGGCAGTGAGGATAGATCTGGCGACGCGCCACAGCCTGGCGTAACAACGGATCTGGGACAAAACACTGCACTTGCCGAGCGTTCGGCGAAGGACGACGGAGGGGGTCATCCTGGAGGTGGTACTGGAGGGGAACCAGGTACCACCTGAGCGTTTTGGCGAGCATCGGAATGCGAATGCCGTGTGTTTTCCACTGGCAAGAAGCCCGTCCGACCAGCGCCTTGATCTCTCCAGCCTCGCGTCTGTTGCACTTTTCGTCCATTCTCATCCGGATATTCTGGTCAGCGACCATAATCCGCACCATCCCCCCCTTTTCAAATTAGCATCACCACTCTGCATGTGGTCTGGAGAATTCAAGGGTCGCCTTGTATAGCCTCTCGAGATCACCAAAGCATCCTACATCCCCTGCACAGCATCAGCGTAGCACAGCCCCGAACGTCAGCGGCCCCATCGCAGTCTTATTGAGAACCGAGTCTTCTCGAGATCTCTATTGGACGCGCACGGCACTCTTTGGCGTAATGAAGTTCTCTGGAAACAGTGGATAGAACGAGTCAGGTCACAGCATAGGCTAGCGTGCCTCGGTACTGTACCCGGTATTAGAAAGACCAAATACAGTCAAATTGATACTATGCCTGCGTTTGACTAGTGAAAACATAATCAGCATGCCGCCACGGCTGTGTCCATTTATCGGCAGTGCTTCTTTTCGTGGCTGGATTGACGGGGCGCTGGGATTGCCCTCAATGTGTGCTTGTAAACGGTGTAGTGGATTCCGCGCGTTTTGGACAAGTACCTACCTATGACGTAACTAGCCGAATGATGGCCGAAGGCCGTATCTCCAGTCCAAACTCTGTCCAGACCACTGCCATGAGAGGTGGGCACATTTTCAGCTCACATCTCCCTTGTATTCAACCTAGTTATTTGGGCCCTTGAGTAGTGTGGCAGGCAGCCATCAAATTTGTGAGCTCTCCCAGAGTAATTGCTTCGCAATCTCAGTCATTGGAGGCGAGAGAATCCAAGAGGCCTCTCCTTGACTGACCTGACTGTCCAAGACTAACAACGGAATAGTCGCGACACGATGGCGGTAGTTTAATTACACTTGCAAAAACAATAGTACAGTTGTTGAGCATACTTTAGATGATCATAGACCACTTCGATCCGCGCCCACCCGTCGCCCGCGTGTGCCGGCTGGCTGCGGGACGGATAACTAAACTGTCTTGCTGCCGCTGGGCAACATCGTAGAGACCTATTAACACGGCCTCACTGCCGGCCTGGAGGGTCGAAAGGCTGCCGTCGGGTTCGATGGGAAACTGCGGTGGTACGCGGGATCGCCTATCAACTTACACGATTCAAGCCAAGTTGAGCACTTGGGGTGATCCTAGACAAGTTTCATCGGTGCCCAGCTGAGAAAAGCTTATCCCCGATACCAAGTTCTCCTTTGTGAGTACTGTACTTCAGGTTGGTAATGTAGGGTGGACAGGAATTATGGCTGCCTCTGGGCGTGGGAACCATGCCGGTACCTGATTCTCGCCTGCGCCGCCAGCTGGCTTGAAGGCATGTCTCACCACTCGAAGCCCCACAGCAGCTTCCAGGAAGCTCGCAGCGCGATTTGGGTGCAAGTCGGGCTCGCGCTAAGGCCCAAAGGGGCTCTGCCTTGGCGGCATTGGATCAGTGGAGGCCACTGGGAGGGCCTGCATTTTGGTGCATTTGCTGGTAGCACCTCATTGATCGAATCCACCTAGCCTGTCCTTGGGGCCATCCTCTTCTTGGCTTGGCACCACTTCTCCGGCAGAAGGGCGGCGCCATTCATCGTCATCACTCCAATTTCCCTCCCTCAACTCGAACTTCCAACCGAGAAGAAGCGCGCGAGACCAAAGAAGCTTCTTGTCATGTCCCTCTTTTCCTCGTCCCCTTCTAGACCACCCTTCTAGTATTGCGTAATCAATATTTCTTGATTTTTTTAGGTGACAATTCCTTGATAGCATATTATTCACTCCCGAACTGGACGCCCTTCCCGCGCTACCTAGTCGACCGCGCAACCTTCCCGCGCTACCTAGTCGACCGCGCAAGAGAGAGAGGATGGTACGGACATCTCGGTAGCCCTTCGTGACATCATGTTTGGCTCGCGGAGACATCGCCAGCCGGTTCAGGTACGTTGGACATCAACCCCCCCTTTTCCGTGACGGGCCTCCCGCAAGCTTGACTCGGTTTGATATTTGAGTTTTGAGCTGCTCCATCGGCCTCATAAGTACACACACCCATCGCCTGGGTCGCGACTCCAGCTTGCCGGCCTGCCCATACCCTCCGTACCATATCCATCACAAGGAGAGTGCAAGCAATGCTAATGTGGCCTTTGAAATCGCAGCCTCTGACGACGGCGACGGCGAACCCAAATGCTGCGACAGCGGCCCTATCCGCCTTCAAGCGTCAGGAATCTCCCTCCACGACCTCCCTTTCCAGCGCTGCAGCGGCGGCCGCCCTCAGGGCTCGACCTGCGACACCCACGAATGTGTCCGAGGTCCAGACGAAGCGAACGCTGCGCCGGAGCGCGTCGGCCTCGTCCCGCGGGACACTCGACCAGCAGAATGCTCGGCGCCTGGAGAGGCGTGCGAGCTCCAGCTCCATGACTGAGCGCACCTTTCGCTCCCCCAGTCCGCACCGGCCCTCGAGCAGCGGCTCCAACGGCCATCGCTACTCCCAGAGTGCCGGACCCGAAGACCTACCGCCCGTGCCGAGCATTCCGAAGAGTGTCACCGAGGGTCAGCATCATCGGAAAGCGAATAGCTTGGGGTTCACCAGCCAGCCGCTGAAGCTTGCATCTGAAAAGCTCGGGAAGGACACGCAAGGGACATGGTTCGGCAAAGCTGCTGTGGGAGATGCGTCTAACGTGCGCACATCCGACGCGATCATGAGCTCGGCTGTGAGCACGCCGCAGAAAGAACCGCGCCCGAGCAGCAGATCATCTTCGGTCAACTTCTCATACCCTGCGCGTACCCGGGTCGCTTCGCCGCCTCCGGGGGAAGACATCTACGAGCATGAGCCAGAAGTGTCAGAGCCGACAACCAGGAGAAGATCGGTCGCGATATCTCCCGATGGCGTCAGGGCGCCGAAACACAGGCACAGCCAGGAACCCACCATGGTGTACGATCCCAACTCGAGGCGTATGGTGCCGCAGATCAGCACCCTTATGAAGGAGCAGGAGATACAGGATGCGGCGGACAAACCTCGACCGCGTAAAAAGAAGCAAGCGGCGTCGAAAGCAGGTTCCCACCTTGCTCATGGCTCGGTAGCCAGGACGACTGGGACAGCCGTGCACGACGACGTTGGTCCACCAAAGCCGCCCAGAGCACAAACCTCTACTCCTCCACCTCAGACGTACGAGGCTGAATATGACGAGCCAGCTGTCAAGGCAATCATCGGATCACCCAAGCAGCAACGAAGAGAGGAACCGCAGGAACGACGAAGTGATGTGCCAGCGACGGACTTCTTACCTCTTGTTGATGATCAGAGCGACAATCATCCCATCGAGGGGAAATCTGAACCAGAGCCGGACCTGTTCGTGGCAACAGGCCATGCTGCGCCCGAAGTTGCACCGGTCGAAGAGGCACGGCCTGAGCCCAAACAGCAAGTCCCAGCAGCTGATGATGCTACAAAATCAACGACTGCAGCCGTTGCCAGGACAGAGAGGGAGCATCAGGAAATCCCGAGCCACCAGGTCATCCCGCCTACTCCACCGGCCGAGCTTCCTGCAGAAGTGTCACATCAGCTCGAGAGGGTCGCACCCGCTGAACCCAAGGCCGTTGCGTTTGAGCCCAGGGAAGCCCATGCTGTGCGCCAAGAAAGGACACACTCCAATAGCCCAGCCCGCGCAGCGCACTTTGGCCCTGTCGTTCATGATAGTTTGACAGTCCGGCATTCGCCGCCTTCCAGGTCCATTTCACCTAGAAAATCGGCCCTCAAGCAACACAGCCCATCCAGGGGTGCGTCCCCATCCGACGATACCTCCGAGGCATCTGCTCCCGCATCTACCGTGGTGTCGCCGCACCGAGAGGAGCCTGGGTCTCACCGCAAGAAGTCCGTAAGGGTGAGCTTTGATGACCAGAATACTGGCGTTGTGGGACAGGCCGCACCAACTGATCGATCTTCATCCCCGATCCTGCCCAGTCCTCAGTCTGCCCGGCGGCCCTGGTACGGCAGCCTTGGCATTGGCAAGAAGAAAGACCATATGTCTCTGGATGACGATGAGATCATGAAGCCCCGTCCGGCGCTGCCGTCTTTTGGCAGTGTTCGGGAAAAGAAGCTGAAGGAGCATACCGAGGAGCGCCCGCTTGTCAGACCTCATGAGCCTTCACACTCGCCGCCGAGATCCAGTTCGCCCCCCGTACTCTCGTCAATCACGGGTACGGCTGGGGAAGAGACGCAGGAGCCCATTGGCCAGTCTAGCGACCAAGCCATTGGCTCGCTACTAGCTCAGGAGCAATCGCGAAATCCCGCGAATATTTCCCGCTTTAGAGAACCGCTTCCTCCTGTGGTGACGTCTATCGAAGGCAGCGGATATGTTTCTGATAGCAGCAGCTCGACCTCCGAATCAAGTGACGCAGACCTCGTGGCTTCGACACCAGGACTGAGGCAAGAAGAGAGCACGGCCACGACGATTCCAGAGACGGAGCCGCTGTCCAAACCGCTGGATATTCCCGCTGATATTGTCGAGACGACCGCTGCGGACGACGAACCATCGCGGAGCGATCCAGCCGAGACGCACCCTGCCGCAAAGGAGTTTGTTGCCCCCGCCGACTCGATCCCTACGATTGCCATCAGCCACCCCAGTCAAGAGAAGCTGCCGCAGACCAAGTCAAACCTTCTTGGTGTCCCAGGCACCTTCCCCGAGGACGACTCGGACTCTTCTTTCCACGAGGTCGATGAAAAGGCTGGTTCTTCTTTGCCTGCGCCCGCCAGACAAGCCGCTTTAGAGCCGGTAGCCCAAGACGCGGATGCCCACTCCAGTCCTCAGACGCCTGCTACTGTGCTCGCGACACGGATCCCGGTGATCGAAGAGGAGTCGGATGAATCCGGCAGTAGTATTTATAGTGATGCCTACGAAGATTTGTCCGACATGGAGGGTGACGGGTTCCTATCCCTGGATGCTGTGGTCGAGAGTCCGGTCGCCACGAGTGTAGCCAAGAGCCCATTCGCATCGGCCACGAACACGCCGTCACAGCCCAAGGTGGAGGCCATACAGCCTGTACAGAAGCAGGTGGCCATTGCCAACGCAACACCCGAGCCCGTCAAGACCGAGGATGACTGGGAGAACGCCAAGTCTTACTGGCGCAGCCTCACGGCGGAGAAGCGCGCACAGTTGGAAAAGGAAGCTATGGATGAGGCTGCCGTCGATGCCGACCTCGAGGAAAACAAAGCGCCGAAGAAGCCGCGTAGGAAGAAGTCTGTCGAGAAGAAGACGGCAGAAAGACGAGCCATTGAGAAGATCCATGCCGACCCCGAGAGGACGTATATGATTAAGCCCGGTACTAAGGTTGGGGCCGATGGCGTTACGCCGACGATGCGGAGCACTATGCGCGGAGAGCAGAAGTCTCGGCAGCAACCGGCCGGCGCCCAGGATGATGGCGCCACGCGGATGCGCAAGTCTCTGCGGACAAATGGTCCCAAAGCAGCATCCGCCCCCGTCAAAGCTCCCCGGCCCAAGTCCTTGCCTGTCCAGTCTGCGGCGGCTTCTACTGCTACGAGACATGCTAGAAATATGTCGGATGCTTCATCGACGGCAACTGCGCCCGGCAGGCCGAACGGCTTCTCCACTCTCAGAAGGCGAGGATCAGACTCGAGCGAGAGCAGCTTCAAGCGCAGCCGGCCGCGCACCAGCGAGGGCTTTGGCTTCCGGCGGACCATGAGGACTGCTGAGCCATCTTCGCCCGCCTCCGTTGAGGGAGGTCGGGATCGGAGCAGCCGCTTCTCGCTCCGGTCTCTGTCGCCGAGCGGCTCGGCCTTCCGACAGTCTCCGTCCGGCGGCATGGGCATGCGCTCGACACTACGTGACTCGGGGGCAAAGCAAAGCAAAGGTGGCTTCTTCAGCCGTTCGAGCGGCAGCAAGTCACAGTCTAGGTCCAAGGGCAAGTCTTCGAGTCGCTTTGACGATTCGAGTGACGAGGATGTCCGCCGCCCGATGACCTTCAGCAGCCGGTTCGACGACTCGAGCGACGACGAAGTCGTTCCTGCCAAGCTGCCTCCTCTCAGCATCCCCAAGACGATGCGCAGCAGCAGGGGACCTACCCTCGCTGACAAGAGCCCGCCCCTACCCGAGGAGATAGAGGAGTCATCGCCCGAGCTGCCCGACAGCGACGAGGATGCGCAGCGGGGGGCTGCTGGGGCAGGCATGCTCCCACAGCCCGGCGCGGGCGGTGCGAACCTGGGCACCGGTACGATCCGGCGGTCGCGCTCCGGCCGAGGCGAGCTCTCCATGTCGCCTACTTCCCCCACCGCCGCGGCCCCCAAGCACCAGCGGCGCAGCAGCTTCATGTCGGTGCTGCGGCGCAAGAAGGGCGAGGGCAGCAAGATCCAGCGGGCCGAGGTGACGGAGAGCGCGGCGCGCAGGGACACCAAGCTCGAGCGCAGCCAGCAGGAGCTCGCGGCGATGCGCAGCAACAGCCTCAAGAAGCAGCAGCAGGGCGGCCCGCGGCTGCAGAAGCGCAGCGCTACGTCTGACGGGTGGCCGCTGCGCGACGGGGACGAGGACGAGGGCGAGGACGACGGGGAGGAGGAGGAGCAGGTGCAGGTGCGCCCGGCTACGTCGAGCGGAGTCCCCGCCGCCGCCGAGGGCGGGCCCGGCCGGCGGCCTAGTTTCCTGCAGCGGCGGACCATGTCGGGCATGTCTCAGGGGGTGGTGAGCACCGACGGCGTCGGCGGGGAGCAGCGCAAGAAGAAGAAGTTTGGGGCGCTGAGGAGGATGTTTAGATTGGACGATTGAAGGGGTGGGGGGAGGGGGGTTGGTTTCTGGGACATATCACCAGGGTCATCACGGTGGTGGTGAGAGTACATACGCGCATACCTACTTTTCCTTGTTTCAAAACCTCGTCCTTCTTTGGCTCTCTTACCTAGGATCGGATGGACGAGGCGAAAGATTGTTGTTCTAGGGGCATTTGCAAGATACTGCTGCCCATCCAACCGCGCACGCGGTCCCTCACATTTTGTTTTCTTCTATTTCATCTCACAAGTTTCTTCTTTGGCTGTGTACACGAAGTAAAGGAAAGGGGGGGGGGGGGGTTGGAGGAAGGCATATACGCATTCATACCCCAGAGATCAGACTCTCGCACCAGGGCGGCTTCCCTTATTTTTTTTCCTTTGCCTGTTTTTGATACTGTTGGGTACATAGGATGGAAAATGGAGAAACACTGGATTGAGAACACTGGATTCTAGAATACACGCTCACACCGCCAAAGGGGTACTATCTTTGCTGAATTGGTTTGCTTCCATTCTTGGTGTACATTTGGACGCGCCTCTTGGGCTTGGTTGGAACTCGGTGGTATATCTACCTTCGGGTGTGGAGGAGGAAACAGCAAGGCTGTGATAGTCGCTTGTGGTCCTGGGGATAGTCTGTGTATGATAACTACCTAATTACTTCACCCTTTCCGCAGCAACCTCGAAGTCATCACAGCTTGCTGGCCGTGTCTAATAAAACCGACGGAATAACAAGATACGAGAGAATGCCTCTGGCTCAGCGTCGAACCACCACATGCTAGGATATCGACTCCACAAGCATAGCTACACACCGTGACACACTGGCGGTGACGTTGGAATCCACAATGCTCTAGATCTTCCCCCCTTCGACGTGGCCCTGGCAGACGAGAAAGATAGATCATCGGGAATAAGACCCCCTGTTGGAGGAGAAGCGGAGTCCATTTCGAGACAAAGGTCCTGATTCAGGAGCCTGCAACCCCCACGGCAGCTCCTCTGGGAATTGGGGCCCCTCCTTGGGCTGGCAACGGGCTGAGAGAACAAGGGAAGGAAGAAAAAAAGAAGGTATTTGCAATCTCAGGTGGTGTACTTGCCAGCTTTCCAAGGAGATCGACATGGGGGTTTTACGTCAAGCGCGATGCCATTCTGGGTCTGCCGAAGGACGGCGTGGTGGGCGTGGTACATACGGAGTACAGCTGGAGCTCTCTGATAGCTCTTTTGGAACCCCCCATGGCCCATTGGGGACTTTTGGCTGGGCACAGCCTGTGGAGCTGGTGTGGAGACGCTGTCTGTTCAACCTCCGATCTTCGCGCCTCATGGATGTTGGGGCGGCATCCCCGTCCGTCTCCGCCGCCTCCGCCTGGGATCTGGTTGTGACTCTGCAGCTTGCAGCTTGCAGATGCAGAGGCTTGCACACCGGCGGTGTTGCGTTGTGCTCTTGCGTCGAATGGGGAGCAGATGTCTACGAAGCCCACTCTTGTCAATGTAACGGCAGGGTAGGATTTCCCAGCTCGACCTAGGTACTTCAGGTAAAAGCACTTGCGAGGACTGCGAATTCCTACCAGCTTAGGTAGGTCTAGCAAGGCCTAGGTGCCTTGAGATCATGAAAGAAAGACGAGCAGAAAAAAAAATAAGGGCCGTCATGCGCTGCAAGAGCAGGGTACGTACAGATAGCTTGGAGGAGCTATGGCATTTTTTGTCTCGAGCCAACTGGGCCGGCCAGGCGGCGGGGTTCCCGAGTGGAGGCTGTCGAGGGGCGGAAACGGTCTAGAGAGGCTGAGAGGGAGCGATCTTGAGGAGCTTGAGTAATGTGCTGGTGGGCTCTTGGGGGTTCTTGTGGTTACCTAGCATGCTTCGATGTTGATCATCAGCGAGGATCTGTTGACGAGGAGGGGGCGGCTCTAAGTATGTGCTTACATTGGCACACAGGACACGCAACTCTCAATTCCTCTGCTGGCATTTCCTGATTCCCTTCTTTCTTCATCACCACCATACACTGACTGAAGAGGCTGGCAGTTGAAGCTTCCTGCAGTCCATTGACTCTTTGTTTAGCATCTGCGTCTTGTTGGGATTCACAAGCCAATTCTGATAAGCTTAACTTATACATAGCACAAGCTCTGCCTCCCGCAACTTAGTGTCAACTACGTCACAGCTTCAAATCCACCACGCACGCCCTTGGGGAACCGAACAATTCCAACTCAGACCTGTCTCAACTTTTTTATCACTTTGAAAACAAAGTATTGAGAGAAATCAAAGGAGCTTGACGCCCTTCGCCCTTTGTTTCTCGCCTTGCTTTTCTTCTTTCTCACAGCAGAGATCTCAATTGGCACTACATCATCATCAACGCCACAACCAGCAAGCCAAGATGTTCACTCTCCGGGCCTTCAGGACCGCCATGCGCACCGCGCGCCCTGCCATGGGCATGTGCGCCGTCGCCCCCGCGGCGGCCCGCCCCATCCACAGCACCCCGATGCGCCGCAGCACCAAGAGCGAGAACGACGGGCCGGACACGGCCGACCCGGAGCACCCCGAGACGGCCGGCAGCTTCGCGCGCACGGACGCCACGGTGACGGTCGAGTACCCCGAGGACCACGAGCTGCCGTCCTCGGCCCCCGTCGAGGGCGCCGGCCGCGCCGGCGTGCAGGTCTACCCCACGCTGGCCACCTTCTCCCTGCAGGGCAAGGTCGGCGTCGTCACGGGCGGCGCCAGGGGCCTGGGCCTGGTCATGGGCCAGGGCATGGTCGTCAGCGGTGCTGACCTGGCGATTGTCGATCTGAACAGTAAGTGCCCTTTCTCATCTTTCAACCACTAGGCAGATCCTTTTAGGCCCTCGATCAAGCAAAAAGTTCTAGAAGAGCCCGATGGCTGATTCAGCTCGCGTACAGAGGAGGAGGGCATCAAGCAGGCCGAGAACATCATCGAGACCTTCAAGGCCGATAACCCCAATGCCAAGAAGCTCCCCAAGGTCACGGCTCACTACGCCGACGTCGGCGACCCGGAGTCGGTCGACGCCTGCATCGCCGAGATCATCAAGGAGCATGGCAAGATCGACAACCTCGTCACCTCGGCCGGCTTCACCGAGAACTTTGAAGCGACCAAGTACCCCATCGACCGTATGAGGAAGCTGTGGGCGGTCAACGTCGACGGGACCTACCTCTTTGCCACCGCCGTCGCCCGCCACCTCATGGAGCGCGAGTCCAAGGGCAGCATGGTCTTCATCGGCAGCATGTCTGGCAGCATTGTCAACGTCCCTCAGCCCCAGGCGTGAGTCCAGTCCCGATTTCCAAGCAGGAAGCAGCAGAGAAGGGAACGAAAAGGTAGCTGACTTTTGTGAATCACAACAGACCGTACAACAGCGCCAAGGCGGCCGTCCGCCACCTCGCGGCCTCGCTGGCCGTTGAGTGGGCGCACGCCGGCATCCGCGTCAACTGCATCTCGCCCGGCTACATGCTCACTGCTCTGTAAGTTCGACACGGACCATGGGCAATACCTCTACAGGCCGAGTTCTTTTGTTTTTGGTTTCACTCTCGCTAACGTTTGTAACCATCTCTTAGTACGCAGAAGATCCTCGATGACAACCCGGACCTCAAGGAGAAGTGGACCTCGCTCATCCCGCAGGGCAAGATGGGTGCTCCCGAGGACCTCATGGGCCCCGTCACCTTCCTCCTGTCCAACGCCTCCGACTACGTCACTGGCGCCGACCTGCGCGTCGACGGTGGCTACACCGTCACTTAAGGAGCCCTTTAATCTTTCTTTCTTCTCCGTGTAGGGGAGAAGAAACGGAATGAAAAGGGGAATGAAAAGAAAAGGGGAATGAAAAGAAAAGGAGAGAGATAGAGGCACGCAGATGATCGATGCCTTCTGTAGATTACTTCTCGTAGCGTCTGCATTACGGAGATGGGAAGGAATATTACCCCATACAAAATTGAGACTGGTCTTACCCCGGAACCATTGGCCTTTTCTCTCTTTGAGCAGTGTGGACGCGAGAGTTTGTCTAGTCCGAGTCTCTTGAGTGAGTGGTGGTTTGCAAAAAGGAAAGATGATAGAATCGCCATGGAGGGAGCCTTGGCTTGATGACTGAGTAAAGTCATGTACTTCCTCGAGAGGTACCTCGACTACATGCGGCTGGAGGAGCGTCGGGAGGACGGGCGAAACATGCTCGCAGCTTCCCGAGGATGATTATTACATGTCATGTTACACAGCACTGTTGCGTCCATCTGCCGTCACGGCAGTCTCGCCCATATCCGGCTGAGGTTCCCCGGTTCGACTAAAGGCCTCGACCCGTTCCCTATCATATCCTGTTCTCCAAATGATAAAATGTGACGATTTTTTTTTCTTTCTTTTGGGTCACGAGGACCATCGCATCGTCCCGTGCTGACATTCGTTCGTTGCAGCGCGGGAACACACTCCCGGTTGCCGTGGTCTAGTACTACAAGTAATATCAACGATCGATACCCGTCGTATTTAGTGTTATGTCAGGGATATGCATGCATACATACTTGATGTACATACATTGATCCCTCCGGCCTTGGGAGTGGTGTTCGGCACCGACCCCGAAGCTGATATGAGTGCGAGGCGCGGCACACACACACTTCTCTCTGCATGTGCATCTGATGTCCATGACCAATGGGTGATATCACCCTCGACATGGGAGGGTGTCGTCAAAATCTGTTGGGCGAAGAGGTCATGCCCAACCAGCTTTCTGGGGTTAACAACCTGAAAGTTACTAGTCAAGGGTGCATGTTTTTTTCAAAGGAGAAAGCAACTGGCTTTTCTGAGAATTCGGAGAGTCCATTGCACCCAGCCTACATGAAAAAATCGGTGAGGTTTTCTCTTACAGCTTGGACCGGATGCGGGCTCCACTAACATGTGTGAATGCTTGCTAGTGCTAAATTAGCCGGCTTTTTCCAACATCGGGCAACATGGCCGAGTGGTTAAGGCGAGAGACTAGAAATCTCTTCCGTTCGCGGGCGCAGGTTCGAATCCTGCTGTTGTCGATTTTCTTTTGCTTCTCTCATTCAAAGATCTCTGTCTTTCTCTCCCTCCCTTTTCGTTTTTTTTTTTCTTTTGGTCATTCGATTCTTTCTGTTTCAAATTGGTTATTGAAACTGTCAGCAGAGCAAGTACTGTGCCATTGTCTCTTAGTCAAGTAGTGTTAGTGACCCAGCACTAGCTTCAACACGTCATGAATCATATGCATATTTACAGAATCTGGTTTTACAAAAGTGCCGATATTGGGGCCAAGATAACAATATCGAGTACTTGTCTATGCTTCGATACTTCAATATTTGTTGGGAAGCATGTGATATCAGCCGCTGCTTTTATAGTGTCCTTGGCTTACAGATGCCGGTTCCTGCAGGTTTGAATACTGTGTGGTGGTCAGCTCTGCAGGTGGTGAAGCACACTGATACGAACCCGTCAATTTAGAATCCCTCTTGGGGGGGCATATTCTCACATGCAAGGCCCTGTATCGGGACTTTTTGTGGTGGGTGTGCTCGTGGTAGGCTAAATGCAGAGCAAGGCTGCAGCCTGGAAAGGGAGGGGGAGCGGAAGTTGCACCGGGAAGCTTGGAGGCTCTGTGTTTTGCATATGTGAACTTGGGATATGCGGTTGCTGGGTGCACACTTCCGGACCAGATAAATCAAAGACAGTCTTATGAGAGCTTGCTTGTTGGTTGTAATGGACGTCGGCAGGCCCCGGCTCGTGGGGAGCAAAGGGCCTCCCAGAGGAGCCATCGACTTGCCCACGGATCATACCGGTCTCCTCGATGACCATGCCATGACAAATCTGTTGGTTTTGTTTCCCTCCCCCCTTCTTTACTAGGTAAATCCTTCTACAGGTGTGCAGCGTATCACCAACACAGGATACAGTTTCAAATCCCCGCCCATTTCGACATTGCAATCCTGGGAGATGGGTCCTCATCTATGCTTCTTCCCAAGAGGTACTCGCCGGTACCAAAATAGACCAAGAGAATTGTGGAAGGAGACAAGGGACAACGTCAGCCGTGTGATCGTTGAGATCATCGCTGGTTCCGCATTCACACCCAAACAAGCCGTGCTTATGGGAATGGCAGCTAGCCAAAGGATTGGCTTGATACCTACGCCAATCTCCTCCTGCAGACGCGCAGACGCCCCCGGACCCGGGTGCCGACGTCGACTGCCAGCCAATCGCCAGCGTTGGAGCCCGTCGGTCCAGGGCTGAGCAAAAGCCTCGGTCTGGGTCACACGACGTCGCTTTGTCCTTCCCCGCAAACCCGGAAGGAGATCAGAAGACCCCATTTCCTTGCGGTAGGGGTGGAAAGAACTTCCTAAAAGGAGGATTACCTTGGGTAAGAAGTTGGAACCTGGTTCACTTTCCGGGATGACGGGGCACCGAACAGAGCGCAATTATTGGGTGGGAAACACGTTGTTTCCCATGTCAACCGAAATTGCGGCCGGTTCCCCACGCGTCTTGGGTCATGTTGCGGACGGGCAAACTTTCCTTTTTTCTTTTACGTACTTGTACTCTATGACCTGGCGGTCCTCAATTGACTAAAAGGCCCTTTTGGCGGCCAACGGCAGGCTTCCGTATGGTCGGGGTGGGAGACGGAGAAGCCTTCCGGGGAGGTCTTGTGATGCTGATTCTTGATTTGCATCGAGCCCGGCGGCTTAGTTTTTGCTTTTTTTTTTTGCCAACCCCGGCTGCTTGAGTGATGCTGGTTGGTGAGACATGGCGCAGTCAAGGTTAATCTTTCGCGGCTTTACGACGTGAGGTGAGGTAGGCTCCTCCTCCACACACCATGTATGGGCAAGGGCCATCCCGCGTCTCCGGTTTGGTCGCGTGGAGAATCCCTGATCCTTGTGTCGTGTCATTCGGTCAGTGCATCAAGCTGTGTACTCGCTGTGACTTTTTGGGTTCGAGCGGCAGCCACGGAGGGAGTGGTTTGCTTGGATTCCCGAGATTGGCTCCCTGTCTACAGTTATGTACTTGCGCGAAGTAGTAGCGGTGAACGAGGGACTGTCAGATAGCCACGTTACTTGGCACTTCTCTTGTCTGCCTGAAGATCGTGACGAGTGTCAAGGCGGTGGCGGGCGGTCATGGCAACGTCAAAGCGAACGTTCCCTGCTCACTGTCTGGCGTGTTGCGTAAAACAAAAACCAGCTCACCATATCGAGATACAGGCAATCAACTGCTCTGCCGCATTGAGAGGAGACGGGAAAGCCGTCCAGCACCACCCTTCGCGGAGGATAGTCCAGAAGGCGACACCCGCAGCCGGAAATGCAACAGAAGGACCTTCTGGAATGCCGACTCTGGTGACTTCTCGTCTGGGTAGAGTTGCAAACAAGCGTGCGAAGGGTGTGGGAGGGATACCTACACGCATCTGCATGGCCAGGTTTGATATGGGTCCCCGGCGGCGGGCTGCAGCTGACAGCATGCTGCATTGCCGTTGATTGACCGCTGCGGGCATGTGCCTGTTCATGTGCCCATACCGCGCAGTCCTAATTGCAAGGTTCTGTCTCCTGCCAAGACGCTATTATCGATGTCCAATCCCGGGGGACGGGATATGCAGGCATCTCGAGTTAATTACCGCGCCGGGCTGAGTTTGCTGGCTGTTTGAAATGAGCTGGTCGTTTGCCGGCCAGACGAAGGGAAGGCCGCGGGCCGGTTTTTATTAGGGTATGAAGAGAACCGCTCTTGTGGTCCGAAGTTTGCAGAGTGATGATGCCTATGATCGGATCCAGGCCTGACCAGAAGCTTGACCGGTCAAAGTGCTCTCCTGCGGGGGCGTCGAGTCTGACTGCGAGGTGGATGGATGTGATATCCACTGGCCTACCACACCCATTTTAGGGCTGCCTAGACGAAGAACCCCACTGGTTCTAGAACCATAGGTAGCCGTCCTGCCACGTTCCTACGGGCGATAGACCACCTACCACAGAGCATCCTCCGTACACAGTTATACAACCCTTACTTGTAGAGCCAGGACGTGGGGGGCTAGGATGCCCCCTTTGGCACAAACAACAGCAGATCGATGGCCGGGTAAAGTAATGTGATATTGTAAACGCAGCTTCGAGGTCAACACGTGCCCAGGAGATGCTGCCGGGCTATCACTCTTCGAGGAAAGCTCTGTTTGGCCAGCCAAGAAACTGTATAGCAAAACATGGCATCATCAGGGAAACGGCACCAGCTTCTGGTAAGGAGGTGGACCGGGGCATTTTTTTTTTTCTTTCGCTGGGATGAGCTTGTTTGTCGCACACCACGTGGGTCGGCAAGGGATGTGACAGAGATGGAAAGAAAACAATACCTTTTGAGACGTGTGAAATGCCAGCCAGGCACCTCCCTGTCTCGTCGTTTTGCTGTCTTGCAGTGCAGCCGACGTAAGGCACGCATTAGTCTGCGTAGTCGAACAGGCTGTGGGCCAGAGAAGGCACTATGACGTGCAAACCGGAGACGTCTGAGGTATGTGGCATATCTGGCAAGCCTGGGAAGCCAGGGCCACATATAGAGGCCTCTTTGTGATGAGAACAGTTGTTGGAAGATCCGTGGCCAGAGGGTGAGAAGGAAAGGCATCTCGGTTCGGGTAACAGTCGCCACTCGGTGTCCAGGGCTTGGGGACCATCGATAACCAGCTTCCTCTCTCAGTAACAGACTCCCAGGGGGTCACACCGTGTTGCCCATCCCATCAGTCGATCGTGATGGTGTTTGTGGTCTGCGCCGCCAGAGATAAGTCGATCCCAGCCGGTCCGGCCATTGGTGAGGAAGGTTCCGATGCCAGTCTGTCCGCCACATGTCAGAAGAGTTAGTTGATACAAGCGAGCTCCTCCCTCCCTGCCACCAATTCCAACAAAGGTAGAAATCCCGCCAACATGGACGGCCATTCTCCGGGTGCAACCATGCCAGGTAGGTATGGTAGGCAGGCATGTATCCGTACGAAGGGCGCGTCTGAATCTTCATGGATGCCCCCTCGAGCCGTCGAGCGAGGGAATCTATTAACGACGAGGTCCTGGATCCCCGCCCCAGAAAGCGTCAAGCCGGTAAGAGGCTAACGTGCCGGGATGGTATCCCTAGCACCGAGCTGGCACATTTGGCACCGCTGGGACTCTCCACTCGCAGCCAGGCTAGGCCAGACACGGAGGCTAGAGCCCAGCGCAAATTCGCTCGACTGAGACCCTTGAGAGCTAGATCCTTGTCTCTCATCTCTGATATCGACAACTAGCCCCTCTCTGGGTGAGGGTGGTGGTGTTGTTGTTGTTGGTGCTGGTGGCATTGGGCTCTGTTAGACTGGCGCGCAATGGCTTTGGTCTGAATCAGAATTCCGCAGAACTGCCCAGGGAGGGATCCATGGATGATTGACGGGGTGCCTCCAGGGCTACCAGAGTGCAAGTGCAGGCGGTCTCTGCAGGTGGTTTTGTACTTGTAAACGAGTTCCCCTGGAGCTCGATCGGGGACAGGACCCCCCTCCCCCCCCCGGTAGGAGAACCCACTGTTACCACTAAACAGGGCAAGCTAAAAGCGCGGTAATGGGAAGTCGGGACTGCTGGCGCTGATTCTGGAGCCCGTTGATATTGTGGAGAGACTTCCAAGGTGATTAGAGGCCAAAACGGAGTCGCCGCCTTAGTCGTGCTCTCCCCATCTCCCTGGTCCATTTTGTAGGACGAGAGCAGGTAGAAAAAAAAAACACGCTTGCCATTCCTCTTTTTGACTCACTCTCTTTTTCTTCTTCTTCAGTCAAAACTCGCCCACGGCCGGCCAGCCTTGTGGTTTCCATCTGCGCGCGCGGTTCTTTGCTGGGAGTACACACTCTCAGAACCGACTGCGCTTCGTGCTTTTGCAGTGAGTGTGTGCCCACATCTCACAGCAGCACAAGTTAGTCGCAGCAGCAGCAGCACCAGTGGCGGCGGCAGCTCGTTTCTTTTGGCTGCAGGTGGATCTCAAATGTCACAAGGCACCCTCTACGGCTCCAGCTACAGGCCCTCCTCCCTCCCTCCCTCCGACTCCGACTTGACTCAACTGGCATGCATTGCACCGCCAATGCTTCAACCGGACCAGACCGCTAGATGCTCCCCAGCACCGTCACTGCTTCTGCTTTCGCCCAGCAGCTGACCTACATCCGCACACCCATCCTGAACTCGGCTCTTAAACCTTGGGCTACGTCGTTGATTTAGACAGCCTTCCTACATATACACACGCTTCCGCCCGCATGTGTGTACGTATCCCGACGACACCCTACCCTACCACGCATACCACGCATACCACAGACCTACCATTTGCCTTACCGTACCCTCCACTCCCTCGCCCTCCGGCCTGCCCGCCTGCTGCCCGGCCACCATAACCGAATCGCGACTTATACGCCTGTGCCCACCAACTCGCAAAACCCCGGTACCTGACGCTCTCGGGCCCAGCAACCTGTGCAATCTGCTCTGCAACACCAGGGAAACTCTTTTTAACTTCCGTCCGGCCTCGACCGACCCCTCCACTCGCCCGCCGTTGCTGCTCGGTTTGGCTTTTGAACCAGTCACACACGCCGATACAAGCCGCCAGCTGCCCTCGCGTCCCCCACGGACTCGTTGAGTCAAAGGATTGTGGCCTCGGACCCCATCTCATGTGTCACTGGCTATCCCTGTAAACGCCTTCCGCGACTTCCTGCGCGCCCATTCTCGATATATCCCAGCTTACACCAGCTCTTTTGGCCGAACCCGAAACCCCCACCACCGCCCGCCGAGCATCTCATTGCGCTTTTCCGCATTCCGTTCCGAGGGTACCCCCAGCCAGCTGACCTCGAGATATTCAATATCTCACCTCCTGTGCACCCTCCGCCACGGCCTCTTTGTGCGACTCCTCTGACTGTGTCATCTCACCCCTTCTGGCCGCCGGCGCACATCACACAGTAGTAAACGCCACAACGTACATCGTCTTGTTGCCCTCCAGCCTCGGCGGTTCCCTCTCCGCTTACTCAGAGTTCGCGCGTGGCCGTATCTTCGTGTCTGTTCCCCCTCGGTCCAGCCTATTTGAATTTCGACATGAACGGCAGACCGAGGAATAGGTAGAAACGACGACGCAATTCCTTCTGGCAGTCTCAAGGTTGCATGGTTTGCGAGGATATGATCTGTCCCTGCAGTTTGTTGTGCTGGTCCTCAGAGGACAGCCTTCCTTGTCCGTCTCGGTGACATATCGCCTCTTTGAGGCTTTCCGCTCGCTAATCATGGCCTTACCGCTTCCGCCCAGCATGGCCATGCTACTGCCCAAGGGCTTGGTGGAAAACACAGCAGAAGTCTACGCCGAGGTAGCCAGTTATCCAGTGATCCCACCAGAGAAGATTTACGAATACTGGCATGGTAAATCTCACCGCTCACCCTCTCCTGCAAGGCTTGCGCCTCTAATGCTTTCTTGCTCTCTAGTCTACACCACCACCTTCAGGAAGTTGATAGACCCTACTGCCCACAGATTGGAGAATTTCTGGTGGCATGTCTGGGGGAGCGATCGGCGCTACCTAAGTGGTCCAGCTCTGGCAAGAATCTACGAGGAAATATCCAAGGGCCCTACCTTTGTTCCCTTGAGGGGGCCTCCGAATCGATATGAGGGACCACCGGTAAAGCCGATCTTACTCGTTCTCACCGCTTTTAATGCTGATTCACCAGTATAGACGCCTCGGTTTAGTGCTCACGAGCTCGATCGACCCCGGCCAGGACAGCATCGGGGCTCGCCGTCCAGTCGCAATCGCGTCAGGACAGGAAAAGACCTAAGTGGTGAGGCTGAGGAAGAAGACGGCAAGAATGACCTTACGCGTCCAGCGACTCTACAGCAGCGCACATCGTCATCAGCGAAACCCCCTCCTACTCACTCAATCTTGAAGAAGCCGAGAGGGCCCTCGACCTCTGGTCCCCGCCCCACTGCACGCTTCATCTCCCCCCACGGTTCCGAAGATGAAGATGGCGACAACAAGGATGACGAGGAGCCCTCATCTACCAGCACTGCTGCAACCGGACTCGAAATGCAGGCCCGATCGCCTTCGACGAAGGGCGAGAAAAAGGCGCAGCAGCATCAGCATCATCACGTACCCAAGAAGTTTGTGGCCAGCACCCACTCCAAGCGTCGACCGGCCTTACCACGGCGGCAGAGCTCTCAATCATCAGCAGGCTCCGAGGCTGGGTCGCACCGAGCACCGACGCTCGCGGAGTTGCGGGGTGTCTCTGCACCACGGTCTCAAGGGAGCTCTGAATCGTCCGCGCAGTCTGATCTTCATCTGAGCGCCAAGGCGGCCGGGAAGCGGCCAATGACGCGCCTATCTCCCGATAAGAGAGTAGCTCACCGGAGCCATGCTCATGGTAAAGGCCCTGATCGAGACTTGGAAGAAGACGATGCCGAGCAAGCTGTTGCACAGAAGATGTCTCCACAGGAGGACCAGATTAGCATGCCGCCACCCGAGAGACAGACGCCTCGGAACGAGTTACATCCCAGCGTGTTTCAGAAGGTGCCAGTCTTGCCACTCGAGAGCCCTACCGGTGCTCCACGGATGTCGCGATCGCAGTCACATCAGGAACACCCTCGGCCGAGGAGGGACGACAGTGTTGGCAGGCGACCGCCTCATGGGCTGTTGGCGTCGAGTGTCTCGGCCATGTCCAACGTCGCAGCTCGAGGTACGTTCGACTCGGAGATGCCCATCCCCGAGCCCCAGACGATACCGCCCCCGAGAACGGAGCCCTTGCACCCGGGCGCGATTCCCATATCGCCAGGTGGCTTGACTTCGCGGCCTTCAGCGACCTCTTTGCTCGAGTCTCGCTTCACGCCCACCCAGCCGAGTGCGACGCCACCGGTCCCTTTCGGACGCTCCAAGAGTCAACTCACCCTCCTCCTGGAGCGAGAGAAGGCTCGGGGCGCAGACACGAAGCCGCGGCATCCGTAATTACGATGGCATCACCACTAATCAACTACTTGTAATACATAATACGTTTTTCTGGTTAGCCTGCGACTCTTGGTATACCGAGAGACGCAGACTCGCCTGACGATGTCGGTCTTTTTTTTAGAGCTACGAGGGAGCCCTCACAAGACATGGAGAGTTTCTGTCAGCTGTGTAAGTTAAAGTGTTGAATTGTGCTTGGTCGTTTTTCAACGGCATGGGTTGGGAAAAGGACTCGAAGCTCTCGGGGGCTTCAAAGCGAAATATGCATGTTTTTCTTTGTTTGCGGGGTTTTCTATTATCTAGAGCGCAGGCTCCTACAGCCTGATTTGGTTTTGATTTTGATTTTCTTTCATCAAAGATTCCGGTGCAAGCGCAAAGGTTATGCATGGCATGGCATGGCATGGTTTAGGAAGGAAAAAGTAAGCTGCCACTATCGAAAATCATTTCTTTGTACATAAACCCCTATAAGTTTGGCTCCCATGAATCAAGAGTCTGTCAGCAAGTTGCCAGAACAGTTCTGTCCGCTCTTTATCACACATTACTGGTTTGTTTTGATACTCTCTCGTCATCATCCTTTGCAACCTGCTTATCACACTCCCCCGTGTTGAGCGGACGAGTTTGTGATTCTCCCCTATCACTTCTACCCTTGTGACCAAATGGCTGGTAGGAGATGCCAAGTTTGGCGACAACTCCGACATGCCAAGGCACACCATCCCACCGAGGGGAAAACCGGTGTGCCTTTGGTGAGCGAAGACCGAGAGGAGACAACCTTGACCCGAAGTAGGTAAATTTTACGAGACAGAAATTCGATATCTTAACTCCGAAGACAACGAGAGAGTTGGAGGGTTGGAGGGTGAGTTTCAAAAAGGCTTTGATAAACATACCAACTCCTCGGGACCAAAACGTGGGGGGCTTGCATGCGCAAGTGGCTCGAGGTCATGCAACCCTTCCAACTCTCCCAAGCAGGGGTCAGTTCAGAGTAGTTGGCTCGACACAAAGGGTGATCAAGAAATACACCTCGATGCTAACAATACATATCATCGCCTTATGCCGGACATCCTACCACTTGCACTCCGATGGGTGTGGAGGATGCCGAGGTAGCTCTTGTTTCCAGCCTGTCCACTACTCTGACGCCAAGCTTTCGTCTCATTTTGTTGCCATTGCGTGGTTGTTTTGGGTATCTGTACACAGTATTCAAGAGGGAATCGTCTCATCTGACCACTCTCATTATCCCTGTCCCGAATCCGGTTCCCCATCGTTCTGATGTGAGAGGCTGACATCTGCATCGCATCCACATGATCTCATCTCCCTGGCTGCAATTCGCTGTGAATTCTCCCGACTCCCTTCCTCAAGAGCATTGGCTCACAAGATCTGTTGGCCCACTCCTCCCGAACCCACCTCCGGGTTCCCCAGGCGGTTCCATATCTCCGTCGATCCAACCTTACGCTTGCTGAACGATATACAGTGGGTTTGAGCCATGTGAATGGCAAAAGAAGCCCATGAAGAAAATCCTGTCGGCTTTGCAAGCAGATCAGGGCTTCTTGACAGCAGAACCAGTGTCAGCAGAAGAAGGCTAGGTGCTCTGCTACTGTAACATGAACAGTGACCAGTTGGCTTTCCTATGCATAGAGGTGTGAGCAGTTAACGTCGAACTGACTCCCGGGTATGTTGGACAGACGTTCTTCCCCGAATTGCTTTGAGAGAGCGCCTCTTCGTCGTACTGTGATATTGTTGCCCTCTTGGGGTGAGCTGTACCACTCACAGATGCTCCACGCAGGCTCAAAGATCGGATACCAGACACCGCATCCTGCATGCCTTGAGGATGAACAGCTTCATTCTCAATCTCTAACACTCTCTTGACTAGTTGATTTGGTGTTCGAGGTACTGCATGCCCCTGAAACTCCAGCATCCTCGGAGAATGGGCGCTCGTCATGTCCGACCCCCCTATGCCCCTATGTACCAGCCTCATCCTTCATGTTGAATGAACTCGCTCATGAGGTCTTTTGGCCCGTCGATGTCTTCGTATCTCAACCACCCATGGTAGACTTTTCTCACGAGAATGGCACTTCCCGGAGTCTTCCTGCTGTTCGTGTGGGTTGTGACTGAGTGGCACGTTCCATATTTCGTCAAAACTATATCCAGCCGGACTTGATCTAGCCAGACCCAGATTTCATTCAAGTTCGAAGATGTTCGTCTCCAATTCTACATAGTTAGAGATGGTTTGAAGCATCCGAGTGCATGGCTCCATGTCGTGCAGCACCGTGAGAGAGTCGTCCAAAGAGGTCGAAGTGTCAACACCCAGCGTCAAAGTGCCTCTGAAATATCCGCTCCGCTGACAATACACTCTTCCCACCTTCCTAGGACGTAGTCACTCAGTTTTCAGGTTGGGCCAGCGGCTCTCCCGCTTCCGGAGCTTGGCGCAAAGGTCCAGAGCCTGCTGCCGAGCAGATCCGGCTAAAGAGGCCGGAGGGCCGGCCAATCCCACGTCTTCGCAAAGATAAGCTTCTGTCACCAGCAGCCTGCATCCGACGGCAGTGGCACTTGAGCTCTCCCTGCCAATAACACGATCTGCATACCCAGAAGAGTGCCAGTTCGAGACAAACATACCCCACAAACGCAGCCCGGATCTCTTCTGCCGTGCGTTTGCAAACAACGAGGCATCCACTTGATAGGCGAATATAAATTACCCACGCAAGCTCCCCCCGAATGAGCACCCCAGACGCACTCCCGACTGCAGAGTCGATATTAACTAGTTAATCTGCTGGCATTGCGGCAGTTACAAGTCAGGATGCGAGCTTGCGAATCCAGCCCGGGGTCTGGATCTCACCCGACCCCGACATCCACGCGGGAAGGTTATCACTGATGGCAAACAGCACCTCTGCTCCGTTTTTTGATGTTTTACAGCATTTCGTCACCGGTGACCGGGATTCGTCTATCCTACGAAGATGCTAAAGTGGAGAGAGTGACATACCGTCAGATTGTCGAGATGCCTACCTGTCTTGGTCATCGCCTCGAGAAATATAGCCGTCGCATACGGCAGCCAGTATCTCGATATTACACCCTGGGGCACGGCTCATAATCCACACATACAACCTTCTGCCGATACATACTAGGGCTACATATACCGATCGGGGACCCCTCATCCCACCCGCTCCCATCCCCTCCAGCTCAGTGACACTCGAGCCTCTCCGCCGAAGCTCCTCGCCCACGCACGCCAAAGACCCGCGAACCATGCACTGGACCACCGCCCTCGCCGCGGCGGTGCTCGCCGCCGCCGCGCGCCCGGCCCACGCGCTGCTGCGCTTCTCGTGCTCGCAGCTCGTCGTCGACCGCATCGACCCCCTCGTGAACCCGGACCAGGCGCCCTCGCCGCACCTGCACCAGATCGTCGGCGGCAACGCCCTGAACCTGACCATGGACCGCACCGGCCGGATCCCCGAGCAGGCGACCTGCACGACGTGCACCTTTGCCGACGACTTCTCCAACTACTGGACCGCCGTGCTCTACTTCCGCGCCCGCAACGGCACCTTCCGCCGCGTCCCGCAGCTGGGCAACGTCTTCTTCGAGCAGGCCCGCCAGGGCGGCATGAGCATCTACTACATCCCGACCATCGGCAGCATGCCCTCGGCCGGCGCCGTCACGGCCTTCAAGCCGGGCTTCCGCATGCTCGTCGGCAACCCAAACTTCCGCACGCAGCAGGAGGCCAGCCAGTTCCGCCAGCTGACCTACACGTGCATGCGCAACCCCAACGACCGCTCCGGCGAGACGATGCACTTCCCGCGGCAGCCGTGCCGCGCGGGCATCATGGCCAACGTGCGCTTCCCGACGTGCTGGGACGGCAAGAACCTCGACAGCCCGGACCACATGAGCCACGTCTCGTACCCGGCCGGCGGCACCTTTGAGCGCAACTCCCCCTGCCCGGCCACGCACCCGGTCAAGATCCCGCAGCTCTTCTACGAGACCGTCTGGGACACGCGGCCCTTCAACAACAGGGCCGACTGGCCCGAGGACGGCAGCCAGCCCTTCGTCTGGAGCTTCGGCGACCCCACGGGCTTCGGCACCCACGCCGACTACGTCTTTGGCTGGAAGGGCGACGCCCTGCAAAAGGCCATGGACTCCAACTGCGTCAGCTGCCCGCAGCTCAAGTCGCAGACCATCCAGCAGGGCAACCAGTGCGTCAAGGAGCGCATCGTCAAGGAGGACATTGACGGATGTAAGTGCCTTTCTTTTTTTTTGTGGGTGTTGGAAACAATGCTCATACCTCTCGTCTTGTTACTCTGGCTAACGGTTTGTGTCACTACATAGGGTTGACACAACTTCCTGGAGATATGCCCGTGACATATAAATAGACTAGCGAGAGGGAGATGTTCGGTAAGGATGGACTCAAGCGACGAATGTGTGCAGTGTGACCTGTCACTCTATTTGACAGGTCATGAAATAGGGGAAACCGCGGCATCAGTCCCTACGAGAACACGCAAGTCACAATTCACCACAGCTACCAAGGATGACACTAGACGAGTCGAAGAAGGAACAGAGGGTATCCCAATCATAAAATTTTCCAAGTATGTAACATCAGTATGGCAGTGGGAGTAGAGTACATCTCCGAATGACCCTGTAAGGTTTGATATATCCACATGGCTGAGAGAAAAGACATTCCCCAGAACGGGCATTTATACACACACATACAAACAATATGTACCCAAGAGCTTCTTTTCTCTCCCGCCCGAGGTGCCAACACTGACAAAACCCCTGATAGTAAATATGCACAGGTAAAAGGAAAGATGCACAAGCAGATCGCTGAACCCAGACCGACACCTATCAGTCCCTTGTCTGTATGCAAGAAAGGGGAACTTCGTTGTTGCCCATCATTCGAGATGAAATCTCTTAGAAAGCAAAGACAGCGGCACCGACGAATGCCGACAGCGCGAAGGCCGCGACGCCGTTGCGGGCGGCACCCGCAGTGACGGGGCCGGAGGGCTTGCCGCAGCCGGAGCCGGAGCACACGGCAGCGCCGGTAGGGCCGCTGGTGCCAGGCTTGGTCGGCGAAGCAGCGTTGTTGGTGCCGTTGGTGTTGCCGCTGCCACCGACGACGGGCAGCGTAGGCTTGGGCTTGGGAATAGTGACAGTGGAGAAGAAGGTGGCAGTGGTCTGCTGAGTGCTGGTGGACGGGCAGTTGGGGCCGGGGCAGATGGGAGAAGCTCCATTGCCCCCGTTGTTCCCTCCGTTGCCTCCGTTGTTGCCTCCGTTGTTGCCTCCATTGCCTCCGTTTCCTCCGTTGTTGCCTCCATTGCCTCCGTTGCCTCCGTTGCCGGGGCACATGCCACCGACGCAGACCTCCTTAGAGCCTCCAGCGGGACCAGTAGGCTTGGGGCCCGTAGGGATGTGAGTCTCGGTGACGGGGCAGACGGTAGTGGAGATGGCAACCTCCTCCGTGACGACAATGGTGCTGTGGGCAGGGCAGTTAGTCACGGTAGGGGCGCACGAGGTGATGGTGCGGGTGGTCGTCGAGTAGATGGTCGAGGTAGTCATGGACGGGCCGGTGCTGGTCGGCGGAACGCTAGTGGTGCTGTTGCCGTAGGGCGTCGACGTGGGGACCGGAGAAGTGGGGACCGGAGAAGTGGTGGGCGGGACCGAGGTCGACGGCACGGAGGACGAGGGAACCGAGCTGCTGGAGCTGCTGGAGCTGGTGGGAGACGTAGTCGGGGCCGTAGTGGGAGACGTAGTGGGGGCCGTGGTGGGAGCCGTGGTAGCACTGGTAGAAGAGACGCTCGAAGAGGAGCTGCTGGAAGACGAGCTGCTGGAGGACGAGCTGGTGCTTGAGACAGTCGACGAAACACTGGTAGAAGTGCTGCTCGATGACGTGGCGGTGGACGAGGCAGAGCTGGAACTGGAGCTGGAGCTGGACGAAGAGCTGGAGCTGGAGCTGGAGCTGGAAGAAGAGCTGGACGAAGAGCTGCTGGAGCTGCTAGACGACGAAGTCGTAGTGGTGGAGCTGCTGGCAGTGGTGGTGGTCGTCGTCGAGGCCGTGCTGGTGGTCGAGGTCGTGCTGGTCGTGGAGGAAACAGTCGACGTGGTGACGGTGGTGGTGGGACGGCTGGGGTTCATGTGCTCGCCGACGATGGCGTAGAAGGGCTTGCCGCCGTTGGCGTTGGCGTTGGCATCGGCGAGCTGGGCATCCCAGAAAGAGATACCGGCAAAGTTCGTCACATCCTTGTACTGGTCGATCAGGGTGTTGGCGGCGCTGGGCGTGATGTAGCCGGAGATGGCGGGAGTGGCAGGCAGGCCGACGTACAGCTTGGCGCCGGCGCTCTGGGTGCCACGGAGGAATGTGGCCCAGTCCCTGAGGTTGAAGCCGTTGCCGGTGGCGTCACAGCCGGGGTTGTTGTAGAACTGAATGAACAGGGCATCGAACTTGGCAAAGGTGATCATGGTCTTCATCTGGAACCACTGGTCGGCAAGGGGGCACTGGGGAGCACCAGTGATGATCTGAGAACCCTTGCTGTCGCCGATGAGCTTGTGCAGCCTGTTGATCATAGCGATGTAGCCGGTCTGGTCGACAAACTGCTTCTCGATGTCAAAGTCGAAGCCGTCAATGACGTTGGGCTCACTGGGGCTGATGTCAAAGGGACGGGGCCCAGTCCAGCTGCTGTTGACGGGACCAAAGGCATTCCACATGAAGTTGGCAAAGTACTCGCCGTTGTTCACACTCGAGACGGTGTAGTCGTGAGCGGCATCGGCCCCCCAGACACCTCCGATAGAAAGGAGGATCTTCTTGCCCTGTTGCTTGCAGTACTTGATGTCCTGCTGGATGAAGGAGCAGTGGTTGTTCAGGCGGGAGCCGGGATAGACGTCGCCAGAGCAGTGAGCAGCGAAGTTGCTGGTGGGATAGTGCATGACGGGGTCCTGCTCAGGGGAGGCCGAGATGAAGGAGAGGGTCACGTAGTCAATGTCCACAGAGTCACAGTAGTGGGCGAGTCTGTCGCCGACTCCGGTCTGGCCCCAGTAGACGTTGACGGCACCGGAGGCGAGAGCGGGTGCGGCGGCGGCGGCGGCTGCCACCGCGATAGATTGTTTGAGCTGCATTTTGAATGAGGGATTAGAGAGTGACTGGCTTGCAAAAAAAGGAATGTATAGTGGCCGAGGCCGTAGGGAGCGTGAGGGAGGGGGCGTTGAAGCAACGAAAGGACGCAAACAAATGTTTGCACGGCTGAAGAGCAGGCCGTTGGGTGATGAGTTGACAAGACGGTAGAAGAGAAGGAGAAGGGGAACGGGAAAGGCGTTGAAGAGCCGGCTGCCCTACCTAGATATCCATCTGCAACGGCCAGTCTAAGCCCAGTATGATCCGGGGTGGTCATCTTGGTGTCGTCCCAAGCCAATGCAAAGTGGTGGAGTTAGCCTTGACAATTTCCGCCTGCGGCATCGATGGGGTGTGTCATCTCAGGGGCGAGTGAGCCGGGCAGGCGCTGCCTGGATTTCGCCAGGGAGGGGATCGTGGTAGCGAAGGCTCTGTCATCAGCTGTTGGTGTGTCTGTGTGTGCGTGTGGACATCCAGTGTGTGAGTGTGTGTGTGCTGGTCCCAAAAAGGACCAGACTTACACGCACGAAGTGGTACAAGACCGAGATGGCGGCTCGCCCATGTCACTAATTAGGCCGGGCCGGGACCTAGTGTCATCCAGGAACAGGTCTAGCGTGGAGAATATTGACAGGGGACCGATGAGAAAGGGGGCATTCTGGCCTGGTGATTGGCCGTGACTGTGCCCAGACTTGACAATGGTGTGTGAGGAGAACGAAGTCATCACCCCCCTGCGTGAACCAGGCGGCCGACTGGGCCAGAAGCGCTTGGTCTTCCCTGGTTCCTGTGCCGTACAAGTACTTGTATGTAGGACCAGGTCTTCGCTGAGGACCACAGACGGACGGGGATGACTGAGGTTATCACAGTCAAGCTTGGATCATCGATCCGCCTGCCCATTGCAGCAAGAATTGCGCAAATCTTTCCCCTCGATCAACGTCATGATAACACATAGAGGCCAAAGTGCACCCAAATCCTCGGCTCGACGGTCCAGAATGAGGGCTCCTGTGGCTGCAGAAACAAACGACTGGGCTGAAAATTCAATAGACGAAGAATCAGCATTGCATACTCCATACCCAGGCAGGCAATGTGCCGCACACTGTAGCGACAAGAGCTAGGTAGACAAGCACTCACTCATCACACAGCCAAACGAGACGCCACCAACAACGTATGGCTGCCTAGCACAGTACTGTTGAAGATTGTCACTCACAGTGCATGCGGCACAGCGGGCCACCTTGGCCGCCGTGAGCCAAGGTTGGTCTGGAGGAGTGAGCGAGATTGGAAAGGACGCCCTACTTAGTCGGGACGACAATGCAACGCGAAGGTTCTGCGGACAATGCTCGTTGGCGGGCGAGATGGCGACTTGGTGGGTTAGGAACTCTGCAGATCCGGCAAGCCGGCCAAAACAGCCCAAAACGCAATTATATCCGTGTGGGTGAGGGATGGGATGACCTGGCCAATTGCTGACGGTGGGGGCGGTCCTTTCAAGAGACGGCGCCTGATGGGAAGCCGGGTTCACCCCTGGCTAGTCAGGTTAATTAAGGTAGGTAGCTTGACGACAGAGAATATCCCAGCAAGAATGGGACCAGCACTGGGCCTTCCCGAGACATTCTCCGTCCGTAGATACCCATCCGCACTCCGATATGGGCGGAGAGTTGGGAGCCGGTGGAGAGTGGGAAAAGGCTGGCCGTTGGAGGCTCCATTCCACAAAAGCCACATTCCAGACGATTGAGACCAGAAGATGGGGTAGAACCGTAGAAAGGGTCCGACCAGCTCCTGACATCTGTAGTTGCGCGGTTTAGGTATCCCAGTTTCTGAGCCGAGTACTGGTGGAGTGTACTGATCATACAGAAGATGCACGCATAGACAAACGGCTCGAAGGATTCATTGCTGCGAAGAAGAATCAAATGAGGTGGCATTGACAGAGAGCGCACGCAATCCGCGCAAGGAAAGATCGGGAAATTAGCCCACAGGAAGGAACCCTCACAGCACTCTCGCGGTGACTTGGCTCGCTTGGCAAGGACAGTGCAGGGTTTTTGCAGGGGAACAGCACCCCTGGAGGGCCTAGTCGCACCTGCAGCAATTAGCGCCTGACACCACAAGACTGCTCTCCACTTCTGTGTAACCGTCAATGCAGCGCAGGTCTCGAGGTCCTCGTTGACCTTGTGTAACCATTCAGAGTCGACAACCAAGAAAAACCAAGACCATGTCGAAATGAACAACTCCCTCGACAACAGGCAGCAATGTGGAGTTGCGCACCTTCGCGGATAGGTGTAACCGCTCAGCCTGGTGGTTCAATCTCGCCTTTCGTCGTCTACAAGTAGGTGTCTGGCGACTGCGGCTGGAAAAGGGTGTTGTTGCCAATGCTAATTTTGGCAGACCAAGTGGACTGGCCTGGCTTACGTCCGAAACTACTTACCTGCCAGGTAGGTATCTCGTGTCTTGAGCTCACCGCGTATACGCAATGCCCACCCACCACAACGTTTCATTCCCCACCAGCTCCCATAACTGCTCAACCTGGATGGCTTGAGTCATTTTGGGGGTCCTTGTCAAATGATAAATGAGGGTGGAATACGCGTATGATGAAGCTGGTCAGGTTGGCCAAGACTTGACGGACAACGTATTCGCTTCAACCGGACAAGTGGTTGGTCTCAGGGGCACGAAGTCATCCAGAGTCGATGACTGCACATTCTGGGCCCTTTTGCCGAAATCGACGTCTTCCTTTTGTGTAACATCAAGGGACGGTGTCTGAAATTCAGGGGATCTCTCGAGGACGCTCAAGCGAGTTGCAGACCCGGCATCAACGGCTGCTCTGTCGCTTTGAGCTCCTGAGGGTTTCTCAGGGGCGACTTGATGCCACTGTTCGGTGTTGTGGTGTGGTTCATCCCTCCTCAGTACAGACAGTATGTTTTTTTTTTCGTCTCGGTCGGAAAGGGGGTTGGGTCTCCGCCGCCCCCTATTCCCAGAGCGTAGGGCCAGAACATCAGTCGCGCTGGTCCTGGGCACTTGACGGAGCACTATGTGACTGTTCAACTAACTTTCTGATCTTCTCGCAGAGCAACCGACACTCGTGTTGACAAGACCTTTGTGTCTATTGTTGTAGGGTTTGTATTGTTCTTTGTCCGTGTTTTGCACTCCCAGCCACAAGTGAAAACAAAGGAGAACTGGCAAATTGTTTATCACCACGTATTGTTGCTCCCTTTGTCCCACAGTATGCTCTTCTTCCTCCTTCGATCGAAGAAGACATCGTAGACAAGATAAATTGCGCGCCTTCGGCTCGACATGGCAAGTATGAGGCTCTTGAAGCTGCATCCGCGTGAGTCAAAGAGGCCTCAGATGCCCGCAAAACGTGTAGTAAACAGGCAAGATGGCCGCGACAATCCTCTACAAGACAGTCTGGAGCGTCTGCACCCACTACAAGATCACTCCCAAGCCCCTACTGACCAGCCAGCAACTCCGCGAGGGCCAGGATGGCATCCGCATCGCCAGGAAGCGGTCCCTCGTCCCGGACACCACTCCCTACGCCGCCGCCGCCGCCGACGACAACAGCATCTTTCCCTTCTGCTGTGGCCCCTACAACAGCACCAAGCCGCCGAAGCCCGACCGCCTGACCACCGACGTCGTATACGGCTGGTGCGACCGCTGCGTCGAGATCTACAGGCCCTTCTCCAGGATGCACTGCACCGAGCTGCGCAGCGAGGCCGCCGTGCTCGGCTTCTGGGCCTACATGTCCCGGCACAACATCTCCACGGCCGTCAAGCCGGGCGTCGTGCCCCCGACCGCCTTCCTCACCGAGCCGGGCGGCAGCAGGCGGGAGGAGACCCGCCGCCGCATGGAGTGCCTGGCGCTCGGCGCCGCGCTGCGCCGCAACACGACCAGGCGCGCCGACGAGATGGTCGAGATGGTCGAGTGGGTGCGCATGGAGACGCTGCGGTGGGCGGTGAGCGGCACCTGGGAGGAGTACAAGCGGCAGCTGCTCCTCGAGATGCACGCCGGGTACCCTGAGCATCCCGGATTGCCCCGAGAGGACGAGGACGAGGGCCGGGGCGCAACCGGGGTGGTTAGCGAGCAGCCCCGGCGACACGAGCAGATGCAGATGCAGATGCCTGGCATGCCAGCGCCGACCGCGATCCCGCCCCCGCCGCAGAGAGCGCTGCCTGCGCCGCCGCCGCGCGCGGTGAAGAAGAGAAAGCTGGAGACGGACGCCCCTCGCCCGGGATGCTCCGGCGGCGGTCCACCGAGAGCCCCTACTTCTCGCTTCGCCAGCATCGACTGGGACCCGCCTGCGGCACCAGCGGCCGCGGTGCTCAACGATGGCCGTCATCCTTCCTTCAGGCGTAAGCCCCTGCCTCCCGGCGCCAGAGCCAGGCCCGCGGCTTCCAAGACAGTCTCGAGCGGGAGAAAGCTAACCAAGCGTCACCCGGCCGCCGAGAGCAAGGCCCGAGAGACGACGCAGGCCAGCCACGTCATGAGCGACACCGACGGCACCATTCCCTTCATGATGCTCCCCCACTCCCCGCCACCGCCCTCGAAGAAGCCCGCGCCGTCTCCTCCCAGCGAAGTGTCGTCGATATCGTCGTTGTCGTTGTCGGATGATACCCCATCGTCGCAGAGCGGGACCCACGCGCCGCAGCAGCGAGACCACCTCGTGCCCTCAAGCAGCAAGCAGATTAAGGATCTCTTCAGCTCCGATGGGTCGAGCGAAGTCTCGGGCCTGACGTCGGAGGCCTCCTCGGTGATGCAGTACCCCGGCAGCATCGACGCCATCTGCAAGAAGGAGAATCAGAAGAAGAAGGACGAGAGGGGCGAGACGAGATACGGCGGCGCCGTGGCGCCCAAGGTAGGCGAGGCCAAGGCGGGACAACACGCGCCTGTGGTGAGCACGCAGCCCTATCGTAGCCCGGATAAGGCCGGCGTGCCGCTGCCGCGCCAGGATGATGCGCCATCTACTAAACAGCGAGCGGCAGCTCTTGAGAAGCAGGCGGCAACTCTTAGGAAGCAGGCGGAAACTCTTAAGAAGCAAGCTAAAGCATTTAAGAAGCACGCGAAACCTACCAAGAAACGAGCGGAATCTTCCAGCAAACGGTTGGCATCCACTATCTCAGGATCATGGCTTAGTGCCCTTTTCACGCCGGTAGGACCATACTAGACGCTCTTCATCTGGGAAAGTAAACCGAATGTTGAAGACGGGGCGGCGCTCAGTTGTGAGCAGGATATGGGATATATGGTTCACCTAGATTGTCAGACTTTGCAATAGAATCTCCTTTGTCTTCACACACATGTTGCAGTTAGGAACGCTCAATATAAACGTTGTTTCTTCTCAATCAATATCCAAGTAGTGCTACTTACACGTGAGCAAGCCAAAAACACTCACTTCTTCTTCCCCCCCTTTCCACCCTTGGCGCCCGACTTGCCTCCGCCTCCGCCTCCACCTCCGCCCTTGCCGCCGGCGCCGCCCGCCATCATGACCCTCAACTTGGCCACCGGCACGCAGTTGGCCACCTCCTCCTGCTTGACCGCCTTGATCAGCTCCACCTCGCGCGGCCACATCTTCTCCGTGTCGCGGCTCTGCTCGTCCAGCACGCCCTTCTTCCCCGCCGCGGCCTTCCACCCCTCGAGCACCTCCTTCAGCGCCTTGTTCTTCTTGACCGCTCCGGGCTGCATCTTGGCCTTGTACTTGACCTTGGCCATGGCCGTCCACGGCCCGCAGACGGGCACGGCCTCGAGGATCTCGTCGCCGGCCAGGGGCGTGCCGACCAGCGCGTCGAGCGCCGTCAGGTTCGCCTGCTCCGCCTCGTCAAGCACCTCGACCCCTTCGTCCAGCATCAGGCGCCGCAGCTCCTCGTGCTCCTTGGTCGTCTGCTGCTGGCGCTGGTGCTGCTGGCGCCGGCGCTCCTTGATCGCCGCGAGCTGGGCCTCCTTCTCGGCCTTGAGCTTGGCCTCGGCCTCGGCCTTTTGACGTCCGGCTGCGGCGCCGATGAGCGCTTCGACAGCGGCGCGGTCCTCGTCGTCCTGGTCCTTGTACTTGGCGGCGATCTTCTTGGCTTTGCCTCGCTGGCCTCGTTTCGGGGCGGCTTGTTTCTGTTGTGTGGGTGGATTCGGTCGGGAAGGTGGTTGGGGCTGCTTTTTCGCATCCTCGTCCGGAGCATCATCCTGGGCGGCGCTGTCCATATCTTCATCGCCGACAGGAGCTTCCTCAGCAGCTTCCGGCTTCTCTTGCTCGTCTTCTACATCGAGTTTGGCGAGCTCCTCCGTCGGAGCTTGTGGCTTGTTCGTCTGCTCCTCGTCTGAGTCGCTCTGACGCTCTTGCGATGGCTGAAGAGGATTAGCGCGAGGGGCGGACGCTTCGTCACCTTCATCGTCAGAGTCAGAGTCACTCAAGTTGTCCCGATCGTCCTCGTGAAGGGTCTCAGCATTCGACCTGGCTGTCTCTGCCGTCTCAGATCTCGAGAGGCTACCGACTTCAGGCAGCGTATGCAGGCGGTGCTTGACATGTTTGGCCTTGCTCTCCTCGCTGATCTTGAACATGATGCCGAACCCGAGCAATAACTGTGCCGGCGCTAGAAAGTTCTTTTTGCCTCTGATCATGAAGCTGCCGGTGGGAAGAAACTCTCCAGCAGGAGCTGATTTTGACACTTGATCAGCTGTCACCCAGTAGGCACCCATGCCTGCCTTCGAGTCCCAGGCATTTGAGGCGCAGACTGCTAAATTCCCAGCCTGCGACAGCGTGGAGGGCGGTATCGGTGCGTCGGGGGTTTGAGGGTTATTCTTGATGATGACGCTTGGAGCGCCATGAAGGTCTGCATGAACGTACACGTCTCCCTTGCGGAGATAGCGTCTGTAAATCATCTCGTTCTGCTGCGCATCCCGGCCTCCCAGAACGAGATAACCATCGGAGGAAATGAACCACAGGAACTTCTCAAACCAGAACTGCTTCCGGATTGGTTGCAGAACCGCCTTCTCCTGCTTCAGCCCCTTTTTGAGATCCGCGTTAATCTTCTGTTCCGCATTCTTAAGCGCTATTGACGACTGCTCGACGGTCTTCTGCTGTTTCACCGCTGCCGTGCGCTTCTCTTCGTAGTACTCCCTGGCGTTGCTCCAGGGTGAGAGACCCAGATTGATGTCAACCTCTAGCAGAGAATCGGCAGCCTTCTCCTTGCCCTCCTTGGTGTCCAAATCGTCATCATCTTCAGACACTGAGGAGTCGGTGTCATAGTCAAAGTTGTCAAACTCTTCATCATTCTCCTCCTCCTCGCCGCTAAGACGCAGGGTAATCATGTTGTCTTGAAGCTTGAGGGGCAGCTTGATGATCTCTGCGACAGGATTGTTCCGCTTCTGCTCCCGTTCTATGAGCTTGTTGATGTCGACCCAGTCCATGCCTTGCTGCACCAGTCCGGCAACGGCATCCATGGCTTCCTGCACGCGCTCGACATTTGCCTCGATGGCAGCCGCCTTGCGCAGGTTGATCGACTGAGCTTCTTGCAAGCCCTCGATTCGTTTGGCATGATCCTGCCTGGTGGCCTCTATCCTCCTCTTGGCAGTCTCCTCGCGCTCCTGAAGTCGTGATTCCAATTTCTGGCCCTCAATGGATGAGAAGAACTCGTCTACGGTTTTATTGAAGGTCTCGAAATCCAAAATTTTGTAGGTTGGGTCGTTGCTGAACTGAGCAGGTTGGAATGGGTGAAAATCTTCGTACAACAGGCCCTCGGGTTTTTCGGCGTTCACAGCATCACCATCTGCGCGAGGTCTCTTCTTGGCAATGATATACCCCTTGCAGGTTGGCGAGTTTGTGACTTCATCAACAATCCGTCGAGCTTCTTCCAATGCCTTGAAGAGTCCCTCGAAGAGCTCATCATTCTCGAGCACTGCGGCGGGCTTCGAGGTCGAATCGAAGCCGGTGGCCTGAAATGCATGGTCCACAAGCATCGGGGGGAGCTCCGTCATGGTCGTGGCCAGGCCTCTCCTTAGCTCATCCGCGGCTTTCCTGCTCGCCTTCTTTCCCGTAGCCGCGGCCCTTGCGGCCTTCTCGGCCATCGTCCCTAACGCATTCCGCAACCGCTCTTTGGTCAAGGCCGGGACGCCGTTGTAGTTTTGTCGGTTCTCCAGAGAATATTTTAGACCGACGCGCTGCGGTTCCTGGCCCTCGCCTTCAGGTACATTCCGGAGCAAGGTGATGATGTTGAGCTCGGCATCTGTGAGGATGACATTGCCGCTGACGAAGAACTCTAGATATAGACGGTAAGCGCCGTTGCTGAACTGGAACTCTATGATCCTGTCGGTGCCGATCTGCGAGACACCGGTCACGCGACGGGTCTTGAGGAACTTGCGCAAACGAGCGACAAAGGGGGATGGCGCGGCGGCCGTTGTGCGGGCAAAGTCGGTAAGATGGCAGCGGAAACCACAGTCAATGACCAGCTGCTTCTTGTTCTCGGGCTGCGCGAACTTGAAGAGGAGGATTTTGGAGGAGAGGTCGTAGATATTGGCAAGCCGCAAGTTCACCAGACTTTCCTGGAGCTCATGCGAGATGGCCTGTTTTTACCACAAATTAGTAAAGTTGTCATTGTGCTTTGCCAGTCTCTCCCGTACCTTGACGTCTAGTGAGGAGAATCTTTGCTTCATCTTGAGGGATTTTGGGTCCGATTGCTCGGGACCGAAAATTATGAAGCAGAATAGCAGAACGGAATGCAGCAATCTCAACTTTGCAGTGCCAAATCTGGTATGCTGTCATTGGGCCAGTCCTAAGCTTCGCCGACAGAGTCAGTACTCAGTGTGCGGAGGGGTCTAGTGGAGGGGCATTGCTGTTACGTCAGGCCGATTGGACGCCGGAGCGCTCACTAATGCAGCTTAGCTGCACCACAAACACAAAATATAAAAGGAAGAGTCCCCCGTAAGGTCGCATTAAAATGTACTCGTTTCTCTTTGCAGTCGATTGCTTCCGTAGACGTGTTGCAGCTCAATGCAACCTCAAGGCATCGCGATTTTGGTTTCTATGGCGCAGATTGCCCTTGTCAGAGCAAGGATTCAATCGTAGCTTTGGCACGAAAGTGGGCAATTATCGCTGACAAAAGTCCCGACCCTCAATTTTCATTAATGACAGGTCCCGCCCTGAACGGGCTGTATATATCAATTTAGATCGAAAATTGGTTGGCCCCTTCGGGTGGCCTAACGGAGTGGGTTACGTTATATCGAACGTACTTATTGACTTTTACCATAAATACCCGTGCAACGGCCCAAATACTCCATTTAAAAATCTTTGGAACCTCTGTTCGATCTTCGGTCGATGACAATTTTTTTTGGCCAGAATATTTTTTTATTCCTCAATCGACGTTCATTCTCAATCAATCCGTGCTTTTTTCCTATCATTCCTAACTGCTTCTATTTTTTTTTCTTGGAAATGCATCGCTCTTCATGGCCAGGTTGTTTGATCTTTGCATCCTGCACCTGTAGTCAGAGGCTGTCAAAGCTTCAATCAACTGTTCAACGTAGCTAGAAGAGACACAAGGACTACCGGTGCACAGTCCGATCTTGGCCAACTTTACAATATTCTCGAGAAGAAGGAAGTCTCTGCGGGTGCGGGACCGAGTGTCCAATGCGTTGAGTGGAGTAAATCGCATCTACCCAGGTTGGTATTCATGCGCGAAGGCATCTGTACCGCGTCCAAGGCAGGTCAATGCAAACAATGATCGAGACGACTCTCGGCAGCCTTGATAGATACTATGCGCATTTGGCTACGATTCAACATTTGACACAATTTGAATTGAAACCCAGTTGGTCCAATTGAGAACTAAAGTACCCGGGTACTTTGAACTCCCATGCCTGGAATGCGGCATCGTCCGAGACAGCGGGGACAAAGATTGCCATGGATCTTCGACCCCAACGGCGTATCTGCTCTGGAATGTATAAGATAATGTTTAAATCGACAAGCTCTGGAAAGTTCCCAGCAGTGTTCGACGGCCATGGCTCTTTACCGGAGACCAGACCCCAAACCAACATTCAACATGACTGCATGTTTTGATGGTGCCAGATGCTGCCACTATTTTGACAGGATTAGCGCGTGTATTGGCGACAGCTGGCCGTTTGCGATATACTCCGTCCCCACCATCACCTTCCCACTCTGCGCCTCCAAATTGGAGATCTTCATCGTTGCGAATAGAGACACTTCTGGCTCTCCTGGTTTCGCACAGAATAGAGCAAGATTCTGGCAAGAAATCTACCATGGCGGCCAGGTAACACACCGTCACATCGTCACATGTGATGGACCTCCCTACCGCGTTCATTTGGCAACGGGCCAGTGAGGCCCCAGCCGTGAAGGAGGGTGTGGTGGACCTTTCAGCTCGCCTCGTCCTTCGCGAAAACAGGTCCCTCGGCCTGCCCCGTGGGCTTTAGCGCCCATCACCTCGACAGGGATCGATGCCGGAGTTGTCATGGCAACACGTCCCTCGGCAAGGGTGTCGATGCGGTTTTGTGGGATTGCGGCCAGCTTGACACGAAGGAAGTCGACCTCCGGGAAATTGGCCAGCACAGTCGCAGTCGACGCAACAGACTGGCTGCGGACAACGACGACGAGGAACACCTCGCTTTCCAAGACAGTGCGCAATCGAACTCATCGAGGACTTTGCAATTGCGTGGCTGGTCAGATTGGAAGAGGTGGGCTGGCCACATAGCATTTTGCTACGAGACGCACAAGCCCCCTCAATTGTGGTTCGCTGGTTTGGAGACCTGCAGCACGTCGTGCCAATAACATCCATCCACGACAGATGTCTGAGGAGCAAATACGCAACGAGGTTGGGAGAGTGGAAGGGCTTGGTGCCCAAGCAGCCAGTCGAAGTCCTCTTGCAACGGTGTGCATCTCAGATGGCCGAGGGTCATCGAGCAAACTTCCCTCGGGGATGGTCTGACTAGACAGATCGAATCACTAATCTGGCTCGTTAACTAGTCTACGGGGTAATAGTCTGGAACATGCACATGTCACAATCCCAAGGTTCAGTCCTGAGCACTTGTCTCAGCTATCGATGTTGCTTGAGGATCTACGGGGCGGGTTCTCAGGGCAACCAGCGCACTAACTCGGTTCCAAGCCATCTCCAGCCAGACTAGCGAGACCCCAATTACGAGGCCCGCTTGCTGCCATGGCACTTTTTTGGTCCATCCCGAGATTCAATATCACGACATTTGTGACTTGTCTCAGCAGCCATTGAAGCTCGAGGATGCGTTCTTTTTGCAACGGGTCTCAGGAGCAACCCAGGATGGTTCAACAGGAGCCGCCCTGCCAGTCTTTCGAGTTGCTCCAAGTGTGGCTCGCAGGCAAATGCAGAAGATCATCACAGGCCCAGAGAGGGAGGTTGGGGGGCGACGCGGACGTGCTGGCCGAATCACAACCGCAACCTCCTTCTGATGAGGATGAGCCGGGGCATAGGGGCAATAGAGACGGAGGGACAGGGGACCTACAGGGACCTCAGCGGGTCCGCTAGGCAGTTTCCAGTGGATGGTAAACACATGCAAGGTCTCTCCCCCACCCAAAGTAAACACAAGATGCAGGCGCTGGCCACACATAAACCCTGCTCATGATCCCAGCTCTGGCCAGTCGGGCATCGTCCTCACAACAACGCCAGACAAGCCCCCAGCCCACCGCTCTGCAGCAGCTCTCCTATTTCATCCCAATCTCCTCGCGCCTCTCTCGCTCTTCCACTCTTTCTCCTCTTCTTTCGTCCACTCAGATCCAGACACAACTTCACCGCCAGAACAGTCCCCTGCTTCCTCTTCCATCAGGAATAAAAGCCGAAGAAGAACTCGGATTCTTCTTTCCTTTTCTCCCTGTCGACTTCTTTCTAGGAAAAGAAGCCAGAGGATTCTTCTTTGTCTTCCTTTCGAACACTTCGGAAGGTCGCTGAGAAGAGTACTCTCGCGTCCTAAAAGGTCGTCAACCTGGATTTTGAAGCCCGTGTTCCGGTCCCTTTCAGCATCTTCCCGTCAGCGTACAGGGAGTCAGAGACCGAACAAACCACCACCCAATCCACTCACGAAGAGCTAGAGATCAAACTCCCCCACAAAGCCGGACGGGAAGGTCAATACTCTTCTTTCTCTGCTACTGCCGATCTTCCTCCCCGCAAGGAGCAGTCACGCTACAGCGAAGAAGAGGTCCGTATCACTCGTGAAGAGGATCGTTACCGCCGTCCCGGTGTCCGTCAAGAGTACTACCGCGAAGAACGCAGGTCAGTAAACTCGCGCGTCTTTGCTGCTTGCTAGTGCGGTTGCCGTTTTATGTCCTTTTTTTCCGTTGTAAAGCGTTCTTCCACAGCAACAGCCTGGCTGACTCGGCACCCTCTAGGCCCTCTCACGCTTCGTCTTCCTACTCCGAGACTCACATTGAGACCGACCGCCACTCGCACCACCGAGACTACAGCACCCCCATCGACGTTGCCGAGCGCGAGTATCGCTCTCGCTTCCAGCCCAACTACCGCGAGGAGGTCCACGTAACCGGTTCCACCGTTGACGGTCCCCGCTACCCTTCCTACCACCAGGAGTCTGCTAGCCGTGTTGACGACACCACCGTCGACCCGCCCACCCAGCGTCCTGTTTACCACAAGGACGTGAAGATCACCGAGGAGACCGTCGAGGTTCCCCGCTACAGCAACACCCCCCGCCAAAAGTCCAAGATGGGTTACTACGACGAGGACGGTAGGTCTTTTTTCCTTGCTTTTCACGCGCGCTTCCCCATCCTCCCCCAACACAAGGCTAATGCAGCCATTCACAGGCCACTACCACTCCTTCCGCCACGGAATCCACAAGATGGCTGACAGGATGCTTCACCCTGAAGGTCACGAGAAGGTCGAGATCACCGAGATCCGCGAGTCTCGGGGTCCTTCCCGCCGCGCCTCTTCTGAGGGTGGCTACGTGCCCAACACGGTCACCATTCCCTGCCATCACATCCGCCTCGGCGACATCGTGATCCTCCAGGGCCGCCCCTGCCAGGTCATCCGCATCTCGACCTCCAACGCCACGGGCCAGCACCGCTACCTCGGTGTTGACCTGTTCACCAAGCAGCTGCACGAGGAGTCGTCCTTCATCACCAACCCTGGCCCCAGCGTCGTCGTCCAGACCATGCTCGGCCCTGTCTTCAAGCAGTACCGCGTCCTCGACATGCAGGACGGCACCGTCGTCGCCATGACCGAGTCTGGCGACGTCAAGCAGAGCCTGCCCGTCATCGACCAGTCCAACCTGTGGTCGCGCCTGTCCAAGGCCTTCGAGTCTGGCCGCGGCAGCGTCCGTGTCCTCGTTGTCAGCGATCACGGCCGCGAGATGGCTGTCGACATGAAGGTCGTCCACGGCTCCCGCCTGTAAAGGATGGATAGATTTGCCGATCTCATGTATAGATAGTGCTTTGGAATGAATCGTATGGTAAAGACTTTGAATTTTTCCCCTGCATATGATTGTCGCAAAGGGATGGGACAATTGGCACGATCTTTGGTTTTTGAAAATGGACAAAAACTTGGACGGCGTCTTGTCGCATGGACATTGTTGAAGCTGGACATAGCTAGTTTTTGTATATGATCTAATGGAAGAAGTGTCACTCAACTATCCGTTCTGCTGTGCTTGAATTCATTCTTCCCAGTGCCGTGGCAATGGTGAATCATACGGAGAGTAAGTGAGCGACGTAAGGTGTGTATTGTCGGCTCCCCCAACCCATCTGCCCATTAATGATCCACCTCGGGATCCGACCCTGGTCAGATTAGTTGACGTACTGCTAACAGAAGTACTTGACTATCCATCAAGCCCATCGGATTTAGGTAGTGGGATAGCCCTTCTGAGTTCTAGGGCAAGGATGTGACAAGGATATTGATCGTTAAGATTGAGGTAGCTCCTGATGAACTTCCGTCAACTAGGTATTTAGACACCTACTTGCCCATTAAGGTTCCTAGCCGGCCGGCGATAAGGTTGTCAACGGCATTCCGGTCCTAGGATCTGTCTTACTTGAGGACAACTAAACTAAAAAGAAAACCTAGACCTAAGACATACTTAGACGATCTAACTAGCTCGCTGCTATTTAGGCAAATAACTATAAGAATATTTTTAGTAATATAACTACTTTATATATCCTATCTAAATAGTTATTAGCCTAAAGATAGTAAATATTATATATAGCTTATAGTAAAGAGAATTACTAGCTAAGTATAACTGTTTTACTAGCTAGATATAATCTTAGCTAGACATAACTTTTTAAGCCCTTTAATTAGCTGTATTCTTATCTATTAAGAGCTCTTATCTATCTTCTTTTCTGCTAATTTCTACTAGCTGTTAGGCAGCAATAGGTTATAAAGTGGTGCAAAATATATTGATAAAGTCTAACTCTCTACTATAGGTGCTATTATGGCAGAATAGAGCTAAATACCAGCATAATAGTATTGATAGCTGCTAACATGCTTACTATTACGATCTATTAGATGTGCTAGGTAAACCTTAGGACTGTAAATAACTAGTTCTATTAGGTTGTTATAAAATCAACCGCCGTTACTATAGGGCACTGCCCTTAAGGGCGGTTATTATAATAAGATAGGCAGAAGCATATGGACTATATAATTACTATAGGATGAGTGATTATAAGTGATCTAGTCACTATAGATTATAGTGATCTATTATGATGTAACGATCCTTAATCCTAAGAGGTAAGGCTACTTTATAGGACTGAAGGTATATAGGTTTATATAAGCAGTAAGTGATAGGTACTGTTAAGTATTAGTGGTTGATTGTAGCTTAAGATAGCTTTACTTAAAGGTACTTTATTAAATAAGATACTTTAAATACTAGAGAGCTATCTAGGATAGATATCTAAGGGTAGATATATATCTATATATATAGATAATAGATTATAATAGATTATTATAATCTATAGTAACTAGATTACTCTTAATTACTTATCCTATGGTGATTATATGGTCTATATACTTCTGCCTATCTTATTATGCTGACTGCTCTTAGAGATAATGCCCTATAGTAATAGTAGTTGATTCTATAATATAATATCCTTCTTTTAGATTAATATTTTAATAATCTAAGGCTGTTCTTAAGACCTATCTATCTAGAGCTAAAACTTTTATTATAGGTATTAAACTCTTCTCTTAATTCTTTTAGTATCCTTCTAATAATATATTCTTAGGTTATATTAAGAAATAGAAACTTTCTGATTCTTCTAAGAAATATAAGGCTCTTACTTATATAATTAAAGATTATAGTTATAAAGTTATGCCTTATTTCTAGTATTTTAATTATTCTCTATCTTACTAGATAATAGAAAGGATAAAGAGGTATATTAAGTATATTAAAAGAGATTAGTTATATAATAATATTAATATTCTAATAAGCTCTTATTAATAACTACTTTTTATATTATCTCTTTATTATATTAGCTAACTTCTCTACTTAATATCTTAGATCTTAACTAAATAGAAAAGACTAAAATAGTAAGAGGAAGTAGGTAAGAAGATAATTAAGTCTATCTTTAAGTATTAGCAAGCTCTTTAGAAAGAGTTTGATAAAGTCTCTATCTATCTTTCTTATATTTATAAATAAAAATATAATATCTATAAGTATTTATAAAAGATAGTAGCCTAAGATTTATAAAATCTAAATAAACTAGAGGAAATAAAGTAAAAGAAGTTTAAAGCTACTATATAGAAGTCTTCTATAGTCTTAGAGATATAGGCTAATAGTAGTTTTAATATAATTAACTAGAGTACTATTAGTTTAGATAGTAGTTAGTTGTTGATTAGTCTTAACTTTATTAGTAGAACTATTAAAGCTTCTACTAATAATATATTAGGTTCTTAATAGGTTTCTAGATATTTTCTATAGTATTATAGCCTTTCTACTTAATTAGGTACTTACTATCTAATATCTATTATTTTAGTATTTATTTAACTTTATACTCTTCTTCTTCTACTTCTACTTCTATTAGTTTCTCTAGCTATATTTCTAGAGAGGCTGGTTTTAGTAGGAAAATATAAAAAATTAGGTGAATTTATATTATTTCTAATAATAATAGCTTATAGTTAGATATTAAAATTCTTTATTTAATTTTAAAGGGTTCTAGTTTCTTATAGTCTAATTTATTATTAGATTGCTTTATAATAATGTTTTTTTATAGTAGGTAGACTATATCTCTCTTTAAGAAGGATGGTCTCTTTATCCTTTTTTTATTATAGTAATAGTAGACTTGTTTTTAGATAAATTTAAGTTCTGCTTTTAAGGATGTATATAGTTTCTTAAGATATTCTACCTTAAGAATTATAGATTCTATATTAACCTTATCTTATAGTTATTAGTATACTTCTAGGTTTTAGTTATAGTTAGTAAAAAATAATAAGACTTTAGTTATCTTAGTTAGTATGTTATTATATATAAATTATATAAGTAGTAGTAGTTTTATTTAGTTGTCTTAGTTATAGTTAATATAGCTATATAAATATACTTTTAATATTTAATTTAAATATTCTATCTATCTATTAGTTTATAGATAGTAGGCTATAGATAGTTTTTTATTAGCTTTAAGTTATCCTATTAAGGATATATAGAATTTTAATATATATATTAATTCTTAATCTATAATAATCTTATATAGTATTCTATAGTTAGCTACTACTATTTATAGAAATATAAATATAAGTTATTCTACTATATATAATTTATTAAATAGAAGAAAGTATATATACTTAGTAAGTTACTTTAATATTACTAAAATATTATTATACTTTATTCTAATAATTAGGTCTTTAAACTTTAGTAGTTTAATAATAAAGTCTATAGCTACTAAATATTAGGGTTGCTCTAGTATAGGGATAGGCTATAATTCTCTATAAGATAGATATCTTAATATCTTATTATTATTATATTTATAGTATGATTTTTATATCTTTCTGACTATCTTATTAAGTTTAGGGAAGTTATATATTTCTTAGACTCTTATTTTAGTCTATATGATTTCTTTATGCCTATAAGCTTTAGCCTTATATATTTCTTATATATACTTTTCTCTTAATGCTAGAGGTATATAGAGTTATCTATTATATCTAATTAGTAATCTCTTAGGTGGTTTTTTCTTAATATAGGGATTATTATTATACTACTAGTAGATTTCTTATTCTCTTATTATATCTAGTAATATAATAAGTTTAGTAAGTATGATCTATTAAGAAATACCTCCTATACTTCTATTAGTTTATATCTATAGGATAGCTTATATTTCTATAGGTATCTTCTATTTATAGTCTAGCCTTTAGCTAAATATATTTACTCTATTATTTTTAGATTCTTTATAGTATATGATTTTAAAGTTGAATTCTAAGAGGAATTTAGCCTATTATGTCTATCTTTTATTAAGTTCTTTTAATATAGTAAAGTATATTAAATTCTTATAGTCAGTAAATACTATAATTAGATATTATATATTACTTAGATATAATCTCTATTCTTTAAAATACTTAATAATTACTATAAGTTTCTTATTATAGATTTAATAGTTAAGTTCTAGTCTATATAGCTTCTTTAAGAAGTATACTACTAGATAGAGCTTCCTATTATTATCATACTATCTAAGTTATCCTCTTAGGGTATAGTTAGATATATTAGTTTTTAATTTATATAGTTGGTCTAGATCGGCTATTTATATAACTAGTTCTTTAAGTATATTCTTTTTAATCTAGTTAAAGGCTGCTTAGTATTTAGATATCTATTTAAACTTAATATCCTTCTTTATAAGGTTGGTTAAGAGGATTATCAGTCCTCTATAATCTTTTAGATATCTTTAATAGTAGTTAGTAAATCTAAAAAAGGATTACACTTTCTTAATATTTATTAGTATAAGCTAGTTCTTAACTACCTCTAGTTTTACTAGGTCTATTTAGACTTATCTTAGTTTAATTAAGTGTCTAAGGTAAACTACCTCCTAGATATAGAACTAACTTTTATTTAGGTTGACTAATAGATTTATATCCTATAGAGCTTATAATATCTAGTAGACATACTTCTAATATTACTTTAAGGTTTTAGAGTAAATTAGGATGTTATTAAGATAGATAAGAATAAAGTTATTTAGATACTTCTATAATATATTATTAATTATATTTTAAAATAAGATAGGTATATTTATAAGGCTAAAGGGTATTATAAGATACTTATAATATTCTAGATAGGTATAAAAGGCTGTTTTCTACTTATCTCTCTCTCTAATATATATAAGGTTGTAGGCATCTAGTAGGTCTAGTATAGTAAACTAGTTAGTACTATATAACCTATTATAGAGTTTAGTAATTAATAGTAATAGATATCTATTCTTAATTATAATATTA